CCGCAGAACTGCGGAGGGGGGGAGAAGGAGCAAGGAAGGGGGGGAGAAAGGATCTTTGCACATCTACGCAGCCAATCCCAACTTACCGGTACGCGGAGTGTTTTACCCTTGGGACATGCTCGCCGTCGCACATCTTGCGTCGCGCCTGCACAGAAAGCAAATGAATGATTTGGATCAGCACCAACTTGAGAGGAAAGGGGACTATATCGAGTTATTCTACAGCGGCGTCAAGGGCAACTGTAAGCAGCAGGCCGTACCGTTCGTTGTGACTCTGGTACTGCTGGCGTTCGCCGCAAGGGTCTGATGCCGAGGATATACTCGGACGAAGCGCAGGAGCCAGGACCGGAGGCTCATGCGGAGATCGAGGGGGGGCAAGGAGGGGGGGGGAGGGAATGGGTTGGTGGCGATGAGAGAACGGATGGGACACAAAGGCAATGCCTATTTAGAAGCAGGCAGCGAGCTAGCCGGAGACACTCCAGCCCCATGCAACGGGCCCTCAGAGCAACATGTCGTGCCCACGCAGCCGGCCTAATAGACACGCCACATGCACCGGTGGCCAGGCGATGCATGCGGCATGCCCACTAGGCCGGCTGCTTGGGCAAAACTATTGGAGATAGTTGGAGGTAGTTGTGGGTGCAGAACAACCAACAGGGCAGGCACGCGTGTGAGACGTTGTAGCCGTGTGAAACTCACCTTTATTCGCTAGGCGAAATGGATGCGGATGGGGGCCGTACTGGCGAATAGCAGCGGTACGGCAGCGGCGGCTGGCTCTGCACGCCGCTGGCCGTCGTCGATCCTTGTGCCGGCCCCGCAGAACTGCGGAGGGGGGGAGCAGAAGCAAGGAAGGGGGGAAGAAAGGATCAGCAGGAAAAGCAGGTGCGAGCCCGCCACCGGTAGGCCCTCCAATGAATGCTCAATGCCCATGCAACATGCCTAGTACGATGCAGCTAAATGCCCCCACATGCATGCACATGATCCCTGACACGCCAGGGCCTACCTTCGAAGCGCGGGGTTGTACACACTTACCTGCTCCGCCCATGCCTTGGAGGGGCCCCAACGATGTCCGTGCGCCGCTGGCGCCCTGCTCCTGCGTCGGAGGCCGTCGCCGATCCTTGTGCCGGCCCCGCAGAACTGCGGAGGGGGGGAGAAGGAGCAAGGAAGGGGGGGGAGAAAGGATCAGCAGGAAAAGCAGGTGCGAGCCCGCCACCGGTAGGCCCTCCAATGAATGCTCAATGCCCATGCAACATGCCTAGTACGATGCAGCTAAATGCCCCCACATGCATGCACATGATCCCTGACACGCCAGGACCTACCTTCGAAGCGCGGGGTTGTACACACTTACCTGCTCCGCCCATGCCTTGGAGGGGCCCCAACGATGTCCGTGCGCCGCTGGCGCCCTGCTCCTGCGTCGGAGGCCGTCGCCGATCCTTGTGCCGGCCCCGCAGAACTGCGGAGGGGGGGAGAAGGAGCAAGGAAGGGGGGGAGAAAGGATCTTTGCACATCTACGCAGCCAATCCCAACTTACCGGTACGCGGAGTGTTTTACCCTTGGGACATGCTCGCCGTCGCACATCTTGCGTCGCGCCTGCACAGAAAGCAAATGAATGATTTGGATCAGCACCAACTTGAGAGGAAAGGGGACTATATCGAGTTATTCTACAGCGGCGTCAAGGGCAACTGTAAGCAGCAGGCCGTACCGTTCGTTGTGACTCTGGTACTGCTGGCGTTCGCCGCAAGGGTCTGATGCCGAGGATATACTCGGACGAAGCGCAGGAGCCAGGATCGGAGGCTCATGCGGAGATCGAGGGGGGGCAAGGAGGGGGGGGGAGGGAATGGGTTGGTGGCGATGAGAGAACGGATGGGACACAAAGGCAATGCACATTTAGAAGCAGGCAGCGAGCTAGCCGGAGACACTCCAGCCCCATGCAACGGGCCCTCAGAGCAACATGTCGTGCCCACGCAGCCGGCCTAATAGACACGCCACATGCACCGGTGGCCAGGCGATGCATGCGGCATGCCCACTAGGCCGGCTGCTTGGGCAAAACTATTGGAGATAGTTGGAGGTAGTTGTGGGTGCAGAACAACCAACAGGGCAGGCACGCGTGTGAGACGTTGTAGCCGTGTGAAACTCACCTTTATTCGCTAGGCGAAATGGATGCGGATGGGGGCCGTACTGGCGAATAGCAGCGGTACGGCAGCGGCGGCTGGCTCTGCACGCCGCTGGCCGTCGTCGATCCTTGTGCCGGCCCCGCAGAACTGCGGAGGGGGGGAGCAGAAGCAAGGAAGGGGGGAAGAAAGGATCAGCAGGAAAAGCAGGTGCGAGCCCGCCACCGGTAGGCCCTCCAATGAATGCTCAATGCCCATGCAACATGCCTAGTACGATGCAGCTAAATGCCCCCACATGCATGCACATGATCCCTGACACGCCAGGACCTACCTTCGAAGCGCGGGGTTGTACACACTTACCTGCTCCGCCCATGCCTTGGAGGGGCCCCAACGATGTCCGTGCGCCGCTGGCGCCCTGCTCCTGCGTCGGAGGCCGTCGCCGATCCTTGTGCCGGCCCCGCAGAACTGCGGAGGGGGGGAGAAGGAGCAAGGAAGGGGGGGAGAAAGGATCTTTGCACATCTACGCAGCCAATCCCAACTTACCGGTACGCGGAGTGTTTTACCCTTGGGACATGCTCGCCGTCGCACATCTTGCGTCGCGCCTGCACAGAAAGCAAATGAATGATTTGGATCAGCACCAACTTGAGAGGAAAGGGGACTATATCGAGTTATTCTACAGCGGCGTCAAGGGCAACTGTAAGCAGCAGGCCGTACCGTTCGTTGTGACTCTGGTACTGCTGGCGTTCGCCGCAAGGGTCTGATGCCGAGGATATACTCGGACGAAGCGCAGGAGCCAGGACCGGAGGCTCATGCGGAGATCGAGGGGGGGCAAGGAGGGGGGGGGAGGGAATGGGTTGGTGGCGATGAGAGAACGGATGGGACACAAAGGCAATGCACATTTAGAAGCAGGCAGCGAGCTAGCCGGAGACACTCCAGCCCCATGCAACGGGCCCTCAGAGCAACATGTCGTGCCCACGCAGCCGGCCTAATAGACACGCCACATGCACCGGTGGCCAGGCGATGCATGCGGCATGCCCACTAGGCCGGCTGCTTGGGCAAAACTATTGGAGATAGTTGGAGGTAGTTGTGGGTGCAGAAAAACCAACAGGGCAGGCACGCGTGTGAGACGTTGTAGCCGTGTGAAACTCACCTTTATTCGCTAGGCGAAATGGATGCGTGTGGGGGCCGTACTGGCGAATAGCAGCGGTACGGCAGCGGCGGCTGGCTCCGCACGCCGCTGGCCGTCGTCGATCCTTGTGCCGGCCCCGCAGAACTGCGGAGGGGGGGAGAAGGAGCAAGGAAGGGGGGGGAGAAAGGATCAGCAGGAAAAGCAGGTGCGAGCCCGCCACCGGTAGGCCCTCCAATGAATGCTCAATGCCCATGCAACATGCCTAGTACGATGCAGCTAAATGCCCCCACATGCATGCACATGATCCCTGACACGCCAGGACCTACCTTCGAAGCGCGGGGTTGTACACACCTGCTCGGAGGTAGCACGAGGTACTCAAGAGGTAGCACGACATGGCCTCGCTCCCCGCGTCTCGCAAAGAGGTACATGCGCACAAAGGAGTGGGAGAGGCATTGGGAGCGCTGGGTTAGACTATGCTACACGTAAGGAAGCACCAGCACGGAAAAGGTAGTTAAGCAAGACACGTGCGTCCCCCGGAAAGAAAGCTGTCGACTCAGCTGCCCCTACTGCTGCTGGGCTGACCTATGTACTGCTACTACTGCTGCTGAAACTGCTGCTGCTGCTGATCTGGCTGCTGGAACTGCTGACGGCTGGGCTGACTGGGGGGCACTGGCTGCCGCTGACTGGGTGGCACTGGCTGCCGCTGAGGTATCTCGGGTGCAGCCAAGCGTCATCCAACTCTCGGGAGGGGGAACGACATGTGCCACTGACACGCTTGCCATCTCACTGCAACATGCGCACCACTAGCAAGGTCACCCTCACCCACCGGAGGTAGCACGACATGGCGTCTCGCATGGCACGCTAGGCGGGAGCGGCACGCTAGGCGGGAGCGGAGATGGCGGTGCGGGGCTGGGCGGCTCTGGCGAACGGGGGAATGTATCTTGCGGGTGGCCTCACCTCTGTGGTAGAAAGCAGGAAAGGGGCGCGAACGTAATATAACATCGTTGACATCCATGAGTTAACGTCGGCACTACCGGTACCATGAAAATCCTCTCTATAAATCCTAACAGCAAACTTACGTATTTAACAGACCTAAGACATAGTTTGCTAGAGGCGCTGTGCTCTACCAGGCGCAGCTGGAAAGAGCAACAGGTAACAGGAACCGTCCATCCTATACGGGAACGCTCACCTTAGGCATGGGCATCAGCACAAGGAAGCTGACAATAACTTGATAAGGAGCCGCTATAGGCCTGCAAGGCATGGCGCGCGAGACATGGTTTCTTGACCGCCATGGAAGCATTGCAAATCGACGAGCGCGCAATCCCATCATACAGCATAAGCATGAAGTATATCTTGCGCACTTACAATTTAGTATGTCTCCAGTACCGGTAGCGACGTGGTTGCCAGCAACGGGGCACCTGTCCAAAGGACGGCAAAGTCCAACAATAATACCAGCATGATGATGTTGTTTAATTGTAAGGAATAAGAGGAACGCGCAAAAGCAGTTCGGTACCTTTTACAGAAAGCATGTAAAAATGCGTACGGCGGAAGCAGCAGTAGCGTCATGGGGATTGTGACAGAACAACAAGCAAGATAGCACCTTACATATGTTTGTACTAGAGCAATCAGGGGTCGCACGGGGAATCCGGGACGACAAGTCGCGATTGCGATCTTGCTATGATGATCGACAACGCTTGCAAGCCATTTACATTAAATGGTAGTCAAGCAATGCAACGTTTGGTTCGTCCCTAGCGAAACAACAATGCATGCACTTGAAACGGGCGTCGAGCTTAGCAACTATCGCTTCGGCCTTTTGCATGAACATCTTCAAGCCTAAGAAAGGCACCATGCAGAACTGTTTTTGGCGTTACGACAGGGTAACGATGAGCATAATCTATAGTTAAACGGACTGGCAAGATTACAACACCCAGGCAATGATGCCACACCGGACACGTTCCTGTCCACCATCAAACCATGCGAGAGCTGAAGGCACCCACAGCCTCGGTACAACGCCGTGCACCTGTCACACATACACACTACATCTTGCGGGCAATTACCTTGACACACTACCACTGCCAATAGCCATGCGCCTCTTTCTTCCCACCTCTGCAATGCACTACCGCCCTTGCGGCGCCTTCCTGCATCACAGCACCTGCCCTCGAATCCTTCGGCGTGGAAACCGGCACCGCAGAGGTACGGCCCCCACAGGTACGGCTAAGGCACCCTTCATCACAGCCTAGCCCGCGGCGGGGGCTTGTGCGCCTGGAAGACGTCCCTCAGCGTGCGCTTGGACACCTTGCCCGTGGCGTTGTGCGGGATCTGCGGCACGAACACCACGTCATCGGGCACCGCGAACCTGGAGGGGGGAAGAAATTCCAATGTGTGGTGGGGGGAATAACCTTCACAACACAAGTAGGACCGCCAGTTTTCTTAACACAAGTAGGACCGCCGTGAACCGCGCATGTAGTGTGGCCCACGGGTCACTAGTTTCCAGCACCCCAGCCCCTTGTCGCCCTTCGTTGGCCGAGGACTGGCCGGAAGTCCAAACCTACCTTACCGGCACAACCGCAAAGCCAACTAGCGTTCAAAGCAAGCCCGCTTCCACGTAGCTGCTCACAGCGACATGGAACTACACCTGCAAGTACGGCAGTGGCCCGCAGCACGCCCCGCATGCGCACTGCATCGCAGCGCTAACTCAGGGACAAGCTGTCGTCACAATGCAGCAGCGGATTGTTCCGAGCGTTCGACTCAAACGTCACATACCGACCCATTAACCCAGTATAGATAAGGGAAGCCGTACAGGTATCAAAACATGCAAGCGATAACTAACCAGGCGAGCAAAACCCCGCCACGAATCTTTCCACTTAACCCAACGTCACGTTCAGATCAATGGGATGGGACAACAGATAAAACTGGCAACCACCACCTCACCAGCAGCAGCAACTAATGGCAGTCCTTACTCGAAGCAGTAACGTCAATCAATGCAGCCATCTTCTTTGCACTACGAAACCACATGTGTGCCCATTGCGTGCCCTCCATCCGAGGTCAAAAGGCAAGACCTTAGCCAGCTGCTGCTGCTGGCATCGGTTCCCATTAGCAGACCCATGGGACACACACCACGGGAATCCCCCGCCTCCTTGCTCCCCGCAGGTTAAGGCGCCCACGACAAGGGCACGCACCGACGCACGCACCGCCCCTGCAGTCCGAGCCCGACCAGCAGCAGCAGCAAGCAGACACGGGTAATGAATAAGCAGAGCCGTTCCTCGGACATAGCGTACGGTAGGCGCGCCTTCTGTCTTGGCGTTCAATAATGTGACAAAATGCATGTGTCCGTGTTTCCGCCCTGGCAACACACCCAGCAAGAATAAAACCCAACTTAGGTCGGTCAGTCCGAACGCCGCAAGCACATATCACCCAACAAACCCGGCATGCATGCTTGCATGCCCGCAGCAACACCGCACACCTGTCACAGCTGCAAAGCAACCCTCCCCCTTCGCGGCACACCACACATTGGAATTTCTTTTTCCCTTCGCGGCAGAGGTTCACAGCGCAATTATTTACCGTGCTGTCAGCCCGCTGAGAGCCGATTGGAAGCCACCTGAATGCAGTACGGCGCAGCGCACTCGTCACCACATGCAGGCGCCCGTCAGTACGCAACCGCTCCCCAGTTATAGCAGTCCCTTAACGGCGGCCTCGCATCAATGAATGGAGTCGATTTTGTCCTCTTCCGTCCAACTTTGCACCCCATAATATGATGGCATAAAAGCCCAAATCCAGCCCAACGCACAACCGAGGCCGGGAGTGCAACTCAAGAACACTGCCTTGTGCAGGCGTTGCTACCGAGGTGAATACGACCTTACTTGCTTCAATCCTGCATATAGTAATACTTATGAAAGCCACCCAACAGGCAGCCACCTCGAGCGCTCCCCCACCCGCTTGGCTCCCACCGCTGTGGCGGCTTTGCAGCGGCACTTGGCCCCTCCCCAACCCACTTCGCTGTGGGAGGGGGCAGCGAAGCGGTTCCACGCAGTGCACCCCTGCGCCCAACACCCCACCAGCTCTCCGCCTGGCACGAATACAGCTAGTGCGTGAATGCAGGAAGCAACGCGATTGTGGCTTTCGGGTATGCTGGCTCCCAAACACGAACCGCATCTTCCCTCACCACCCCGCGCGCCCCGACAGCAGGCTACACCCCATGTACGGCACCTTCGCGCCTACTCCTCCAGGTCCCGCGTGCGAGCCCCTAACATCAAAGGGCAAGCAGCACGCATGCATGTAATGGAAGGCTCAACAAAAAAGCAGCAAGTTTAGGGCATCAACAACCAAGAGTTGTTTCTTCAAGCGATGGTATCTTCGTGGATATACGACACAAGCACACAGCCGGGAGCCGTTCGGAACAACAACACCCAGGTTCCAACAGCCCTTCACTGATAACCAGCCCACCCAATTTACAAGCGATACACTCCGTCAGCAAGTGCCAACCCAATAGACAAGCAGAGTCACGCGATGAAGGCTGCAAACAAGGGAACAAACAAGCCACCAAGGGACTGGAGTTCCCCCCCTCAACCATGAAACCCCCACCCCTTCAAGCCACAGCAGCAGCAGCAGCTACGTGTACCGCACGGCCCACCACCACCTCACCAGCCACGCCGCAGCGGCTGCACCAGCAGGCCACTCAAAAGCAACTGCCTCAATTGCCGCAGCGCTCCAACATATCCGCAGCAGCAGCCGCAGCTACAGCAGCAGCACGGAGGGTTGCTCGAAGGCGCACTCCAGCACCAACAGCTCCGGCAGCACCTCCCCATGCCGCGAGAAGCTGAGCGCGCCGAACACATGCGGCACCAGCGCCCCCACCTCCCTCCTCCGCCCGCCCCGCAACTGCGCCTCCTCCGCATCTCCATACTCGTCCAGCCCCACCATGCGCCCCACTGAGCGGTTAAGGGCCAGCCGGTGCCGTACGCGCCACTGCCCGTGCAGCCCCCCGCCCGACACCTCGCATCCGCTGTCAGCACCTCGGCCGTGGGTACCGCCATTGCCACATGCGGAGGAGGGGGAGGAGGTGGTGGTGGTGGTGGCGGCGGCGGTGCTGCTGGGCGCTGCTGTGATCGCAGCCAGCAGCTGCCTCAGGTGCCACCGCAGGGCAGCAGTGTCGCCACCACCGGCTTCATCCTCCTCATCGCCGCCCTCCTCGCCACCACTCCTTGCTGCTGCTGCTGCTGCTGCTGCGGGCGGAGCAGGCGGGCGGGGCGCCTGAATGAAGTTGGCGGCGGCTGTGAGGTCGGGTCGCAGCGGCAGCACGGAGAGGCCGCGACGCTGCCGGAAGAACTCCACATGCAGCTGGGGGGGGGGAGAGGGGAGGAGGGGGAGGGGGGAGGGGAGGAGGGGGGAGGTGATGTGGAGTAGAAGAGCCAGCAGCCCGAGGTGCATGGGGCAAGGGACGGCCCCAGGAGTCCTGCTGCTTTCCCTGTAACCCTCCCCAACCCTCTCTTATCTGTTGCCCCCTGCTGCCCCTTGTCCCCATTGCTTTGCCCTGACTTGCGGTTTGGAACCCTTTGATCCCCCCTTCTAGTATCTTATTATATTTTGACCCCCTCACCTCTCCCAGCATCGCCAGCGCCGCCCCCAGCCCGGCGGGTGAGGTGCAGCTGAGCCGCACCGCCCGCACCGGCCCGCAGGCGCCCCGGGGGGAGCAGGAGGAGGAGCAGGAGGGGCTGGCTGGGGCAGCGGCAGCAGCGGGGGAGTCGAAGTGCGCGGCGATGTTCTGCCGGATCTCGTGTAGCTTGTCCATCCTGCGGGTTGCGGGGTGTAAGGGAGTGGGCGACGGGGGTGCATGGGGGGGCGGTGCGTAGTGGGGGGGGAGTGAGCAGTGAGGGGGCGGGAAGCAGGAGGGGGTGGAGGGTGGCATGCGGTCAGTTGGCGGCAGCTGGGAGGGCGGGAGCTCACATGCGGCCCCACCATCGGAAGTGCGGAGGAGGAGCAGGGCGCTCCCTGCATGTCCGCCCTTGCCCCGCGTCACCACAACCCCTCCCATCTCCGCCCCCTTCCCCCCCCTCCCCCCCCCCCTCACCTCCCGTCCGCCAGCACCACCAGCCGCGCCCGCTGCGCCACCGAATGCAGCGCAGCCAGGTCCAGCCGCCCCCCCTGACCGCAGCCTCCCTCCCGCAGCCCCGCAGCGCCCGCACCCCCGGACCCGCCCGCCGCCGCCAACCTCACCGGCGACCCCACCCTCAGCGGCACCGCGGTGAAGGTCACCCGCACCGCCACCTCCGGCTGCCGGTCGGCCTCCTCCCCCGTCCGCGACGGCTGCGGATCCGCAAGCAGCCCGGCCAGCACCTCGGCCAGATCGGGGTCCGAGGCCGCCCGGGAGCCAATTATCCGGGAGAGCTGCGGGGTGTTGAGGCGGGGTGAGGAGGGTGAGAGAGAGAGAGGCTGAGCGGTGGAAGCGCCCTGCCTGGCAGCCGATCCATGACGTGCATGTCGTGTAGTGCGGGGGAGCGAGGGAAGGAGGGAAGGAACGAGGAGGAAGGCGAGCAGGCAGGTATCCACCTTCCCCTCCTCCCTTAACTCCCCCCTCCATGAAGCCTGCCCCTCCTATCCTTACCTTCTCCTTCCTCGCCGCCCTCTCCTCCTGCTGCAGCGCCTCCGAGGCTGCGCACTGCAGCCGCAGCTGCGGACTGGACATGAGCGTCAGCAGCAGCGGCCCGCCACCGGGGCCACCACCCCAGACCCCGCCACCGGCCCCCGAGCAGTCACCCCCGCCACCCGCACTGTCAGCATCACAACCGCAGTCGCTGCTGCTGCTGCTGCTGCTGTTGCTGCCCATGCTGTCGCTCCTGCTGCTCCTGTTGCCGCCGCCCAGGCCACCGCTTCCCTCCCTCTCTGCTGCCGCAGCCGGCAGCAGCGCAGGTGGCGTGGCAGCAGTGGCAGCTGCCCCCCCCGCTGCGGCTGCCCCCCGCTGCAGCGCCTCCGCCTCCCTGCCCACCCGCTCCCCGACCGCGGTGAGGGCGGCTGCGCAGGTGGTGGCCAGCAGCAGGGCGTCCGGACCCACCGCCACCACGGTGCGGGAGGAGGGGGAGGAGGCGGCCTGGCGGGAAGGGGGCAGGGGTCAAGGTGAGGAAGAGGTGAAGCCAAGGAAGGTGGCATGGGCGGGTTCAGGAGGTAGTAGGGGTTTGGATTGGAGTCGGCGCAACCGAAGGGGGAGCAGCAGTGAGGCTGGGGGGCGGGTTGGCGGTTAGCGGTGCGGGTGGGGAGTGAGCATGCAAGCATGCAAGCAGCAGCTACCCGCCAAGCACCCGGCCGCTGCCCCTGGTTGCTCAACCCAGCGCCCCTCCTACGCGTCCCTGACGCGCCCCACCCACCGCCGCCCCCACACTCACCCCGCTTCCCCGCCCGCCAGCCTCCCCCTCCGCAGCGGCCAGCGCCGACAGCAGCGCGCGCGCCACCGCCCCTCTCTCGCTCTGCTGGTCTCGGTAGTGATACCGGCACAGGCGCACCACCGCCGCCCCACCCCCAACTGCAACCCCACCTCCACCTCCACCTCCCCTCCCGGGTACGGAAGCAGCGGCCCTCCCTCCTGCCCTCCCGAACAACACCTCCTCAATCGCGCACAGCTTTTCATCGGGCACCGGATCCTTAAGCGTGGCGCACATGGTCTCAAAATTCTGCCGGTACGCTTGTCGCAGATTGACCCATGGGTCATTAGTACCGGTAACGCCGGCGTTGCTGCTGCTGCTTTGTACGGCAGGGGCAATGTCGCCACGCATTCTGGTTGTAGATGAGATGGCGGGCCTGAGCGCCGCGACGTGCAGGCTTGCAAGGTTGGTGAGGCCGAGGTAGGAGGCGGAGCGGGCTGACAAGGTGCGGACGAGGCGTGTGAGGCGGTCGGGTGTGGTGAGGGAGGCGAGCGGGTCGAGGGCGCCCTCAAAGGGGGCGGAGCGGCGGGACAGCGCGGCGCACTGGGGGGTGGGACGGAGGGGCAGGAGAGGTGAGATTCAAAGAGGAGGAAGCGTGCATGACTGTTTGTCTGACTGGGTTAGGACGCTGGCCAGAGGGGCCGGCTTTGGGTAGTGGGGAGTAGGGGATTCCAGCTAGGGGCAGAAGCGCTTTCAGGAGTTGGGCAGTGTGCTTGGCTTCAGGAATCCACATTGTGCAAGCAGGCGTGGGGTTTGGCATGGGATGGTGTGATCGGCAGGAATGAGAGGAGGAAACTAGCTACCGCTTAACCGCATGACACGGCTTTTCCACGGATTCCAAACCCCAAAGTGAGGGCAAGGCAAAGGGGATAGGGGGTGGCCGGGTCCAACATGGTGGCCGGCCCGTCCCGCAACAGGGGGGTGGGGCCACATTGCCGGCTAACCGGGCAGCAACTCAACCACTACCTAACCGCCCTCCTGCTCCCCACAAACCCCAACCACCCCTCCCGCTCCCCGGCACAGTTGACCTATCCCCCGGTAAGGCATATGTACCTCCGCATTTCCACTCCATGTTCCATCCCGCCCCCCCACCTGCATGTGCGCCACCATGTACGCCAGCGCCTGCAGCTCCCGCACCAGCAGCGCACCCGCACCGCACCGCAACAGCACCGACTGCGCCAGCGAGGCGGCCAGACACATGCGCCGGGGACACGTCCGGAACTCCGGGTCGCTGCCGCTGTTGGCGCTAGCAGCAGCAGCAGACGCGTCAGGGCCGCCGCCGCCGCTGATGTCGCGCTCCTTGCTGCTGCCCTCCTCAGCTCCGCGGGACTGGTGGGGTGGCTGCTGCGGCTGCGACCGCTGTGCTGGTTTGGGTTGCTGCTGCTGCCGCTGCTGCTGCTGCTTCGCATGCTTCCCTCGCGGCCCCTCGCTTCCCTGACCGCCCTGCTCCCCAACCTGCTTACCCGCCCTGGCAGCTGAGCCATGATTGCTGCTGGAAGTGCAACTGCCGCCGCTACTGGCGGCAGCAGCCGCAGCACTATTGCTGCTGCTGCTACTGCTGACATCGCCGGGTGGCGGCATGGCCAGTCTCACCTGCGCTGCCAGCAGCAACACCGCCCGCGAGGCGAGCAGCTGCTGGGCTGAGATGACCCCCGGAGTCGCCAGCAGCGGGCCGAAGATCGTGCACCGCTGCAGCTCCTCCAAATCGGAACCCGCCGCCGACCTAGCGACAGCTCCGTAGCCGCCATCCCCGCCAGCCGCCGCCGCCGCAGCAGCAGCAGCCGTACAGCTCGTCAGCCGCTCGGCGATGTCGTACACGTCAAGCGCGTCTGTCGCCGCCGCCAGCTTGCCGCGCAGGGCGCGTATGGCCTGGGCACGTTTGGCCTCCTCTGCGGAGCCGGCTTGTGCGCTCTGGTAGCCGGCCTCCTCGAAGAAGTACCTGCAGGACACCTGGATGAGCCGGCTCCAGGCCGCCTCCTCCTCGTCCCCTTGGGCGCTGGGGAGGGGCGCCTTGTTGAGCGGAGTTGAAGGCTCGCTAAGGGCTGGTGGAGGCGTCGTGGCAGGCTGTTGGCGCGGCGGGTCATGGTTTGTCGATTGTGGACGGGATGTACCGGTAAACGTTGGGCCAACGGATGTCCGCGAGGAACCGCCTGAAAAGCCCGCTGCCGCGTTCCTGCTGTTGGCGAATATTGGTGGAGATGAGGATGCAACATTACCAGTGTTGCTTTCGCCGTTGCTTCCTACTTCTGCACATGTGACCCCCGTTGGCAGCGATGTGCGCGCCGAGCTCAGCATGAATGAAGGATTTCCTCTTTCCCTAGCAGTGGCAGCCTTTTGCAGAAGTGGTGCATGAGGGCCTCTTAAGCAGGGCCGTCGCCCAAACTGATGAGCCTGATTTGCCACCCGAGGGCCCAAGAGGTATGCGGGCAGATTCAGATGCGCTGCAACGCAGTGCCTACGCTGTATTTTAGCGAACTGATTTGCCGGATCGGCATCCCTTCGTGTTAATTCAGTCGGCTCCGGTTGCGCATGCCAGCCGTCGCCGAAGCTAGCCATAGCTCTCCAACCTGGCACAGATTGTTAAAACAACGTGTCCATATATAACTAACTAGTCTATCGGCGTATCGCGTCCCCCTTCACGGCCTGCTTAGCCCATCCATCCTCGCTGTGCTTTAAAGCCATAGAGGACCTCCGCCTAAAATCGCAAACATGTACTGCGTTATCAGAATAAAAGTTAGCATGTCGGAACACTAGCCCTAAAGGTCGTCGTACGCGTTGACCTAACAAGGCATATGAGATGACTTCTTGCGCCTATCGATAATTGGTGACTTCAAATATCAAACACAATACACAGCTTACTGCATGTTAAGCATGATTGCGCGTTTGCGACAGCCAACAAGAGACCGGAGGCACATGCCCACATCTCTAGCCGCAACGCCAGGTTTAAGAAGATGCAGACCCAGGAAGCAAAGTACATCGCAAAGTCCTATCTGTATGCAAAAATCCTCATATCCACTCGTATCTCCTTTCTCCGGCCTAACTTTCCGTAGAACATGGACCTAGCACTTCCACCATTCCGAAGAACGTCGGCCTCATGGTCTACTGCACAGCCGCTAGGACGCACATCCTGCCACTCTCTTGGCTTACCAGAACTACACACACGCCCACATTCACCACTCATCCGGAGTTACTTAACAAACGGGAATGCGCAGCAAGGCTGGTAACGTGATGAGGCCCGCACGCCACGTTACGTCCGACCAACTCCGCTCAAAAGCCGTTGCCTCATCCTGCCTGTGGATGCCCCTCACAGCACACATTGCATATCGGACCTAAGCTGACTACGTCAGACTCTGCGGCTCCTCCCCTCCTTCCAACACCCAAATATTAAGCGTGGATTAAAGGTGATGGTAGTAGCACAGACATTAATCCCCCATCCTAACCCACACCAAACAGCCCTGCGTACCGGCAGGTGGAAGGCCGCACGCGCCACCCCGCACGTGTCATACCGCCTGCACACCACGACGCCAAGCTCCCAGCCGCCCTCACCACCAGGCCCCCTGCTGCCATCCCACACGCCCCCAGCAATGCTGCATCCAGGCCCGCCTCCCTCACCCTACCCGCCCGCCCGCCTCACCCTACCATCAACCCCATCGCCGCCACTGCGGCCACCCGCAAACCACCCCAGCAGCTGCCCCTGGCCCCTGCCCCACAGCCTGATTGTGACTCCGATGCTTCACTTCTAATTTATTTCCCTCCCTGCCCCTGCTCCTCCCCCGCCCCCTGTCCACCCTGCATCCCCTCTTCCCCCGGCAGCCGCAGCAGCGGTGCCCCCAGCTCCTGCGCACTGCCCTGCTCGCACACCAGCACCGTCAGGTGCAGCGGCTGATCGTACTGCGAAAGCGCGGACCCAAAGTACTTGGCGTCAAACAAGTGACGGTACTGGCGGTCCATTCGGACCAAACGTTGAATTAACACGCCGTCGAACTCCCGTTCTGCGCCTTTCTCGCGCCGGCAATACGCCCCGAACAACATGTCGAACTCCCTTTGCTCCGCGTCGCTAACATGCACTTCGCCAACACCCAGCAGTGCGCACGCAGCACGACTGAGTCCGCAGCGCCGCCGCAGTTGCCAGCCCTTGACCAGCCGCTCCGAAGCCTCTGATTGCACGCCTCCCCGCTTCTGCTCCTGCATGCTGCCGCCCAACCTGCCATGCGCAGCGCCGCTGGGGGCAGCGAGCTGCACACTCACCCAGCCGTCAGCACCCTCGACATCGCAGCCCGCAACCGCGGCCCCCGCACAGACGCTGCCGCCCAGCCGCGCATATCTGGCTCCTGCAGCATCCGAAGCTACCTTCGCAGCCCCAGCTGCCGCACCTGCCCCGGAGTCCTCCCCCTCCTCCTCCACGGCTGCCGCCTTGGTGGGCTGCCGCTCCACCATGCAGCGCTGCAACTCCAGCTCCGCGCCGCCCAGGTAGTTCTGTACGGCAGCGGGCACCAGCTCCGGAACCACCACCAGATCCAGGCCCCTCCGCAGGAACTCCATGCGCAGCTGCGGAGGAGGAATGGCGGGGCATGGGAACAGGAGGTAAGTGAAGGGCTTGTGTCCATCAAGCTTGTGTCAGTGTAAGCGCGCACGCACGATGTATCATTAAGCCGTACACAGTCCAGCGCCCCCGCAGTGTCATTGCCCACTCAGCGTTTGCCCCATCACATTTTCGCTTCCCCACCACCCCCACCGGGGGTATGCTAGGGTCACGGTGAGTATGTATCGCGGCCCAGTCTACGTGACCCCCACCGCCGCCCCCCCTGCCGCCTCACCTCAGCCAAGCACGTCAGCGCCTGGCCCACCACCTCACGCCGGGGGCGCAACCACACGGCATGCCCCTCCTGCAGCTGCCTCCTCATCCTGTCGACTTGCCGGTCCAGGAACCCGCGCACCAGATCGTCTGCCACGTCGTCGCGCCGTGGCGTTGGGATGAACCCGGCCCTCGGCACCGCCTCCCGCGCTGTCGCCGCCAGGACAAGCTCCGTGGTGGCTGCACTCAGGGGCAGCAGTGTGGCCGCCACGACGGGGGGCACCCCGGGAGGCAGCCAGCAGGGCTCCAGCGGCTCCTCGGCAGGGGGGTGCTGCTGCAGCGGCTGCTGCCCCTCTTGTTGCATCGCATGCTGTGCAACCAGTTGCGCACTCGTCATGAGCCGCACCCCCAGCAGCCCCTCCCCAGCGGCAGCGGCAGTGGCGGAGGCTGCGGCAGCTGGGTCGCCCGCTGCCCGCAGCTGCCGGGCCGCCGCGGCCGCGGAGGTGCGCCTGAGGTGGCCCACTGCGGCGGTGTGCAGCAGCGCGAGCTGCATGGCGGCCGGGCCCACAGCTACCAGCGAGCGGGGACGCTGCGGAGGCAAAAATATGTTGGGGGGGTTTACGGGTTCGGGTTCGGGAGGAAAGTTGTGTCTGCGGTGTAGAGCCCTGGGGATAGTGAAAGCACTACTAGGACGTCGCATCGTGCTAACCGGCATGCGACTGGCATCCCTAGTAAGGCGACTGCGCCCGCCTCACCCCGTCCAACGCAGCTCCCAGCAGCGCGCGCAGCAGCTCGGTGCGCTGCGCCTCGCCCAGCGGGTCCGCAAGGCGGGGCAGGGCGCTGCGGCCGCCACCGCCGCCACCCTTGCCACCCGCCAGGTGCGACTCCAGAAGGCTCGGATAGTGGCGGTGAAAAATCTCAGAGATAAGGCCCTTCCCGGCAGCAACCTCAGCACTGCCGTTGACCTCAACCTCGCCCTCCTGAGCCACTCCCGCAGCGCCCTTGAGCCCTCCCTCCTTCAGCAGGCTGAGGTAATGACGGCCCGTGATGGCGCATGGGTCCGTGCCACTCTTCCTCAACAGCAAGATGGAAGTCAGGTAGCAGAAGAGGAACAGGTCAACAGACATGAAGAAGTGTCCTCGGGTCCGGGTCGCATAATCTTGCTCACAGAGAAAGCGCGCCAGGGGCAACAGGAGCTCTAGGGAGGTGGCGGCGACGTCGGAGGGCTGCTCGACCTGTGCGTTGAGGTTGAACCTGACAAAGGACTGCACAGGGTGAAGGGGGGCCAAGTGACGCAAACGGCGCAAACAAGGTTACGCAGTGTGGGTGAACGAGGATGGGCGGACGGTGCATGGGGGCAGAGGACGGTTTTTGTGAAGATGGTGACGGGGCCGGGGAAGGGGACGACAATAGGGTATTTGCCACCCACATTACGGGCACGGGATGAACGGGTTGCTGCGGTTTGAGGTCTCCTAAGCAGGGAGGGCATTGGGAGCTAGCGCTGGGTGGTTGTGCACGCACATGCGCATTGAGCCACAGGCGCGGCCCCTGCTAAGCAGCAATGGTACTGTCGCGTCCAAGGTCAAAGCCACGTACCTGCCCCTCAGCTCACATAGCCCCGGAGCCCATGCATGCACCCGGCCCCGCCCCCACCTGCAGCCGGGCGATGGCCACCACCAGCCAAACCATCTCGATGTACGGCAGGGGCGCCAGGCCGCGGCTCTGTAGCAGCGCATCTGCCAGCAGCACCGCGGAGGCCAGGTGCGCTGCGGCGGGCTGCTCCTGCTGCTGTTGCTGGTCCTCCGAGACCATTTGGGTCGGGGCTGCGGCGGCCGCAGGGCCCTCCTGAGGGAGCCAGCGACCGCTGGGTCGGTTGCCGGGCGCCAGGATGCACCAGAGGTGGTCTGAGGCCAGCGCGCCGAACAGGCCGATGAGGAAGGCCGCGCGGCCGGGGAGGGTGTCCAGGCCAGTGGTGTGAAGGTCCTGTGGGGCGGAGGCGTAGGAGCGGGGGCGTCGAGGGAGGCTCGGTTTCGGAGCGATGTGGGATATGTTGGTCGAAGTAAAGAGGATGGGAGGGTGGGGGCAATCGACAATCGTTAAAGGACATAAGAGTGGTGTACATGACCGTATCGTCACTCTAGATACCAGGGTCTATGCTCAAACGGTGCCAAGGGATGAAGACTCTACCGCAGCTCGTAAACCCAGCATCTGACAAGCACTTGTGCCGCAATTGTAGCACCCGCTAAAGCAACGCAATGGGGGTTTGTACGGCATGCACTCACCACCGCCCCCGTGTAGATGCTCCGCAGTGCCGTACAGTTACTGACGCGCCCCCCTGCCGGTGCGGTGGGCCGCCGGGCAGCCAGCTGTTGAGCCATGCCGACGACGTCCTGGCCCTCCAAGAACCCGCTGATCTGGACGTGCAGCGGCTCCTCTTGGAGGTCAACCCTCTCGCTCGGGAGGCCGCCGCCGGCGTCCTGGCCACGTGGGGGAATGTCCCTGCCGGCGGACATGGAGTCCCCTCGTCGGATACTCATGCCCCACTGCTTCCGATAAAAGCGAGACATCGTGATAGTTACGAGCTGCAGCCAGGTGCCCTGTTCCGAGGCCCAACTCGTGCCGCTGCCTTCCACTTCAGAGGCTGTGGAGGACCGATCTGGGTCGCACTTAGAGCCCATAGGGCGCTTGGCATTCTTAAGGCTCAGGGTTTGGGAGGAGCAAAACAGTTCCGGCGCCTTGGAGCTGCGGTTGAGTTCTCGGGAATCGCTGCCACGGCAAGGTTCCCCTGCCGTGCTGCGGGAGACATCTGCTTTAAACAAATGGTCAACACGACCGCGGTTGGTCTGCACGGTGGACGCGCGTGCTGATACCCTGAGCTCTGGCGTCGGTTCCTTGCTGGCCGGTTCCGAGCTCGGAACAGGTTGGCTTCCAGGTTCACTAGGTAACCTTGAGGTGGAGGCGTTGCAACATGCGTTGTACGCCGAGTCACGGCTGGACACCGGGGTCGTTGCACCCACGTCCAGAGAAGTTGCAGCTGCGCGTAAGTGCGGGCAGTACCGCGACCCCTTAGTCCTGAGGGCGGCGACCCGCACAGCAAGAGGTGCTGCCTGCAGTGCCCGGTACTCCTCCTGCTTCCTTGTGTTCATGAGTAACAGAGAAGGTTGGATGCCCAGCTGAGCTGCGACTTGAAGACGACGTTGCGTAGCAGTAATTTGAGCGTTAACCGCTGTGCCATGACTTGTCCGCGGTAACGAGTATGTCACAGACCAATCTTCACCTGACATGTCGGTATGCGTAAGTGCGGACAGGCAAGGTCTGCACTACAGCGCGCTTCTTGTTAACTGTAGGTAAGCAAATGGCTGGTTCGGGCTGTTTTGGCAAATCTAGTTGGGACTTGATTTGGCGGGAATAATGCTCCGAAGGCGTTAGTACGGCTATCCTTAAGGCCCTGTCATGTTCTGCGCGTGGGAAGAACAAATGCCAAAAATGAGGACTGCTTTCAAGTCGCCAGGCATTACGGGGCCTACATTGTCCTGCCGTTGCTTGATTACATAAAAAGGACGGTGCGTCTAACATGTTGAAACACTGTTGAAGAACTCCTACCGTGCTTTGTCCAGGGCAAGCTCTACAGTCATAGATGTTTCGCATTCTGCACTGGGCTCAATCAGCAGAGGCCGTTGGGCGCAACCAAACGTATAAACATTGGAACATGCCATGTTTCCCTCAGTCTGTCTGAACCCATCACCGGCACCCAGCATCAGTGGCAACGCCAGGGTGAAGGTTGCAGTTCCTGCTAATCAGCACGGGCACAGCGCTTGCACCTATGCATGTTGCGTGCACCATTAGGGCGGTCAGGGGCTTCAGCTCTTTGATGGTTGGCGAGTGTAGCAGCATCCCAAGCAGAGCTCCAGAAGCTGAGAGCACTCTAGTGCTACCACCAGTGCCATTACGCGCTTGCCTGCTATATACAGGCCTGGCGGGGCTTAAAGCGCCAATAAAGCACTGACGTGTCGACATCAAACACAGCATCCCCTTACACGGGCACGGTGGCCCATGGCATGGCCAAGCTTAGGCGGTATAAGTCGGTAGAACGGGGTGGTCATTCTAGAGGCCCTGGTGCTGCTGCCAGCACTACTGCCTCACTGACTGTATCCTTGCGCCAATGCTGTGCTCATGCTTCTTGGGAGGGGCAACGCCTATGGCATTACCTGTCATTTGCTGGGCGCTGAACCTTGCCGCGAAGGCGGTCCCATACACTACCGGTTGACAGACGTTGACAGGTTATTAAAACATGTTTGCGCGCACGAAAAAGCGTGCTGTGAGGCGCTGCGGGCATAAGGCCCCCGCCTATTTTCCCTAATGTAAACCACGATGCAAATGTGCAGCATGGATCGTTCATACCATGGTGAAAACCGCCCATCCCATCAGCACTGGGCACGTAAGCACCATTGGGCCAGATCAGTAGTACGGTGGGGGACCACGTGCGAACCCCTGGTGACGATCTGTTTTGTTGCCCTAATCAACTTTTGCCCGTGATGCAGCCCATGCACCTAACGCCGTCTCATCCTCGCCACAGCCCTTTTCAGCGGACGGTGTTCCATAAAGCCTGTGGCGGGAGAGAGAGAATGCTACTGATGGCCCTAAGACGCCGGCTTTAGGAAGCCTTGCGAATCTCGAGGCAAAGGAGTTAGGGCTTTAACCGCTGCTCCCGGTGAAAGCGGCATCGCAGGTGTCTCGCTTGCGAAGTTGCGATGCACTCATTTCTCTCCTGCTCCAGCTCTCGTGCGTCAGTTACCTACAGTACCGTATTGCATCCTAGTGTCAGGAGCTTTAGTCACAAGCCACATCCCTTGCTTGGTTTCTGTATCCCAGAGTAGGACTGGTATCTGAAAAACAAACAATTATCAGCAAACTTCGCATCAGGTACGTGTGTGTCTACCAATCTTCCAACCTCAATCCTTGGATCGAGCCGGACGGTGCAAATACTTAACTACATACACATTCAGGAGCGATAACTGCAAAAGCTTACCTCTATGTCCCAACGCATCTTTGTTTGCTAACACCGCGGCCAACTTGTATCTCACTCCACAACTGCGACAGCTGTCCCTTCCCGCTCGTTGTATTATTGTTGAAGCGGATGTCTGCAACACGACGTCAAGATTAATGGGCTGTCCTTTAGGCAGAGTGCTGCGTAGCGTTGGTGCTCATCTCAAATGGACGGCATCTTCACAGGAGCAAGTAGCCACGATGATGACTCAACCGTTTTCACCGACACCGTGGACGGCACAACCAGGTATATATTGCCAAACAAGCATCTGAAACATGGTTAGGCATACCGCGTGAAAGAATGCAAAACCCACCATTTGCATACCACGTGCACCGCACTTTGCATACTTCGCGCACCCCTGCAGCAGTTATGTCGTTGTGGCCGTTTCGCGTCCTAGCATGTATTGCGGGCTCACCGCACCTCTCCCTCCTGGCCTTCACCCTAACCGTCCTCGTCTTCGGCCGGGCCCGGCATGCTTCACCCCTGCAGCTTGCCCGCCTACTGCATCAAAGTCATCGATACGCCGCCTTTCCAAAGGCTGCGTGGGTTGTGGGCGCTGGGTGTTACCAAGTTCGTGTTCCCTGGAGCGGTACACACCCGCTTCGAGCACTCCCTAGGTGTGGCATACAAGGTATGATGCCGGATGCTGGGGCATCAACGCCTACAGAGACCTGAAAGGGAACGTCTAAGGCGACCGGGGCTCCGCAGCATTTCCCCCAGGCCAATCGCGCATCGGCAAGGGGCGGTACGCAACCGTGTCGAGTTCAGAAATGCAGCAGCTAAGGGCGTCCTCCCGCACATCATCCCTGCTCCCACGACGCTATAATCCCCGGCACCCTCAACCTCACCCGCAGGCTCACAAGGTGGCACGGCACATCTGGAAGCAGCAGGGCGGCGAGCGGGCGGCCCTCGCAGGCGGGCTGGCGGTGGACATGGAGGAGGAGGATGTCAAGTTCGTGACGCTGGCGGGTGGGCCCGGGGAGGGGGAAAGAGGGCGGCAGGGGTGACACCTCACACGCACCGAATTTAGATGCACCCGGGGAGGCGTTGGGGGGTAAGGAAAACCAGTTGTAATGGATAGCCGGACCAACCCGCCGAGCCCGACCCACCAAGCTCGTTGGGGGAGGGGGGGCAGCATGTTGCATGCTACGTACTACACGCTGGGGTAGCGGGGCTTACGACAACTGGCAAGCACTCCCCCACGCAGGGAGTGGCAGGCGGCAGGTAGGTGTGTAGACGTCTATGGTGGCATTGAGCAGAAGCACCTCCGTTTGTCCGCGTGTCCTACCCCATATGGTGCGCGTGGTTGTCTGCTTCCTGCGCCCTGCCGACCCGCTCCCTCCCTCCCTCCTTGCTTCCTTAAGGCCTGGCGCACGACCTGGGTCACGGGCCCCTGTCGCACCCCTTCGACCACTTCGTAGAGCGCATGGGCGTCCCGGACTGGTGAGGGGACAAGGGTGGCGCTGGGACGGGCGCCAGGGGGGTTGGAGCATCTCGCCAGGAAACGACAGGGCATGTGGGATTGAGGTCGGCAGGTCTAGGGCGGCCGCAGGACCAGCGCTGGAAAATGCTCAACACACCGGTCGACCGGCGGGCTGGGGAGGTCTCTCGCCCCTTACCGGGTTCCTTCTTCTCCTCCTCCAGCCATCACCCAAGCTAGCACCTCCCATGCCACCAGCTTACGCACCCAGCTTCGTGCACCCCGCCCCTCTGCCCCCTCCCTTCCCCCACACCCTCCCCCCAGGAAACACGAGCACATGTCGGCCCGCATCCTGGAGTACCTGGCGGACACCTACGACGTGGGGATCAGCCGGTGGGGCGGCAGGGGGAGGAAAAGAAGAATCCCAAGGGGGGGCGGGGAGGGCACACGGGGTTGGGCGGGTCCGGTGGGAAGGGAAGTGGAGGGGTTCCAAAAGGGTGCAGGGCTGGCAAAGTGGAAATGGGGGTAAGCTCGTTTCCCCCAGACCGTCTTGCCGCATTATCTAGAGCAACCCGGTGCCTGTTCGCCTGTTTCACCCCCGCCCTGCCCCCTCCCCCCCCCCCCGCAGCTCCGACGTGGCTCGCATCACGGACCTCATCCACGGGGCGCCCGCGGAGCACCAGCAGCTGGGAGGAGGGGGCGGGGGCGGGCTGTGGCGGCCGGGGCGGCGCTTCCTGTTTGACATCGTGGCGAACAAACGCAACGGGTGCGGGGCGGGGGGGCGGGGTGGTTATGGTCTGGGTGGACTTGCCGGTGTGGTGACGGGGGCCCTATGCCTTCATCCCGACTACCTAAGGGGTTTACCCGCCAGGTCGTCAGCTCCCCCTCCCTCCCTCCCTCCCTCCCCTCGTGGTTTCCTGTGCTTTGGTCTACCTTGACCCCCTCCCCCCTCCCTCCCTCCCTCCCTCTGGCTTGTGAATGCCTGCTTTTTTCTTTTTTGGTTTTTCTTTGGTTTTAATTGGTCCAAAAATTGACCCCCCCCCCAGTGTTGACGTGGACAAGGTGGACTACCTGCAGCGGGACGCCTTCATGTGCGGGGTGCGGGTGGGCTGCGACTTTGACCGCCTGCTCAAAAAGAATTTCATCAAGGTGGGTGGGGGCGCGGAACACCACCACACCACGCATGCACATGCAGGCATCCAGACATGCAGGAGCTAGTGTGCCCACCTTGCGTCCGTGCCCCGCCTCCTCGCGGCCTTGCGTTTGCATGGTTCCCCTCGTCCGACAGCTCGGCCTGCCGCGCTGGCCCATAGCCCCCCCTCCTCTCCTCGTGACGTCCGTGTGGTGCCCGCCTCCCCCCCTTCCCGCCCGCCAGGTACTGGGTGACGAGGTGTGCTACCCCTGGAGCGAGTACGGCAACGTCCTGGACCTCTTCCGAGCCCGGGAGGCCATGCACCGCAAGGTCTACACCAACAGGTGAGGGGGGGCGGTAGGGTGCTGGGGTGTGTGTGTTGACAGCTTGGTATGATGGTCGGGTTATTCCATCAAGGAGAAGGGAAGGTCGGTGAAGAGCGGAGGACCCTTCCTTCCCGCCCTTACCTTCCAGCTGCCCCTACAACACTATCACCACCTGCACCCCAGCCCTGCCTCCCCCCTGTTGGATATTCTCCCCCCTTGTCCCCCCTTCAGGAAGAACAAGGCGGTGGAGCTGATGGCGGTGGATGCGCTGGTGGCCGCGGAGCCGCTGCTGAGGATCAGGGAGCGGCTGCAGTCGCCCCAGGTGGGGGGGGAGGGAGGAGGGGGGGGGGAGGAGGCCAGAGGGCTGGGCGGAGCGGCATGCGAAACCATGGGGGGACCCTAGCGCGGGGTCCGGCGCGGGTCTCCATGACGAGGGAGAGGGGGATGGGTGCTGTCGGGTCTGATGCACGTCAGCGCTGCTGACGCTTCGCCACGTGTTGCTGCCTGCGGTGCCCCGCAGGACTACCTCAGCCTGGATGATTCGGTGCTATCGGTGAGGGGCGGGGGTGTGAGGGGAGCGGGAGCGGGGGGGCGCAGCAGCACCCGTGCGATCACGTTATCAGGGATCACGGGGGGAGTGGAGGGGCCTAAGCAGAGGAAGTCGGTGTGGCATGGAGCCAGGGGAATGCAACTGAGTCGGCGTGCATGCAGAGCGCAACGACGCGAGTCCGGTTGCCATTGTCCCCTCGTTCCCCGATAGCAACCGCTTGCGGTCCCCTCCCCCTCTTTACCTTCCCTGCATGCGTGCATCCCTGTCTTACTGGGTCTTGCCTCTTGCGCCCCGCTCTGACCTCCCGCAGACCATCGAGCACTACCGGATCAACTACAGGTGCGTCTGCCGGGTGTGCGACCGCAGCCCAGTCCCCCACTGCATGTCCGCAAGACCCCACCCCACCTGCGGTACCCGGCCACCCTTTACCATCGGGTCACTCCATGCCATACTCCATGCCAAGACAAACCCCGCCCTGATCCCCATGCCCTCTGAGCCTGTATGCCACCTTGGGGTTGACTGTGCTCGCCGCAAGGGCAATGACCACGCAACCCACATGCCAGCCCACCCTGCTGCCCTGCCGTGTTGCCGCGTCCCCACCAACCCGGGCCCCCAGGCGCCCGCTGGACGACGCGGAGGAGCGCGCACTGACCGCCGCGCAGGGCATCGTGCGGCGGCTGCGCACCCGGCAGCTCTACCGCTTCGGCAACCAGATGACGGTGCCGCCCGAGTACCTGGCGGACAGCCGCTGGGAGGTGTGGGGGGGGGAGCGCGGGGGGGGGGGCGGGACATGGCCTGGGCAATGGGAGCTGTTTGCGGAAGACTTGTATTGGCTGCGAGGCGTCTACCCGCCAGGCGCGAGCGGTATCACACCCTGTTCCCACAACGCATGGTGAATTGCTGTGCCAGCACCACTCACCCAGTCCATGACTTGTCCCCGGCACCCCTCACTCCCCACGCCCCGCACGCCCTCCCTCCGCCCTGCACTCCCCCCGTGAAGTCCATGAAGTGCCGCTTCACGCCCGCCGAGGTGGCCGCCTGCTACGGCGGCTCGGAGGTGCCGGGCGGGCTGCGGCCGGAGGACATCATCTGCGACGAAAACAAGATTGACCACACCATGGGGGGAGCCAACCCGGCTGAGAGGGTGGGTGGACTGGGTGGGTGGGTTGGCTAGGAGGGCTAGCCGCGGGCGAGTCTTCAGCCCTCCGAAGACTGCGAGGTAGCATTTGCTGGGAGCCGTATCGGCAAGCAGGCCGAGGGGATGGCACTGAACGAGGAGGGCAACCTAGGCATCATCCTTTGCGGGCAGGGCAGTCATCAGATTGGCGCTGATGGTGTGTTCAACTGCAATGGCCCCACACTCGGCCTGTCTTATCGCCGCCTGCACCTGCCGCTCCCTTCCCCCCTTCCCCCCTTCCCTCCCCCTCCCTCTCCCCACGCAGGTGGGTTTCTTCGCCAGCCACGACAGCCGCGACAAGTTCTACATCACGCAGCACCAGGTGGTGGGCATACTGCCGCACTTCTTCCAGGTGGGGGGGAGAGGGGGGGAGAGAGGGGGGGGGGAGGGGGGGAGGAGGGGGAGGGAAGGGAAACGGAGCGGGAGGAGGAGCTCAGTCCAGGGTGAAAAGCTTCGGTATGGCATATGGCACGCAAGCATCCTTCGCCCCTTGGCATCGCCCCTTGCACATCCCAATGCTGGCACGTGTTTCCCTCACGTCCCTTTACAGGCCCCACCCCTGTCCCTCTCCCAGTAAACCCCTGCCCTCCCGCCGATGCTGTGTGTCGCAGGAGCGCGTGCTGCGTGTGTTCACTCCGCACCAGGACGAGCGCTACGTGCGGGCGATCGAGGAGGCGCTGGCCCGGTGGTGCAGCCGGCACTTTGGGGGCGGCGTGCAGCTGGCCACACCCGTGCGGCCGAGGAGGCCCAGGGAGGGCGGCGGCGCGGCGGCGGGGGCCGGGGCGGGCATCCCGCCGCATGTGCTTGCTCGAGAGGTGAGGGCGGAGCGTGGTTGGGGGCAGCACTCAAGGAGGGTGGGGTTGGAGCGCTGGAGTGGTGACACAGGGGATGGTGGTTGCGTGCGGGGCTTGCTGGGTGGGCTGAGGACGGGAGCGCAGGAGCTGTCGGTGCTTGCGCTTCCTGGTGCTCCATGGGTACCTCATTTCATGTGGGCACGCCGACAATGAGCTGTGACCGGCACCGCTTGGGGCACATATCGGCCACCCCACCGCCGCTAGCACCTGCTCCAGTTACCTCGACTCGTTCCGTCGTCCACCCTCATCCACCCTGCACCACCCCGGCGCCCGCTCCCCTCCACAGGTTGCCATGCGGGAGGTGGTGGGCTGCATGCGCCAACAGGGGGCCGGCACGCGGCCCGCAGCAGCAGCACCGCCCGCCGTCGCCGCTGCTTCCGCCGCCGCCACGGAGCTCGGAGCCGTCCGTGTGGCCTCCGGCGGCTCCCTGGCGGCCAGCACCCTGGGGTCCGCCAGCGCGGTGGAGGTGACGCCGCCTCGCGCGGGCCGCCTGAGGGGACCCGGAGCGGCAGCGGAGGCGGGGCCGGGGCCCGGGATGGGGGCGCCTGTGGTGCTGGCTGACGGTTGGCAGGAGGCGGGGCGAGGAGGGGAGGGTAACGGTGGTGCGGGTGCGGGGACGGGCCGGTGCGAGGGGCGGGGTGGGGATCGCAGCGAGCCGGATGCTGGTCGAAGCAAGCGGCCGCGAAGGGGTGCGGGCTGTGCGGTAATCCCGGTAAAGCCGTTGTGAGTGGTCTTGTATGCGGGCTGCGGTGAGGGGGGTTGGTTGCGTATGTGGGGCTCGGCCTTGCTTAAAAGGTAGGGTAGGGCGCTTCATTGCGTTGGTGGGAAGCGTGGAAGGCGGGCTGCTGTTGGCTTACTCGCGAGGGCCCTTATGGCGCTTTGTCGCAGCTCTGCTCGGCAGCCCTGATGCGGTGACGGCGGTGTGCAGGCATGCAAGCAGCGCTTACCGTTCCCGCCGACCTCCATTCCTGGGACGTGAGAAGGGGGATCTGGCAATGGCGTCGAGCCGACCAGCACCAAGAGCAGGGGGCGCTGCCTGGGGCTTGTCGGTATGCAGGGTGTTCTTCCCGCTGCATCGTGGGGATGGTACGGCGCTGGCAGGAGGTGGTGTTGGGGTCCGGCTGGAGGTGGTGTTGGGGCTTCATGCGTTCCGATGGCCAACTCGGTCCAGCCATGTACCCCACATGGTGCTGCCCGGGGTGTCCTAGGTGAGGGAGGCACTGTGGAGGATTGGCGTTTTGGCTTGTCGTCTAGAACAGGACGGTGGAGGATTGGAGTTTTGGGCGGCGCTAGCAGGCATAGCTCTTTACATTAATTATTGACGCCGTAGCAGGTATGACTCTCATAACTTTCGGCTTATCCTCGTACCCAAAACTGCTGGTATTCGTGATGGTCTTGTCAAGACATGGTTTGCTTGCATGCATGCGTGTTCATTGTGCTGTGGAGGCTGCTGTAGCTGTAGGTGCAGTGTACTTTGGGGGTGGCTGTTTGTAGGTGGGGTAAGGGCAGGGTAGATACAGCGCGGGTTGGTTACCTTGTTGGATCATTACTTGAACTAACGTTGGCTTCCTGACGGCTGCTTGGAGTGCTTGAGCACTGTGCACGTGTGCACAAGCAGGCGCCCTCGGCTTGATGCAGCTTGCTCCACCTGGTGTACCGTACACAGGAAAGGCTGGCTGGTCTCGCTGTTCACCGCTAGGCATCATGTACTAATTAACGGCCACGGGGCCGAACGCCTTCATAAGAGAGACGTGTAGGAGTTAAGTGACCGTAAAATGATGGAGCATTTTGTGCACTGTCTTGGTGTGTGTATGAACATGTTGGACGCCATGAAGGCCCATGGGTCGGCGTGGCTGCTTCGTACGGCGGTGGCACGGCGGCTGCGTTACTTTACGAGACGCTAAAAAGGGCCCCTGGTAAGGATCCAGGACGAGGTTCCTTGATTGGTGGGCCTGGTAAAGGTTGGCCGACGTGTGCGAGTGAGTGGGCGGCTTTGCCATGAGCAGGAGGGTTGGGCAGTGTGCCCGGCACGGCTTGTCATGATGTTCCTAGCCTTTTGCAGGCTTGCGGCGGTGGTGAGATCATGGGCGCACTAGTCAGGAGTCGTTGCCATAGCAGCAGTAGCAGGACGTGAACATTGGTTGGGAGGTTGTTTGCCCATAGAGGGGGCGCCACACGACAGCAGCGAACACCATAGTCCCCTCAGGTCCCGCTTGGGGATGGCACTATTTTGCGCTGGTACCCCTCCGTAGGATACCATGGCATCACGAGTTCGGTACATCAGCCTGGCTTAACTCCCCAACGCTTGGAAAGGCTGTAATGGGTGTCGGACCGTTGGTGCGTGTTTTAACATGATAACCGACCAACCGCTTCGTACATCCTCACAACATGCTGATAGTAGCGGTGAAGTTGGACACAAATTCACCTGTTATGCTTTTCCCCCTTAACGCGTTTGTTCTCAGCAGAGCTCCGGACGGCTTTCGGCTTGAAAAGCGCCATTTCCATACTCTATCTAAATGACTCTGGCGAACACATGTTCCTTTATATATATGTGTAATGCCTTGCACTAGCCTGAAATCTCCAGCAACGCTATCATTTCCTTGTGTCTGACTATAATTTATGCAACGGCTATTTTGTCTAGGACAATGAGCAGGACTAGGTAGTAGGCACACATCATAGGAATGGGAATACATTGGCGCTGGCCTGACGTCTTAACGTTAGGCTTCGCGGTGCTCGCTCTGGCCAGCTGCAGCCATGTTGATGCAAGCGAAGCGGGCGGCACGGCAGTCGACTTTGAAACCGTGTGGTTGCGGCGTGTTGCAGCGTTTAACCAAACGCACCAAAACAATGGTACTGACATCGCGGTGGTCAGCTTAGATAGCATCCTGGAGACCGCCCAGTATCTCTTCGCGGCTCCCACGTCGTTGAACGAGTCTTTCCATACAGCTCCTGAGCTGCAGGATGACACGTTTTGGGAAGCGGTCGGCATAACCCGGCAGCTGGCGGGACTAAACACAACGGAAGTGGCAGCGAGCGACGTGGAGTCGCTGCTAGACTCCTTGACCGCCAAGGTTGCCAAGCTGCCCAACGAGCTCTGCTGGCCAGTTCTGCGCCGCTTCATAGCCGCCGCGCTGCTGCAGTGGCGCCGTCGCCATGGCCCATACAGCGCAGCTGCACAAGCAGCCATAGTACGCCTTTGCTCGCAGCTCTTCTCCGTGCACAAGCGGGCGGCAGGGCGCAAAGGCGTCATCGACTTCTTCCACGTCTCTAAGGCTGGCGGGACCACCTTCTGCCAGCTCGCAAAGCTCAACGGCTGCCGGACGCAGTCCTTTGCCGCGCGCCGCAACTGCCTAGTCCGCGAGTTCGATGACGTGCCGCGCTGGGTGAACAACTCGCTGCACGTATCTCTGGCGCCGGAGGGGCTGCGCACCCCCTGGTTCGCCAACTGGGGCAAGCCGCGCAACTCCGTATCCTGCCGCATCCGCAAGCGCTTCCTTCTGCGCCGCCGCTACAACATCTTCGCCAATGAGTTCACCCTGTACGGCGGCTTCCGCTTCCCCCGCAACACACACGTCTGCCCGGGGCACCTCAACGTGCTGCAGCTGCGCCACCCGCAGACCCGCCTGCGCTCGCACCTCATGTGGGTCTGGGCGCTGTACGACCACACCTTCAAGGAGCAGGCCTCCGCGTTCTTCCCGACCCGCGGGTCAGAGCATTGGCAGGCGCTCATGCCCGCCGTCCTGCACAACTACTACATCCGCTCTCTGCTGGGCGAAGCGGTGTACTACCTGCCGGCGGAGAATCTCACGCAGGCGCACCTGGCCGCCGCCCGGCTGGCCATGACGCAGTTCGATGTGGTGGTGCTGCTGGAGCAGCCGGCCGCCAGCGAGCTGCTGTACGAGATGGCGATCGGGTGGGGGCTGGGTTTCGGCGAGGTGCATGCGCGCACCAGCAGCCAGGTGCATGAGGTGGGGCGGCAGGGGCTGCCGGGGCCGGAGGACTGGCGGCAGCTGCTGCAGCGGAACCAGCTGGATCTGGAGCTGTATCGGTTCGGGTCGTTGTTGACGTTGCTGGATTCAGTTGTGTTTGATCTGGCACGGGAGGCGGGGCTGGGGTCGGGGTATGCGACGGTGGCTGGGGGCGGCGAGGGTGCGGTGGCAGTGGCGGGGTCTAAGGCTGTGGCACCGGGGGATGATGAGCAGTGGGAGGTGCAGGGTAACTCGACGCGGCGAGGGGGTTGCGGGTTTGTGTCGGCTTTCGACATGGACCTGCCGCTGCCGACTGAATTTGGGATCTGAAGTAAAAGGAATACACATGCATTCTGAACTGGTGATTTGGTTCTTGAAAGGAGAGGCGGAGGTCAGGGTGTAAAACTGTAAATGTTAGGTGGTAGGTGCAGTTGCAGGGGCAGGGCTGCGGCAGTGGCAGCGAGGACGAGACCATGCATGTTCCTCATTAGTGTACCGTCATGGGGCGGCGCTGAGCAGCCGGGAGGGCGGCGCACGGGTGCGCATGCCTCAACGTGTGTGATAGTTTATGGGCTGCCCTGCATGCTGGCACGCAGCTCTACCATCGTCGAGCCTGGGCGGATCCGTAGGGGTCGCGTTTGGTCCCCGTCGTAGTGGATTCTCCCGGCCACAAGGATGTGTCTTTACTTGTGCAACACGTAGCCCGGGAGGGGTCCTGTTTCCCAGTGACCAACTAAGCAATGCGGTTCGCATGCATGCATGCTGTTTCAAAGCGGTCCGCCGCTACTCATGGCCATATGCACGGCATGATGTATCATCGACGTGGTGTCGTACAAGCCGTTGTACTGGTAACCCGAGGCACCTAGCACGGTGCTTGCTTGCTGTCGTACGGTTGGCGGATAGGCGTGCGTGCGTGTACTGCAGTTTCCTTATGGTACTGTGTTAGGCCACTTGAGCTGGTACCAACCCATGTGGGGTCCTGTAGGGACGTGTGCGCGCTTTGGTAAGCCAATGGCAGGCGTAGCATGGGCCCCAGCATGCAGGCAAACCGACTGCCCCACTCATGTCGCGGGTTTTCTCACTGACGCATTAGACTGCATGCGCGTGTCGCAGACGTGCGAGACGACAAGGGCGAACGCGTAGGATGTGTTACACATGGCTAATGATATGTTATACGACCATACGAACGATTAACCGTCTTGCGAACGACCAACTGTCTAAATACAAGCAATGAGTGCCCACCTGGGGCGGCGTGCGAGCATCACCGACATATCGAGCGTGTGTGTGCACCGTCGGAGGGCGCCATGGTCAGTCCTGACATGAATACCCTGTACAGCCTGCTCAGCATGCTGCACTGCACTGTTAGGGGAGTGGAGAGCGCCAGGATGCCCCCACTCTGGGAGGAAACGGCAACGAACGCGATAGCAAAATGTGAGAGTTCCTCAAAAAACACTACAACGGGCAATACATGGGCACCAAGTGGGTACAGCCATCACTAAAAGGACCACCTCTACTTCTCCTACAGTGGTATTTCTGTACATCATCAGGATCTTATATACTACACCCGCAAAAATACGGCGTTTGGTGTACAGGGGGTATCACAAACAGTCATTATTGCGGTGCCTTCGCCTTGCCAGACAAAGCAATACCGGGAACACCCATTCGGAGCTCAGCTAGGTAATGCCACAGAACTGGACAAACCATCCCAACAGGTCCTGACTTGAATCCAAGCCGTAAAGGACCTAAACAGCCAAACCAAACGATCGTCAACATGATCCTACCGACACGGCAGAGAGGGGACAGTAGGTGGCAGTACACGTGCACGTGCCGCCCCAAACCCTTGATGCACATTTCAAAATTAGCTCTCAGCAGCAACGAACAAACTGTACAATATGAGCCGGGCGTGTGTGCCGAAAAAAAGGTGCGCGGAGGGGAATCACAAAAACGCGCCGGGGGGCTCTTATAGTGCAAGGAATAATGCCAAGGTCGTCAGCGTCATCCCCATCCACAGTTAACTCTTCACGTGTCATATTAGTGTCATTCCGCATACCATAGCTTGTCGTACTTAGTTAACATCCTGATACAGCCTTAATCATCCCGCACTTCATACTTGATCGTCATTGTGAACCCCACCAGTTGAAAGTCATCTTGGGCAAAACTCGCCTTGCTATACAGACTCCTATAAACTCTGCATGACCACACACACCTGCCACATAAAACGGTCAACTGACAATCAACCAAAAGTAGACAGTTTAATGCATTTCTCACACAAAAAGGGCCGCCTCCTCTAATAGGGTACAACGCAACACTGAGTTGTCGCGTGTCTCACCGGTCAGTGCTTCCACATCCGCGGTAGGAGCGATGCGAACACAAGCATGCAGGGGATCACACGGGGTTATAAACAGCAGATTCGAACACTGGGCTACCCAATCGGTAGCTGAACGAACCGAAAGGACTGCCGCTGCAGTATGTGCGAGGCAGAGCAACATCAACAGCACAATGAATAGTTTGCGCAGGTGATGGCCTCGGCCGCCGGTAGCGCTGTCCCTACAAACAGGTACAATACACACACAAGGCTGACTCCACGACCTACAAACAAAACCGCATTCCACATCCCTCATCCCTCCTTCCCGGTGACACAGTAATACCTCCCTCACGCCATCAGAACTCCATTTCGGCCTGACCTCTGCTGCTGCAGCTGCAGCGGCCGCTGCTGCGGAGGCGGTAGCGGCAGCGACACCGCCCGCTCCAGCGACTTCCGCACCTCCTCCCGCGCCCTCGCAGCCAACTCCCCGCCATCCGGCATCCGCAACCCCTCCGCGCTCTCCGCCCCCACCCCACCTGCCCCCGCCGCCCTGCCGCGCGCCAGTGCCAGCGCGAAGCTGCGGTTTATGAAGGCCCAGTCCGACACCAGCTGAGTCAGCTCGCCCACCCGGCTGGCCGCACAGCAGCGCGCGGAGCCGCCCGAGGGAGCCGTTAGCAGCACGGAGGGGAAGGCGCGGATGCCGCCGGGCAGCAGCGAGCTCAGCGCCACGTCTAGGCCGTGTACGGCAGCGGTATGCGCCAGGTGACCTAGGACCAGGGCTTGGGAGCCGCGGGGGGCGGCGGCGGCGGCGCAGCAGGCGTGGTTGCGGCGCGCGAAGCCAGGGCCGATGTGGACGAAGACAAAGCGCACGGGAGCGGCGGGGCCGGTGCCATAGCTGCGGCGGAGGCGCTCTAGGAGGGGTGCGTGTGCGCGTGCGGCCTTGTCGGAGACAAAGACGGTGGCGAGCAGGGCGCCTGACGCGGCGGCCAGCCGGTGCTGGTCGAGCCACTGGGCCGCCGAGGTAGCGATGAACCACTCTGATGGCAGTGCGGAGCTTGTGGGTTGGGTCGCGGGAGTGGGCGCCTGAGCAATTGCGACCTGAGGATGGCGTTGGGCATGACGATGCAGGTGAATTGGTTCGCATTCTTTCGCCAATCTAAAAGCAGGCAAGCGTTTAAACCAACACGGTCGTACATTTAATTTTAGACTTTGTATGGCTGGGAAAAAAGCAGGCGCGCCGCGAGCCGCGCTCGCATGCATGCCTAAGCCAACGAGGGAACGTACCTTCCCAGGCAGGGCTCCATGGAGCGTTAGTGGGTGGTGATAGAAGCTCTCAGTCGGCTTAAGCATAGCTGACGAGGAATGAAGCAAAGCCAGCACCACACCCGGAGCAACTCCGGCAGCCATGAGGGCAGAGAGCTTCGCAAGCAAGGTACCGGCAGCCGCGGCAGCCATAACGGATAGAGCTGTAGACGAATGGTGCGCTGGGCAGCTGATCGCCTGAAGCCGTCCATTTGTCGTCATCGCTTTGGGAACGGTTGACATCCTTGGGACTCGGCACACTAAACCGCCCCGGTATAGACGAGCATGAGCGCTCGATTTCAATAACTTGATCGACATGTTCCTAAGGAGGGAAACACAGAAATGGTGAGCGAGGTAAGCTGACGGCAGACCCCGAGGATCCGCGTCAGAGCTCGGGGGTCGTGAACCTCGTGATACGCAAAGGCAACAGCGACAAACGAAAAGAGAGCGCATGGCGCCTTACCTTGTCCCGAAAGTTCGGATCGCTGTGCTAACTTGCTATGCAAGCTATCATGCAAGAGTGCTGCAACCACGAACGCGTGCGTTAAGGCGTGCAGCGGTGTTCGATATGTAATTCCAAGTGAGCGTGGTTATCAGGAAGTAATCCTCAGTAAGTCTGCTTGCTCCGGAAGGATGCGACACAATATCTAAATGGATTTGCAGTACAGCCCCTACTTTTTATGTACCGAGATTGCGTGGCCCCACGTGGACTCAATCATCGCGACGAAAAGGCTATTAAAGCTGGTTCGCCAATTGTTTCCTGACAAAGCTGAATAGGCGTTGTCGAGCCTGAGGCGCAGGGGCCTGCTGACTGTGTGTCGTGCAGGTGGCACTCTCAGCACTTTTCAGTTGCCAAAGTGTATAAGTGTTTGTTTAACTATGTAATAATTCAGAATGTCTTGTATACAATGCGGACCTACGCCCTCGCGACTAACCGTAATTGTACCGCTTGTACCGGTACAAATATACTTGCACGGCAGAAGTGTAGGTACACACTCTGCACTTGGTCTGCTGCTAAATCCATTTAGGGCGCCACGCGTGACAAGTCTACCTAGCAATTTCCCAAAGTGCTAGCAATTGCATTATACAGCATGTTCCACCTGGTTCCACGATCCTTTCTTTGGGCGCCGCCCTCGGTCATGAAGTCGGCAAACTGGGGGGCCGTTTCCCGGGACCTAGAATTGGACTTCATGCTGCCAGAGCCCACCGAAAGCCGTATTGGCGCGTAGGGCAGAAGTCACCTGCAGTTCTGGGCATTACAGGGAGTTTGGCTCCTCCCGCTGGCCTCACAACGGACCAGTCGCTAGAACCACAACACCGGTATCAGCGTGAACGCAGGGTCACCAATGATACGCCACAAGGCGGCACAAGAATGCAAACATGGGTGCCGTACATACCACGATGAGCTACCTCAGGCGACGGAACGGCAATCACTGCCTTAAAAGAGTTGACGCAAAGCGTCCGTACGGCATAAGGATAACAGGGGCAGACCGTGTCAAAACCCCTTAGCCAGGTGCTGCACCACGAAACCATAATCCCATTGACAAGTTGGGTACCGGTATCGTGCGTGGTAATCCTAATGTGATGATGCCGCCCACATAGCAGTAAGGGTGTAAGCGCTTAACCAAGCCGCCCCAAGCAGATGCATAAAGCCAATACTTAACGCAGATAACATACTTCACCACAACGCATTGCGTACTTCACCTCATGCTACGCGAATCACATACATGCATGCCGCGCGCGTGTTGAGCGAGGGGGCCAAGAGGTCACGCGAATGATCACCCCGACCTCACCAACCCAACCAATCGTTTCCAGCGCACGCGCGGTGCCGTGCAAGAAACTGCCCGGGGCCCGAATCCGTCATGATAAGGAACAAAGGGCGAAATTTCAATCCTAACCAAAGCAGACGTCTTGGTTTCCATTCCCATCGGGATACACAGGTTGATTCCTTTTTACGCATCATAGACATAAACTCAGCGGCATTCGGGCGTCACAGCCCTCGTTATCATGCTAGGCTGGCTGCACACTCGTCGCCGCCTCGTCCCTGTAAAACATCCAGTGCCTGAACTCCTGCAGCGTATCCGGATTCACGCTCTTGCGCCGCGCGCAGAAGAAGTTGGTCACGTGCAGCAGCACCAGGCACTGCGAGTCGACCACGTGGGTGCTGCCGTACAGCGCGTGCCCCTCGTGCACGAAGAACAGCACCACATCCGCGGCGGGCAGCGCCATCACCTTGCCGTGCATCTTGCTGAGCGGCTGCTTGTAGATGAGCGTGTAGTGCGCCAGCGGGTGCGAGGGACTCACACCGGAGCTGCTGCTGCCGCTACTGCTGTTGCTGCTGTCCTGCTTTGTGGCCCAGACCTCCGCCTCCTCGTCCTGGCCTAGGTCGCCCGCCACCACCTCGTATCGCAGCAGGCGGTAGTCGCTGATGGCGGGGCTGGTGGCGGTGGCGGCGGTGCGGTCGGCCCCCGGGCGGCCCATGCAGCTGGTGAGGGGCGCCGGCCAGCGCACGTGCGGGCGGGGCGAGTAGAGGTACTCGTCCAGGTCGGTGACCAGCAGCATCAGGTTGGTGCCGCACGCGGACAGCCCCAGCCAGGCGTGACCGGCGAACAGGGCCTGGTCGTAGTTGTAGCTGGGAACAGGGAGGTGAGGGGGCAACGTGGGAGGAGGGTGTGCGAGGAGGCAGTTGGGTGGGGTGCAAGGGGGAGGGCAGCGGCTAGGTCCCTTGCTTGGCTACCCGTGTCCCTCCCCAGCCCCATCTTGCCGTGTCCGCAGCCTCTCTGCGTTCAGCTATGCAGCTCCCATTGGCCACCGCTGTCCTCCTATACACACCCGCCAAGTGGCACCTGCCATGGCGTGCGCATCAACCCACCCACTGCCACCCGCCCTCCGGTCCCGGCCCCCCTCCTCACCCCAGGGGTCGCCCCAGGCCATCATCGTCCTCGTGGCTGCGCTCCGGCAGGTCCCACTCCACCAGCCTGGGGGGGGGGGAGTGGGGGGGGGCAGCAGCGGGGGGGCGGGGTGAGGTGAGGTGCGGGAGACTTGGGGGCGTTCCGGCGGTGCCGCAGCTACAAGCGGACGCAGCTCTCGCATGGGCGCGTGCAGCAGAGTACATGGGTGCGTAGTCCTCATGTCTGCAGCCTTGCAAGTCTCCGCCGGGCAACCCATGATGCAGATGCGCTGTCGGACCAAACAATGCACGACGACGGCACGCAATACCGAACTGCATACCCTTGCTCCTGACGCTGCGCTGCGGCCTCATGCGAGTAACCCATGCGCAAAATAAACGGCCCGACTAGACTCCCAGCAGGGATGGCTGCTCCCTGCTGCACCTCCCTGCCTCCTCCCTCCCTGCCTCCTACCCGGCCTCGCCCCCACCCACCTCAGCTGCTTGGCCTTCAGGAAGGGGCTGATGTCGGGTGTGGCGGTCAGGTAGCGCCGCGTCAGCTCGTCCGCGTACAGCAGCAGCCCCGCGGCGCCCGCAGCCAGGTGGTACTCCACGTAGTGTCGCAGCCGCACCGCCCAGCGCGCGTAGTACTGCTGCCAGTCGCGGATGGAGGTGGGGTCCACGGCGCACTGCCGGGAGGTGCTGCTCACCACGTCCTGCTGCCGTACCGGCGCGATGGTCAGGTACAGCGCGGGCGCGGAGGCGTTGTGGCGGGTGGGGGGAGCCAGTTCGGAGCAGACGCCGTCCTCGGCGGCGGGCGGCAGGCAGATGGGGAACTTGTGCTTGGGATAGCTCGTTTCGATAAGCTGCGGGGGCGTGGGAGGGGCGGGGGGGAATTAGAGGTGGCGCTGGTACAGGAGGGTTCCTGTTTTACTGGCAGCGAGCTGTCGTGTACTAGAGCACACCCACATCCACAGCAGCTGGCTGGCGCCTGTTGTCCACCTGTGCTGCTGCGCGCATGCGGGTGATGCTCGTCCCCAGGAAGCGTCAACACCTAAAGGCGGCCCTTATAACGGTGATAAGCACGGCACCCTGTTTCCTAAGTCCCCGTGGCAGGATGCAGCAGGCTGCCCCGCCCTGCCGCCTACCTTGAAGCAGTCCCCAACGCCGGCTGGTAGGTCCACACGCAATGAGTAGGGCCGCAGCGCGCTCTCCATCTTTGGCGGCACCGGCTGTTGCCCCTTATCCGGCAAGACCTGGAGTACAGGTCCCGGTTCCGCGGCCTCAAGCAGTAGATTGGGCCGCCAGGTGCTGTGGTTGAACGGCAGTATCATATGGCCGAACGCTCGGTTGTGCAGGTTGTCAGGCTTCTCCGCCCATACCAGCATCCTGATGGAGTCCTGCTTGCGGAAGCGTGGGGTGACATGGCATCAGGATGCGGGGAACTGGTAAATAGGTATGGTAGGCGAAGGGATGAATTCCGTGGCGACGAAGAGCATCCTACCCATCCTCTGTTTGCACCGACAACCAAGCAGCAGAAAACTATTACTACGTAAAACAGGCTCCTGCCTCCACACACCTTGGCCTGGTGCGGCATATCAAAAGGGCCCTTGGTTGCGCCAACGCGCCGCAGCCAAACAGTTAGCGCAACGGTGATTTCCTTGTCGCCGACGGGAATTGTGGCGTAGACAGGGCTGATCATGCGAACACCAAGTCGATCAACCGGTGTTGACGGATGATAATCTGTTTGCGCACTTTTTAGCGTTTGGTATTCTGTCTTGTCTGCCATCACCGCAACAGCAACCCAGAATGAAAGCAGGAGCAACAAGCCCCGCCGTTGCCGCATTTCACACATGGGTGCCGACGTTTGCATCAAGACCTGAAGACTAAATCTTCTAAAGTGCCTCACGACGCTTCGACATGCTGCGGACTTCAAGATGATAACATCGAATAATAACTGCTAGAGACTATTACGCGTTCATATGTTAACTCCGCTCCAGTTCTAGAAGCACGATCATCCCAGCGGACATGAACGTTTTCCGTGTTAAGGACAGCTGCGACTGCAACAGGTTTGTACTTTGACAACCAACACCACCAAGAGGACTACGTTGCTGCTAATAAAAGCTTTTACATGCGCGTACGCTATTGGGCAGCATGCGTGCATTGCAGTACTAACGGCCAACAACTCGCCAAATCCTAGCCCAGGTGCTCCGGCCCCCCTTGCAACCTTCACATCCTAGCCCTGCCGTCGATAAGACATTCATACGGGCAATCATATGTGCTCTATTACTTTCGCGCTCGTACAGTTGCATGCTGACTCCCCCAACGCCCTGTTCATCACCTGTAGCCAGCACCGCCCCTTGTCGCTCTTCTGCCCCAAACAGCCCCGAAGAGTACCTATCATCAACCCCGCACATGTTCCGCACTCCGAGCCACTCCCGGGAGCAAGCAGCGACACCGGCAGCAGCAGCAGCAGCACTGGTGCCGGTGCAGGCTGCAGTGTCGCAGCGGCTGGCAGGCAGGCTGGCCTTGACACTGGACCCGTTCACCGGCCTGCTAGCGGCGTGGCGGCGCGCCCCACCCGGCTGGCGGGCCTCCAAATCTGGCTTGCTGCAGGCACTGACCCTGGCTGCCCGGGCGGCCTGCCTACTGGCTCCACCGTTGCTGCAGAGGGCGGCGGAAGTGTTGGAGGAGGAGCCTCGCTGCTGCTTGCCGCCTCCGGCTTCTTCGCCCTGACGTCGCTGTATGACAAGGTGCCGCCTGCGGCGCTGCTGGCGGCGCAACCGCACCAGCTGCTGGCCGCGACTGGGGTCATGCTGCGCCGCAAGGAGGTGCTGGAGCAGCTGGCGTCAGCATCACGGGAGGCAAGCGCAGCAGCGGAGACTGTGCCGCTGGCAGGCGCAGCGGACCCCCCTCTACCGACTCCGCAAGGGGATGTCTGGCAGTACTGCCTCGACCAGGCTCATGAGGCACCCTTTCATGTACTGCGCTTGATGTTGGCTGAGCTGCGGGATGTGCGGGGTGCAGCAGGCGAGGGCTCGGTGGGAGTGTCGCCGAGAGCGCATGCACTGGCCCTGCTTGGCAGGCCGGTAGAGGCGGCAGGTATGGCGGGGGCAGGATGTGATGTGTTGAGCAGCGCCGATGCGGTGCCGCTGGAGGGGCTCGCGGGCTGGAACACGGACGTGGCGCGTGCGCTGCGGGCGATGTGGCGGGCGGCGGCCGCAGCGGATGGAGGTGCGCTGCTGGACTGGGTGGTGCAGCGGCTGCGGGGCGACGAGGAGGTGCTCGACGTTGGCGTGTCGGCGGAGGTGGAGGCTGCGGTCGCAGGGACACCCGGCCGCGGCAGCGGAGGTCAGGCGGGGGGCGCGGCAGCCGCCGCAGCGCTGCCGCCAGCGCTGGCAGTGCCGCAGATGCAGTCTTTACTGCGGTTGTGCGGCAACCCGAGGTGCAGCACTTTCAGCGGCGCCTGCGAGGGCGAGCTGCAGCTGCGCAGGTGCGGCGGCTGCTGTGCAGTACGGTACTGCGGCGTGGAGTGTCAGAAGCAGCACTGGCGGGGTGGACACGTGTTGGAGTGCCGGGCGAGCCGGGAGGTGGCGCCGCGGGGGGCTGGGTGGCACTCCACAACATCCAAGCAAATTGAGCACTAGGTGCCCGCTTTCTCGCACATTCCCCCACATCGGGGCTTTCCATCCGGGGGCGACCACCGTGATCATGGAACACGCCTTGTACCAAAACCATACTGTATTTACTGCTCAGGGTAGGCGGGGAAAGGTCTTGGATTTCAGTCGCAGGCATACGGTGCACCGGGGCAATGATCGCAGGCTGGCTAGCTGCGGGCACTGGCGGTGGGCAGTGGCTATGGGCAGTGGTGGAGTCTGGGGACTGTTGCTTGGGGACGTGAGGAGACGCCTAATTTCGTGTAGTTAAAAGTATAGATGTGAAGTAGGCAGGTTGTGGAGGTCGTTGAGGGTGCAGCATTACTACTGTGGTCCAGCAGCTCAAACTATTCTACAGACTACGGTGTAATTGCGTAGACAACAGTGTCTAAGTTAACTGTCTAGGCGCCCTCTCTAGGGCTAGTCTCTTTCGTGTTGGTCCGCCTTTCATGTTTCACGTCCGTTGGGTGGACAGACATTCGTTACAACAGGCTGCGGGCTGTCGCTGTGGCAGTGGGCTGAGGGTGAGGGCGGCAAGCAGCCGTGTAGACCGTCTGACCCAGCCGTTGTGATGATCGGAGACGCGGCAGATGCGGGTCTGCGGAACATGGATGCCCAGCTCCGTATCCATGAGCGAGCTTCCATCGTTGTTTCATTGGCAGACGTCTTTGCGGCATCCCGCCTGGTTTGCCTGGACACACTGTCACGACGCCCCACATCCAGCCCTCCGGATGGCCCCCACTGACCCGTGACCACCTACCGTGTCCAGCCCCCAACCAACCAACTCAACATTCCAACAGCCAAACACACCGCTTCCGTCATCCGCAAAGTCCCCAGCAAACCACACTACCTCAGAAGGCGCAATGCAGACGCCGTACATGTACGGCCGACTGCCCGGCAGTACGCTAGCAGCTGCCGCAGCACCCCCCTTAGAACACGTCCACATCCACATCCGCCCGCTGCTGCGCAGTAGCCAGCCAGTCCTCACCGCCGCCAGCCACCCCCGCCTCGGCAGCCCCGCCGGGCCCCGCCGCCACCGCCGCCGCCGGGGTCACCATCGCGTCGCTCACGTCGCCGCCAACTATCTCACCCGCCTCAGCGCCGCCGCCGCCGCTGCCCCCGCCTCGGCCTCCGCCAGTGGCCGACGTGGCGCCCGCGGGGTGCGGCGCGGCGGGCGGGGGCCCCAGCGGCTGGTTGCGCTTGGGAGGGCGCGGGTTGGCGGAGGGGGGCCTGGATCTGCCTGCAGGGGCGGGGGCGGGGGCGGGAGGGTACGGAGCGCCGCGGCCGCACCAGGGAACAGAGGAGGTCACAGTAGTATGCCGGCCGTGCTCCTTGATAGCTAGGTTCACATGCGCCCGGTGTTACGGCAGCAGGCGCCCGGTGTTACGGCAGCAGGCCGGCAGGTTCCAAAAAGCAGCAAGGGGGGGTAGTAATAAGGCAGCGGGAAAGGGGGTGTACGGCAGCGCGACCTCGCACCTCGCACACACGACGCCAGGGGGAGGGGGGCAACCCGGGTCACCTCAGCTCGCCACCACCTCCGCCGCGCCGCCCTCTGCACCGTCCGCCTCCCCCGCCTTCGCCACCGCACCTGCTGCTGCCCCCGCCGCCGCGCTCCGCTTCACGCCGCCGCCAGACCTGCCGCCGCTGCCGCCGCCGGCCCCCAATGTGCCCCCATCCTCCGCCTCCGCCGCCTCCTCCGCCGCCTCCAGCTCCTCACGCGGCGCCGCCACTCGGGCGGGACCCCACACCAGCTCCCAGCCGGAGCCGCTGATGCCGCCGCTGTTGCCGCCGCCGGCCTCTCCGGCCTCCATGCTCGCAACTGCGCTGCCTGCGCCCCCTCCCTCCCCTGCCGCTGCCGCTTCCGGCGCCCCCTCCCGGCGCCTGAACACCGCCATCTGGGTGGCCCCTCCCGGCTGCTGCGGCCCGGTGTAGGCGAGGGAGGCCAGCGCAGCAGCCTCCTCGTTGGCGTGCCCGATCTCATCGAAGCTAGGGGGCCGGGGGCGGGGAACGAGGGAAACCAGGGAGGAGGAGGTCAGCATGACACATGAAAGGGGTTCCAGGCATGCCTGCCGGGCTAACGATGCGCAGGGAGGTGTACAAGGGATGCGCGCACCCGCATGAAGGTAAACCCACACCGGAAAGCAGCCCCGGTTCCCCACACGCGCCCACCTCCACCTCGACCCGCCCCGCCCCAGCCCCTCCGCTCCCCCCACCCACCCACCTGACGTCGTACCCCCACCTCCCCGCCAGCTCCTCGCACCAGCTCCGGAACTCCGCCCGGTTCCACTCGAAGCGGTGGTCGCCGCACCGCAGCGGCAGGCCGTCGCGGCCCGGGGGGCCCGGCCAGCTGCCGCCGTGGGGCGCCCCGCCGCCACCACCGCCGCCGCCACCACTCCGCCCCCCGCCCCCGTTGCTGCGGGCCGCTGCCGCCTGCTCCGCCGCCGCTGCCTCGCATGCGCGCATGACTGCGTTGTACTCCCAATTGGGGGTGGTGAGCAGCAGCAGGCGGGGGCGCAGACCGCCCAGCACGCAGGGACCTACCAGGCTGGGGGAAGGGGGGGAGGGGGGAGGAGGGAGGCGGAGGAGAGGGGAGTCTTGGCTCGCGCGGAGAGGGGTTGAAGGCCAGGCCGCATGTTGTAGGTAGGTGAGTCGCGGGCGCTAGGGGAGGGGCCCAGGAGCTAAAGAGGGCGAGTGAGTTGCACGGAGCAGCAACCAGCAGCAACCAGGTCACCCTGGCCCCCACCTTCCTCCCTGCACCCCCCCGCCCACCAGCCCCCACCCACCCCAGCGGCTCCGGGTCCAGGTGCTCCACCACCTCCGTCAGGGTGGCGGCATCGCAGCCGCGGAGGCCGACCCACGGGTCACCACCTGCGCCGCCTCCGCCCCCCGCCCCCTCCCCCGAGTGGGCCAGGTGCGGGCTCATGGCGCTGCCGCAGTAGAGCGATACCTCCACCGGCTGGGGCACTGACTCCTGATGGGGGGGGAAAGGGGGGTGGAAAGAGTTGTAGGGGGAGAAAGGGATGATGGCAGTACCTGTCGGCATGTCCAGCCAGGAGGGCTGAGGTGCGGCAGGAGGACGCGACGCTGCTTTGTCCGCAGGAGCACTCCTGGGTAGCCGTGCGACCGCAGCAGCCAGTCACTGTCCCAAACACACCAATGCACGCTCCGGTTGCATCGCCACCCGCCTGCCCCCCCTCCCCTCCCGCCTCCCCCTCCCTCCCGCCCCCTCCCCCACCTCCCCCTCCACCGGCAGCCTCTCCACCTCCTCCGCTGCCGCCGTGAGCCTCGCCAGCCTCCTGGCCCCCGCCGCCAGCCGCCCCGCCGCGATGTCCACCCCCACCGCCCGCCGCAGCGGCCCCCCGCAGTCCGACCCGTGACGACCCAGCAGCAGCCCCTCCAGCAGCCGGCAGTCGCAGCAGCCTAGGGGGGGGAGGCGGGGGAGGGTGTATTGCGTTGTCCCTGTATACCGGTACGACAGGCGTAGCGATGAAGGGGGAAGTGCAGCCGCCTCCGAACCTGTTCCCCCCTCCCTCCACCTCACCCAGGTCCACCAGTGTCGCCACTCCCTCGCGCCGCAGCATCGCCGCCACCGCCTGGGGGCGGGGATAGGGGGTTGTGGTTGGGAGGTGGACAAGGAGGCAAGGGCAACGGGCAGCATATGCGCATGCAGCGAGGGAGTAGCAGGCGAGGACATCGCCACCACCTCCCGCACCCACCTACCGCACCCCCTCCCCACACCCCCTCCCCCCACCTGCAGCCGCTGCTGCCCCAGTGGCGGGGTGAACAGCGCCGGCCCCCCCGCCGCCCCGCCGCCCCCCTGCCCCCCTCCTCCGCCCCCCGCCCGCCCCTCCGCCAGCGGCAGCGAGGCGTGCAGCAGCCGCAGCTCCAGTTGGGCGGGCAGGCGGGGGAAGCGGGCGGCGGGGGCCAGCGGGCTGCAGCCCTCCAGGGCAACAGACAGCCTGGGGGAGGGGCAGGTGGGGGGGGGGAGGAGGGGGTCAGTAAGGGTGAGACCCGATGAAAGCACTGACCGTAGCCGTAGCATGGTGTCGACCATCTCCCCACCCCTTCCCTGCTCCTTCCCCCCGCCCCTTCCCTGCTCCTTCCCCCCGCCCCTTCCCCGCCCCTTCCCTGCTCCTCTCCTCCCCTTCCCCGCCCCTTCCCCGCTCCTCTCCCGCTCCTTCGCCGCCCCTCCCCCGCCCTCGCCCCTCACTCCCTCCCTCCCCCCCCGTCCCCCCCCCACCTGCACACCGCCCTGCCGCCCACCCGCAGCCGCCGCACCGCCGCATCCACCTCCGCCGGCACCGCCCCCGCGCCCCCCGACCCCACACACAGCGTCAAACCCGAGTGGCGCTCCAACACGGCACCAGCAGCGGCACCGGCGGCAGCAGCAGCGGGCGAGCAGGCGGCAGCAGCTCCAGGGGCGGGCGGTGCAGCGGTGGAAGCAGTGGCGCCCCCCAGCGAGGACTGCGGCTGCAGCGGCTGCAGCGGTGCGGGCGCCTCCGCCTGCGCCTCGCGCGGCTCCCCGACCTCCTCCTCTTCTCCCTGCTGCTGCTGCTGCTGCTGCGGAGGCGGCTGCTCTTCCAGAAAGATGGTGTATGCGATCTGGGGTGAGGGTGGGGGGGCGGGATGAAGGGTATGAGGGGCGAGAGGGGGCTGGGGCAGGGAAGCACACCAACCGGGGCGGGGCGGCAGCGCTCCTAGCGGCCCCCAGCTCGTCCGTCTTGCAATCCACTCATGTCATAAGGCCGGCCTGAGGCCGGGTAAGGTTTCTGCAACCCCTAAACCGCACACAGCGCCAACCTCCTCCCCTCCCCCCGCTTCCCCTCCCCCCGCTCCCCTCCCCTTCCCCCTCCTCACCTTCACCAGCGCCCCCTCCTGCGGCTGCCGCGCATGCGTGAGCCCTGGCTCCACCACCTCCACCACCTCCACCGCACCCGCCTCAGCCGCACCCGCACCCTCACTGCTGCCCTCGCTGCCCCCCACCCCCGTCCCTGCCCCCCCCGCCGCCCCCGCCGCCCCCGCCGCCCCGCCCCCCGGCTCGGTTCCCAGCGGCGGCTCCGCATCGCCCCGCTCGGCGCCTGGGGCCTGACCTGCAGGTGGGGGCGGAGGGGGAGGGAGGGGTGGTGGGAACGGACCGAACTGGAGACCAGACACCCGAGACCCGTACAGAGGGAGGCGCGGGGCGGGAGGCAGGTGCGGGGCGGGGGGGCGGGTCGGAGCGAGGCAGCCAGCGGGGCAGGCAGGCTAGCGGCGGGTGCCTCCCCCCAGCACCACTCAGGAGCACCCGGCCCCAGCAGGGGCCTGTACGGCACTCCTACGTGGCAGCAAACCCAGCTCCGCCGCTTCCTCTTGGTTGCACCGTTGCATACACCCCACACGCACCCACACGCACCTTGCCCCTCCCCCTCCTCCCCCGCCCCCTCCGCCCCCTCCAGCTCCCCCAGGGCTGCTGCCAGGCTGCCGTACGGCAGGGTCCCCGCCATGCAGGCCGCGTCCAGGCGCTGCAGCCGCCGCAAGGCCGCCAGCGCCGCCTGCTGGGAGGCCAGGTCCAGAGGGCCGGGGCCTAAAGGGAGGGGGGGAGAGGAGGGAGGGAAGGGGAGGGGGGTGTGACGACTACAATTGTAACGGTCAAGGAGTGGGCTGGGAGCCAAGGAGTGGGCTGGGAGCCAAGGAGTGGCGCTGCCGGCAGCAGTGGGTGCTACCCGGGCTGCCAGATGCGTACCCCTGCCCGCACAGCCTGCCGGACCTAGCGCTGGGGGTTTCGGCCATGCCCACCTCCCTCTCCCTCCCACCCTCCCCTCCCCCCCCACCCGCAGTCACGCTGTACGGCATCGCCAGGAAGTTGGCGCCCCTCATCTGCGCCAGCCCCTCTCCCGGGCTGTCCACGTCAGCCACCCCCAGCTGCAGGCAGGCGGCGGCGGCGGGCGGGTGGGCGGCCACGTAGGCCTCCAGCAGCGCGCGGGGGGAGGGGCCCTGCCAGCTGGCGGGGCCGCTGGGAGGAAAGAGAGGGGGGGAAGTGGGGCAGTCGGCGGGCGGAGAAGAGGGACGTCAAGGACTGGGGACGGCGGGGGCGGGGGGCGAGAGAGTCGGTATCAGAGGTAGCCCCATCTCTAAAGACTAGGAGAGGCAGCATGGAGGGCAGCCTCTACCCACACATCCTAACCCCGTTCACCCCCCCACCCCCCCCACCCCACCCACCGGTACTCCTCCGGCAGTCCCCGCAGCAGCAGCGGCGCATGCAGCCCCCGCGTGTAGCAGGCGGCGGGGCAGGACGCGGCGGCGGTGCGCCAGAAGTCCGCCGCGCCGTAGCTGCGCCACTTCATGAGGTGGTGGTTCTTGCGCAGTTGCGGGGTGGGGCTCTGGCGGCAGCTGGTGGCCACTGCGTCGCCGTACACGGGCCGACCTGCCAGCCAGGTGGCGCGGACGTTGAGCGGCTCACCCGCTAGGCTGGCGGGAAGCAGCACAGCAGCGGCAGCAGCGGCCGAGTCATCTGACGCTGGTACGGCAGATACTTCAGGCGCCTCCGCTGCTGTCGCGGCGGCGACGGTGACTGTCGCCACCGGTGGCAGCGGCTCCAGCTTGGGCGCATGTTGGTTGCCCGCTGCTGCGGCCGGCTGTAGCTGTGGCGGCAGCGGCAGCGGCGGCAGTAGCAGCTTGGAGTAGAGGGAGGGCTCAGGCAGGGTGACGAGGCTGGGGTGCTCGGCGGGGTGGCGGGGGCTGCTGGCGGCGGAGGAGGGGCCGCCGCTGCCGCCGCTGGTGGCGTTATTGGCGTTGTTGTTGCCATGATGTGCTGTGGGGCCGGAGGCAGGGGTGCGGCCGGGCAGTGGGCGGGGTTGCGGGCGGTGCGAGTGGGCGGGGGCGCGAGCAGCGTGCTGGGCGGAGGTGCCGGAGGGGGCCGGGAGGAGGTGCTCGGGACCTCGGACTGCGGGGGAGGGGAGGAGGGGGCGGGAGGAGGTATTGACGCAAGTCGACCAGTGTAGACACGAACAAGAAGCGGCCACACCATGACCGTGTTTGAACAACAATGCAGCTGCTCGGAAAAACGGTGAATAATAACTTCACGGTCATTCGCATGCAAGGGACCTAAAGCGCTACCCCCCCTCCCAGACCCACCTTCGTTCTGTCCGTCCCCCTCCCAGTCCATGGCCGCCGCCCCCCGGTGCACCGCCAGAGACAGGGTGGAGTCGGCGCGGTAGGACGTCTGCGCGGCGGGGGGGCGCAGCGGGCCGCCCCCGCCGTCACCGCCGCTGATGCTGCTAACCTCCGTACCGCCGCCGCCGCCACCAGCTGCCTCCGACGCCAGGTTGTCAACCTCCACGGCACCACCTCCACCCCCGCCGCCTCCGTCGCCGCCCGCAGCTGACGCGGCGGTCTGCCCCGCCAGCGCCGCTCGTGCCGCCGGGGTGGGCAGCGACATGGACTGCTGGGAGGTGGTGGGGGAGGCGACTCCGGAGGGGGCGGCAGGGGGCGCAGCGTCGGCGGGTTGCAGCCCTGCTGCCCCCGCCCCTGCTGCTGCTCCCGCCCCTGGAGCTTGCGGCCCTGACGCCGCTGCGGACATCACCGAGTTGGATCGCCGCACCCCGCCTGCGCCTCCACCCCCGGTGTGTGCCGCCGCTGCCGCTGCTGCCGCTGCGGGCCCAGGGGTGGGTCCGGTGGTGCGGGTGTTGGGGTCCGCCGTGAGGTTGCCGCCCGGGGCGAAGCTGAGCGCCTGGGCGGCCCGCTGCCAGCCCGCTGCGGGAGGGGAGGGGGAGGGGGAGGGCGGGGCATGAAGGCGTGCCTTGGAGGAGGTGGGGGAGGTGGCAGCTAACACTAGCGCCCTGCACCCTCACGGTCAAACCTAGCCGGTCCTGCGGCCCCTTCCTCTTCATAAAACGCACCCATCAACTGCCCTCAGGCCTCGTCATACCGGCCCACCCTGCCCGGCCCCGGTCCCCTACCCTCGTCCAGCCCTCCCCTCGCCCCCCGCTGTCCGCCCCGCGGGTCCGCCGCGACCGCCGCCTTGTGCCCCACCCTGCCCCACTGCAGCACGTGGCAGTGCGAGGGGCAGGCCAGCAGCTCGGCAACACGGACCAGCAGGCTGCCGCGGGCGGGGACACACTCCTCGCGCAGGGGCAGGCTGGGGGGGGAGAGGGAGGGGGGGGGTTTGAGGGAGGGGGTGAGGAGGGGGGAAAGCAGGTGCCAGTAAGGGAGGGGGCGTGAGCACTGCCCGGGGCCGCTGTGATGGCTGGCAGTGGCAGGGCGCGGTGAGGACACGCTGCCGCTCAGCGGTCGACAGCTACCGGTACCGCACGTGCTCAGGGGGAACAAGGCGCCCACTCCCACTCCCCAACCCCACTCGCTCAGCTCAGCTGCTGCATTGCCATCCCCCAACTGACCCCGCCCCCGCCCCCCCACCTGCTGTCCGCCGGTATGACCACCAGAGTGGCCACCCCGCCCGCCGCCACCACCTCCTCCGCCAGCTGCTCGGCCAGGGCGGCGGGCGGCGAGGCGGCGGCCGACTCGGGCGGCAGCCGCACACTCAGTCCCTCGGCGCCCAGCGACAAACCCAGTGCGGCGGCGGCGGCGGCGCTGGCGGCGGCCGCCTCCGCCCGGGCAGCGGCCAGCCCGGGGTCCTGGGGGGGCGGGGGTAAAGAGGAACAATTAAGTGACCATGTGATAAGCGTCATCATGGTTTGCATGGGTGGGGGACAGGAGGGAGGGGCGCCGAAGGGGTTAGCAGCGATGGGGTATTGAGCACTGGCTTAGGGACGAGGAGGGGAGCCATGGGAGGCGCAGGCACGTGTGGTGGTGCGAGGGCGCTGGGTTTGTGTGGTGGTGAGGGGGCGGGAGTCTGGGATGCGTCCCTGCTATGCAGTTCACCCGCCCCTGGTGGACAGGGGTGCGTCGCGACGCCTCCCCAACCGAGCACTGGGGAACCGCACTGGGGAACCGCACCTCCTGCCACCGCCGGCCCCCCACATGCGCCCGCACCTCACATCCCACCTCCATCCCCGGCAGCAGCCACACACACAACCCGTGCTACACGGCCGCGGCTTCCCCGCACCTCCCCGCATCCAACACCCCTCCCTCCCACCTGCGGCTGCCCCGCCTCCGCCATCGCCCCCTCCATCGCCTCCGCCGCCGCCTCCGCCGGCTCCACCGCCGCCGCCGCCTGCGCCGCCAGCTCCCGCCGCACCATCTCCACCAGCGCCGCCGGGTCGGCCGCCACGTCGGCGCCGTACTGCGAGCTGCCGTACTCCTTGGCCCAGCCCCGCAGCAGGCGGCTGTGTGCCAGCGCCGTCAGCGGCAGCCAGCCGCCGTGGAAGGCCACTGCGGCCACTGCAGCACCGTGCACCTCGGGGTCGCGGAACAGGCCCTGGGGGGGAAGGTCGGAGGGGGGGTTTTAGGGGAGAAGCAGGGAGGGGAAGGTTAGGGAGGCCAGGGGAACCCGTAGCTAGGGCAGATGAGCTGGCGTGGACCGGTAGCGGCTGGGGTTTGCGAGCGGTGTGGTGTTAAAAGCGCGGGGAGGTGCGGCTTTAGCCATGCCCGTTCACTGGCCCATGCTGCCCCTGAAGAGTACCTTGATGCAGCGCCGTACGCCTCGGAGCAACACGTGCTTCACTGGATCACTCACTTCATATCGTTTCCTTTGGGCGATGGACTTGTCCTGATGCCAACCCCCCAACCCGCCCCCTCCCCCTTCCTTCTAGTGTCTTCGCATGCGGTCACTGGATGAGCCCGGATTCGGGACTGGGACTCCGTTGCTGCACTTCTCAATTGTATTCCCCCCTCCCCCCTGCCCTCCCTCCCTACATTGGGGCTGAGCACCCGGGTGGCCAGCGTGCGCAGCAGGGACTCCTCGTACGGCCGACTGCTGCCGTACAGCGGCTGGTCGGACAGGAAGCGCAGCGCGACGGAGGCGGCAGCGTCCTGGATGGGGGGTTGGGGGGTGGGGAGGGGTACGGAAAAGAAGCGGGGAAGGCGGGATTGGTGGGCTGCGTTGTGAGGTTCGCGGGAGAATGAGGAGCCCATTGCGAAGGGGTGCCCGCGGCAGGGCCCCGCGGGTGCTATATGCAGCTCGCGCCAGCCCTGGCGGGGAGCGGTGGACGAGGAGCGAGCTGCTGAGGAGTCGGGCAGTCGCGACGACAGTTGGTCGGGAGACCCCTAAAAGAATTTTGCAGCAAATTATTTCGAAACAAGTTTAATCCCCTATGCCGATGTTATTAATCAGCGCTGATCTAGCTCGTGCGAGGGTGCGCGAGTCCTACGCGAATTCCCCACTTCACACCATTGCGGCCTTCTTGCTGCGTCCTTCCTCCTGAAATATCTGTTCAGCTAACGTCTCGCCCTCATACGTGACTGCCGGTAGCGTGAGCGTGCACACGAAGCGGGTCGGTTGGTCGTCCAAGGGCGCTGCCTCGACATCGTAACGCGGAGGCTCCGCTTTGGCGCGCTGATAGAACTGATTGATCAGCGCCTTTGGGTGCTGCTGCTGCTGCTGCTGGGGCTGCGCCATCTGGGCGCGTGGATGCTGCTGCTTCCGATACTTGGTCGGTTGCTGGGCCGCGAAATGTGAAGTAGCGCGTTTGCTAGGGTTGGTGTTTAAAGCATTGTGGTATGTCAGCATTAGTGAGTAGCCAAGATCTATGAACTCAATGCGCGAATTGGCGTCCAGGAGGCTTAGCACTGTCGGTTCCTCTGGCAAGACTGAGAGCTGGGCTGATCGCCAACCGCTGCGTGCAAGTCACCTCCCGGCGCCACCACTCCCAAGCTTTGACGGCCTCAATGTGCTTTACTGTCTCCGCTGCTCACTAGATTGGGGTTAACCTCTTAACCACGAAACAGCTCACCGACAAGCGTGCTGAGTCATCCTTTCGAACCGCGGGTCATCCCTGTACCCCCGGCCTTGCCCCGCCTCCCTGCCCGGACTCCAGAAAGCAATGTGCCATTGCTATGTAACGGCCAAGCAACAGCGGCCATCCAGCCATCCATTCAGGCAGCCAGCCAGCCACATATGGCGGGACGCAGTGTACGGCAGGCCCGCAGTCCAGCAGGTGGCCCCGCCTCATCCCCGCAACCACCCACACGCCACACCGCCAGTAACAACAACCACCCGATCAACGATACCGCAACGAAAGGTCGTACTGCTGCTGCTCCACATGGCCGTACACAACGAGGACAACCAGCCCAGCGCAGCGGGCCTCCCCGCAACAACCACACAATGGCGAAAGCGCTGCAGCTGCGTAACAGGTGGTGCAGCAGTCCCATTCAGCCAGTGACAACATGTGGGCTACTCTTCAACTCTTCATGCATGATGCCAGCCGCCTGCTCCTATCCCGCATCCCGCTATCTTCCCATACAGCTCCACCCGCATGAGGTGGCAGATGGCAGCACTCCCTCCGAGTCACAGCACACCCGGGGGTGGCGCCCCTCTGCGCCCCGCCCCCTCCCCCCCCAGTACGACACACCCTGCTCCAGTGGGCGCTCTGCTGCCCCATCCTGCGACCGCCACTGCCACCCCGGCCAGCACCCTGTCTCCCTGTCTCCCTGCATCGCCCGCACTCCCTGCACATGACCCTGCACGTCCGCCCCTCTGCCGCCCAGCCGCCCCAGCCAGCAGTCCCCAAGCAGCTGCACACCCTCGCGCGTGACCCACAGCACCGGACCGCACAGCACAGCGCCGCACCAGCAGCAGCACCACTCGGACCCACACCCCGGACCTCGCCAGCCCCATCCCTGCTTCCGCTCCCTCACCCCACAACCACCTCGTTGGGTTACATGTCCCCCTCCACCCCACCCCTTCCTCCTCCGCCCTCTCAGTCCGCCAGCTTGACCGCCAGCATGGCCCCCGCCACCCCCGCCGCCTCCAGCGTCTGCTCCGGGTCCGACAGCACCCCCCCGCCCGGCATGGCGTGCGAGATGACCAGGCTGCAGCAGGGGCAGGGCAGGGGGGCAGCAGGGGTGCGGTTTGCGGAGGGCAGGTGGTCCTAGGCGGCATTTCGGTGACATGGGGAAGCAGTAATTGCCTAGGCCAGGTGCCGAGACTGGGCCACCATGTGTTAAAACAACTGGCCACCACGTGTGCGTGTGCGTATCTGTCACTTCACTTGGCACCCCCCACGCCCTCCACCCCACCCTGCCAGGTCAGTCCATTGCGGTGCACCCTGCACACCCCCCCACCCCCTTCCGCCCACCTGCGCCCCGCCGCCGCCGCCGCCACCGCCCCCAGCGCCAGGTCCATCAGCGCCCGCACGGGCTCGGAGCGGCGGAAGCGGCGAGTGAGCCGCGAGCCGTCCGGCAGCCGCAGCGCCACTCGCAGCGAGTCGGGGTCGCCCTCCGCGGGCTCGGGGGGCACACGCGCGCGCGCCTCGGCGGCAACCTGGGGCAGCGCAGCAGGGGGGGGGCAGGGCAGGGCAGCAGGGGGTGCGGATGGAGAGAAGATGTCAGTGCCCCACCTGCCCTCGCCCAAGCACCGCACCCGGGTTCACCTTCTTAGTTCTTACCCTTCCCTTCCAACCCCCCACCCCGCCCCACCCACCTCCTCGGGCGACTTCTTGCTGCTAGCCGCCTGCGTCTGCGCCTGCTCCTCCGCCTGCTGCGCCTGCTGCCGCTGCTCCGCCTGCCGTATCTGCTCCCAGATGGCGGCCTCGTCCAGGTCGTCCAGCTCGTCCCCGGCCCCCGCACCCCCGCCCTCGCTGCCCACCTCCATGGCCTCACCCGCACCCGCACTCCCAGCCCCGCCGCCCCGCTCCATGGACATGGCGATGGCCAGCGCCAGCTCCTCGTCCTCACTCAGGGGCTTGGAGCCGCGACCCGTGGGTCCGCCTGCGGCTGCGGCTGCTGAGGGTGCAGGAGCCGCCTTGCGCTTCATGTTGTTGAGCGCCAGACTGGAGGCGCCTGAGGGGGAGTGGAGGGCAGTGAGGGAGGGAGGGATGCCAGGACTGCCAGGATTGCCCGGGCGCCAGTGCGGTGCCGCACGCCGCGCACACCCCACACAGCTCCTTCCCTGCTCTCTTGCATTCCCTTTTTTCTCCACGCCACCGCCTCTTTCTCCCCTGCCCCGCCCGGCCCCCTCCCTGCGCTGCCCCCAGTCCCGCCCCCCAGGCCCCCCCCACCCGCGTCCAGCGGTCCGTGGTCCATGAACGGCACCAGCTCCTCCATCAGCTTCTCGGGGTCCATGAAGCCCGCGCGGTGCCACAGCTGCGCGCCCGTGATGGGGTCCACAACCAGGATGGCGGGGCAGGCGGGGCAGCCGGGGGGGCTGAGAGAGGCCAGGCGGTAGGCCTGCACCAGCGCGCGGCCGTCAGGGCTGTTCTCGTAGGTCTGCAGGGAGGGAGGGAGGGGAGGAGGCGGGGTGGGTGGGGGGGGGCGTATTGTGCGTGCTAGGGGGCCAGGGGGCGGAGGTTGGGGGTTTGCGAGGGTTCTTCCAGCTTGTGGCCATCACCAAGGCCTAAGCGTGTAACGTATGGCTATATCCCGCTACGACCAGATATCCCGGTCATCTGCTCCCATGCGCTGTCCGCCTGACCTCCTCCCCGGCTACCAGCAACACCCTTCTCCCCACTCCCTCCCAATCCACCCCCACCCGCCCCGCCCACCGCGCCCCGCCCCCGCACCTGGTAGAACACGAACGTGCCCTTCAGCACCTCCTTGAGCGCCTCGTGCGACCAGGTGTCGCGGTTCAGCCGGTGGCTGGCGAACTCGGTGGGCGACTGCACGTTCACCAGCAGCCACCGGCCCTCCGCGGCGGCGCGGCTCTTGGCCAGCTCCACGGTGCCGGGGAACACCAGGTCGGCGGGCAGCTTGAACAGACCCGACAGACCCTGCACGCCGCCGCCGCCGTTGCCGCCCGCAGCATCCCCGGCCGCGGCGGCCGCTGTGCTGGCGGACTGGGCCGCCTCCGTCTCCGCGCGGAAGTCACGGAAGACGTCGATGTGGGTCGGCTGGGGCTGTGACCGGCCGCTGAGACCGTGGTAACGGGCTGCCATGGCACGCGGGTCGAATTCGTCGCCGTACAGGCGTTCGACTTTTGTGGGTAGGGGAGCACGCACGGCGTCCTCGTCGTCGGCGGTGTGCATTGGGCCTCCTGCAGCTGAAGCACCACCCGCGGCGGAACCGCCACCCCTTGCGGCTGATCCCCCTGCTCGTCCTCCAACAAGATCCCCTTCCGCAGCATAAAAGAGGCCCAGGGCTTCCTCAAGGCTAAAGTTGGCGGCCTCGAGCATTTGGATGGCAACACCGTCGTCCGCCCCTGTGATCTCCATGAACTCCGCGACCAAATCGCCACCTCCGTCCGCCATTGTTGGCAGTGTTAATGAAGGGTTTTGGGCAGGAAGGGGTGTTGCCCGGCCGAAGCTATAGCGTCTGCCAAGCGTCCAAAAATGGGGCACTTACGTTATAAGTTATACCTGTGGTTTTATTGTGTTGAAACAGGCCAACTGATCTGTGTGCAGCTTCTCCTGGCAGCTGGCAAAGACAAGACAGGGCAGGTGCGCTAGGACATACGGTGCTTTTGGCTACAGCGATTTATCTGTTGCTATAAGAAACATTACTGGGGTGCACGATGTGAAGCAGCCATGGGAGTGAACGCATGGCTCCGGTTCCAGAATACGGTATTCAACAATGACAGTTAGCTATGGTTCCTCCGCATAACATGTTTTGGCTTTGAGGGAATACTTCTAATCGGCATATTCAGTATAGTCTTGCACATAGCCGCTGCGCGTTCCTGCTTTTGCGCAGTTGCTCACATAACACGGAATAGTCAACAATGTCTGCTGCGTCGGCCACTTTAGGAGCAGACCTTCCCGAACTATGTCGGGTGTGCATTTTACCTGACGCGCGAGCGAAGGCGATTTTCTCTGACAACACGATTGTCGTGACAAACAGCTCTGGCAGTTCTTTTCTCCTCATCGCCTCTGATGGACGAATCACACGGCAGCTCAGCGAGTACGCGTTGACGCGGCATAGCCCATTGCTGGCGGCTTTGTTGGAGTTTCGCAACATGCATGTAGATTTGCCGTGCTTCTGCAAGCCTCTGGCTCGCGCGTTGCGCTCAAGCTTTGCGCTCGGATACTTGGTCCGGGATGCCACATGGCCAAGTCCTTCGCATGCCGTTGAATCGGGCCTGGCTCAGGTGCAGCCTGACGGGAAAGTGGTTGTCAGCAGCGTCGATGGCGTAGCGCAAGTGGTCCTTCACGGCCACTTCCGCCGCTTCGCAGTTTGCTACCCGCTTTTGGTAGCAGAGCGGCCGCAGGAGGCAAAGTACGAATATGTCTGGCAGACCCAAGTCTTTAGCGTTGCAAGCCACCCAGCCCGCTGGCAGCCAGCGGTACGCACAGCGTTACAAGCCGCAGCCCAACTTGGCCTAGGCGTCCATGCGGTTCTGGCGACGCTTGACCAGCCGCAGCAGCTGGCCCACAGCCAGGTCGCCCAGGAGGACGCCGGACACCTGGGCCAAATCTGCTCCGGAGGCAGCGAGGAGGGTGCATCTGGCGCGGGCGGCGGCGGGGGTTGCGGTTCGGACCGGCGCAGCGTGCTACCGCGGGCAGATGACAACAGCGCTCGACCCGGTCTGACGGAGCCGCTGCACTCGGGCGGCTGGTGGTGCGAGCCGTCTCTGTCGCTGCTGCCGCCTGAGGACGAGCTACTGCTGGAGTGGACGCCGCACGCCACCTACCACTACCTGTCAGAAGCAGGCGAGGTGGAGGTGTGGGTGCACGCCGACGAGTCGTGCCTGGTGTCCCGGCGGGGCGGCAGGTTCATGGCGCACTACAAGGACTCGGAGTCGGAGGGGCAGCTGTACGCGGCCAACTGTGTTCCCGAAGCCGTGTGGAGCCGCGACCAGGCGTACCGATATCCCCTTGGCTTGCTGGCAGCGCACGCGTTGAAGCTGAGGTGGGTGGGTGGGTAGAAGGGAATAGAAGGCCGGGTTTCCTTTGCTAAGGAGTGAGGGCATTGAAGGCCCTTAATGGGGGCAAACGTCTTGCTATTATCATGGGCTCCTGGCCCTTCAACGTCTGCCGTTTCCTACTGCCCGTGCGCCTGCTTCCCGTGGTATGTACTCGGTGCTGCGGGCCGCCAACACGCCCTCCCTGCATGCGGCACCCACAGGTCGCACAACACCACGGTGGCTGCAGCTGTTGCGGCGCGCCTTCCGGCACACCTGGGCGACAACCGCCACCTCCTCCCCGGCACCGCCTCCAGAGCCCCGGGCAGCAGCGGCACGCCTGACGAGCTGTTCGCCGCGGCCTCCACGGCGGTGCTGGAGGAGAGCTGCGTGGCGGGGCACGGGCAGTTCACGGCGTACCAGGACGGCCGCGTGCGGGTGTGCTTCGAGGACCGCACCATCCTACACATGTCCGCCTCGCACTCGCATGCCAAGGTGGTGCTGCCAGACGGGCGGGGTGTGGTGGTTGCCGTTGCGAATCCCGTGGGGGTGGAGCCGTATGTTGCTGCAGCGGTGGACTTTGCAAGCTGGGCGTTTAAGACGCCAGCCGAGCGGTCGGAAGAAATGCGCCTGCAGGCTCGGGTGCGGGCTGAAATCCTGAACTCGCAACGCATGGCCCAGGTGTGCGAGTACTCCGCGAACGGTGCCGTGCCGCTGCTGGCTGGCGTGCCGACTGACATGGTTGTTTCGCACGCACAAGCGGATGTGGGCTCTGCGGACGAGGTTGTTGACCGCCAAGCTCTTATTGAGAGGCTTCTGAGTGCTAATGCCCGGCTTCTTGAAAGGCTGTAGTTACTCCCAACTCTGTGCAAAGGAGCCAACTATGCATTCCTTGTAATGCTTAGTCTCCCCTACGCCCCAACCGGCGCATGCCTGAACCAGGATTACTGCATGGTTGGCATGCCAGGCGTCCTAAGTGCGGAAGACCAATAGATTGCAGGTGCACGCGTGCTAGGTCTAACAAGCTGTGACGTAACTGGGGTGCTACGTACGGCGAGCAAGGAACCAGCACAACCCAGATGGTTAAAATGGTCATGCCGAGGCCACAGGCCTTATGTCTTGTCTGCGAGGACAACAGTTCGGCGGGAAGGGAGCTGCTGCCCTGTTACGCCTACTGGTAATATGTTTGCCCCTGTACACAGCTTAACGGCAAACAAGCGCGTCTACCACCCAACCTGTCCACACTCTAAGCGGCCCCCCATGCTGGTGCAGAAGCACAGACCGCAAGCCTAGTTCACGCCATCCAGGCAACACTCAAAAACTGCCTAAAGCCCTAACCTAGAGAGTTCTGTACGGTTTCCAACCCCGTCTACGTCCGCCCTAAAACGCGTATGCGCGCATACGTAGCAATGCTGACTCCTGCTGCTGCTGCCGCCGCCTGCGCGAATCGAATGAGCCCCACGAGTCAAGGCGATGTACGTCCGTCCAATGCTCCGCAACCCACGCTTAGTCGAGCAGCTGCACGGGGCAAAGAGGAGGAGCGGTAGGGTGTAAGCACGGAATACTGATATGCACGATACTAGGTTTTAGGCATTCACAGGATGCAAAGGCAGGATAGGGGCAATGAATCAGCTGTATGATAAGCCCTACCATGGCATGAAGTACGGCCCATGCTATTTGCTACGTGCTTCCCCAAAATAAGAGAGCGCCCTTCCCGTACCCGGGTTAATTTGTTCCTCTTTCCCCCATGATACCATGAGGCCCCTCACCTCATCGTCATCGTCCGCGGGCAGGGGTTGCTGCGCCGCCTGCTCGAGCTCCTGCTCGTTCCGCTGCTGCTCGGCGAGGTCGATGTTGACCTCGGGGGGCGGCAGGGCCACCTCCTCCACGAAGCTTAGGTGGGGGTCACCGGTCAGCTTGCGCGCCAGGTACAGGAAGGGCTTCTCGTAGTTGTAGTTGGACTTGGCAGAGATCTCATAGTACTGCAGGTTCTTCTTCCGGTGGAAGGTGACCTGCTTGGGCTTCACCTGGCGGTTCTTGACGTCCACCTGCGCACCAGTTTACCGCCGTTTTTTGTTACGGCGCCTCCATAATGACAACATTACTCAACACACGACGCACCTTGTTGCCGCACAGCACGATGGGGATGTTCTCGCAAACGCGGCAGAGGTCGCGGTGCCAGGTGGGAACGTTCTTATAGGTCAAGCGCGAAGTGACGTCGAACATGATAATGGCGCACTGCCCATGAATATAGTACCCGTCGCGCAGGCCGCCGAACTTTTCCTGGCCAGCGGTGTCCCAGCAGTAGAAGCGAATCTTGCCACGGTTAGTGGTGAAGTCCAGCGGCCGGACCTCCACGCCAATGGTTGGCTCATACTTCTTCTCGAACTCGCCGGAGATATGGCGCTTCACGAAGGTAGTCTTGCCAGTGCCACCATCACCAACTAGCACCAGTTTAAAGGCGGGAACGCCCTCAGGAGTGGCCTGGCCTGGCAGGGCCATTGTCGCGGAGAAAGGGATCTAGAAGAAAGATCTGCGCCGCAGCCAACCTATGGCGGCGTCCAAGCCGTAAGTCTGTATGTACCTTGGAAGGGCAATGCCAAAGGGTAAGGTAAGCGCAAAGCAATATATTTGCACTGACGCGCGCCACAGTTCAAGCCCCTTGTTTCCTGGAGTCGTACGACATGCCCGCAGCCCGCGCTTTCTGCGATTCGCGCTTTACACACATCTTTCTTCTTTAAAAATGCGCTACAGTAGAGCTTACAGCACACTGCCTTTCATGGCCGGCTCCATACCAGGCAGTAACAACATATGTTCAGCAAGCCAACCCTACATCGCATCAGCTATTCTAATAGTGATGTCTCTTACTTGGTCACTTGAGGGAATTGCTGCTCGAGTATACAGTGGCAAGCAATCATGTCAACAAAATGCGTACCGGTATAGAAGCCCTTTGCAAAAGAGCTACTCATCACGAGCAACACGGTGACGCATCTGCGTTATACTGGATGTGAGCTGCGGTTCAAAGTACTTCTTGCGCTTGCTAACGTTGTGGGGTCGAGCTGGATTACATCCCTGGTCCCGTTCCCGTGGTCAGGGATGTAGTATGCAGCGCGTGTGTGCTTTACACAGAGGAACCAGAATGCGCCAGCACACCAGCCTGCAGGAACACCAGTGACTGGCAATTCACCAGTTTTCAGAAAACCGCATCCACCACGGTTCCTCTTCAATACAACTTCAAACCCTTGCCTCAAACCCTTCTACCCTCTTGCCATTCATTTCAGCATCATCTCACTTCACCACACGTACCGAATGGACTATCACCACTTGCTCTTGGTCTATTCTGCAACAGTTAGCCTAACAGTAACCAAAGTACAAACCTTCGGCCATACTTTCGACCCTCCGTGCTACAGTCTTGGCTTACCATGTTATTGGTTCGTACAAGGCCCAACTGCATGTATTCCCCTGTTGGAAAACAGTTCCCCTACCTAGAAGCCATCAAAACACACCATGTGCCACAGCTGGGACGGTATGTCCGCACCACTCCCAGTCGCAACGACAACAACAAGATGCACACGCGCACATCCTCGCACAGGTACAGCGACGCGCAGACACGGCATGAGGAACCCCCTTGCATCCCTGGCAGAAGAAAAAACATTGGCATGGTTCAGACGCACATGGCTCGGATGACCTCATTGCACACAGCAGGCAATGCCTGGGAGAAGGATGCGGATGCGGAGTAAGCGTCTTTTCGCTGGTGCTGTCTAAACTGCTGTCTACGAGAAACGAATGCTATAACCCTATCTCGCAGGCGAGTTGACCCTAATCATTAGGTCCACGGGCTCCAGCTCATACGTGCCAGGAGGTATCACACGCCTTGCACCTTCACATGACCAAGACCTGAGCAGCGTCCCCCCATTGGGGTGACGTCCCGAACAGCACCAGACTAAAAGGCCGCCACACAAGTTTGGGTAGCCAACGCGCAAAACTCTACGGACAACTGTAATCTTATGCCCCGCTAACAACCACAGGAAACATACAAGAAGCAAACACCGCCATCACGCTACGCCGTCAGCTGCCAGGGTGCTTTCCTCCAGCGTCCATGTCTTGCAGGTGGGGTGGGCTGCACGCCTGTAGGTTGGCAGGTACGTAGCAGCCAGTTAGCATCACCCTGCCCACCGCATGCTGCAGAGTGCACCCTGCCCGCCGGGAGCTCACCTGCCGCAGTGCCGCGTGCTCCTCCGTCAGCCCCGCCTGCAGCACCGCCCCGGCCACCTGCTCCACGTCGGCCGCATCAGGCGCAGCTGCGCCGCCTGCAGCAGCCTGGGCCGCCAGCGCCGTCAGCAGGTCCACAGCTGCCCGCAGCAGCTCCGGCTCTGCTGGGCCCATGCTGCAGAGCCCCGTCACGAGGACGGCCACTGCGCGGCTGGTGACGGGTTGAGCCGCCCGGGCCGTGCTGCCCAGACCGTACTGCCGCAGCAGGCGCGAGCCCAGCGAGGCAGTGGAGGTCAGTGCGTCCGCCTCCTCGCCCAGGGCCTGCGGGCAACCGGGAAGCACGCAGCCACGTGAGCGGAGAAGATGAACAAGCATGCAGTAGCGGCTTTCCAGCGTTGAAGTCAGCGTGCGAGCAGGGGGGGGGGGAAGGAAACGCGAGGACAGACCCCATGATTCAAAGTTCAAGAGCTTTTTGAGAGCATTCCAAATCTGCTTTCAGAATTTTAATTGGAGTTGTACGGAAAAAGTTATCTGTGCCTAAAGGTGACTGTACGGCAGGGTGGGTGGGTAGGGTCTGGGGGTCCAGTGGGTTTTTTCCGAGGGCTTCTTAACTTTTTCCTGGCGATGCCAAACTCACTATGAAATAAATTTATACGATAAACATACTGTAAGCAGTCTACAAACGTATTTTTGCCTCTTCCTGATATGGTTTGGGCATGGCATGATGACATTACCACGCATGGGTGGTCAGAGAGATACCGGTACCAAAACACGTATGGGTCGGTGGGGGGCAGGCAGGGTGCGGGTCCGGGTGCCTCCACTTAGGGGGGAATCACCCGCAGGTGGTCTGCCCAGCCAAGCAGAAGGGGGCAGGGAAGTTAACCATGTGACACGGCTCCCCTATGTGCTGCATCTCTGGGGTGGGGTTGAGGGGAGTAGAACGGGGCAGGTCTCTCGGCAGCAGCTGCGTCACCTGTGCCAGCCGCTGCACGTTGTCTGAGACCTGCTAATCCGTGCTGGTAGTTGCTGGTCTTGACGCAGTAGTGCGTGTGTTAAGAAAACTGGCCGCGAGTAGGAACGTATGAGGCTAGTGTACAACGGTGCACCCGTTGCTGTCTATAGGGTTGGATGGCGTGACCATGGCATGGCGCGACCATGGCATGACGTAGTAGGTGCAAAAGCTCAACAATTTGTATACACAGAAAGAGGACACTGAAAGAAATCCATTGGTCTTTTTTGTATCTTTTTTGGCGTACGGCAACACGAGAAATTAGCGTTCGAAGTTCTGTAGGGTGGATGAGTGGGTCCGGGAGGGGTCGCCACCAAAAATTCATCATGGGGTTTACCAAAAAACAATGTACCCCCCCACTGGTGCGAGGAACAGAAAACTGGGTGCCAAAAGCAATTAGGGCAATCGATCACGTGGCTCCGCCCACCACTGTGCTTCCGGATCATTGGGCAAGAGCGGAGGTCCCTTTCCTCACCTCGGCGCCGCGCTGCGCCAACCGCCTACGCAGCTCTCCGTCGTTCACGCCCATCTTGGCGCATGCGCCTGCTACCGTGGCCAGCTGCAACACCCCGTACTCGGGACCGCGCACGGTGAAGTGCAGGTTCAGGGAGCGCAGCAGGGACCGCGAGCAAGTAGAGCCAGACCGTGCGAGGGCCCACATGAGCGTAGCAACATCCTTGTGGCAGGGGGGGAGCAAAACAAATGCGGAACAAACGTCGCAGCATGGCACGGGAGGGGGGAAAGCGTCATGCAGAGAACACTCTTTCATACGCGACGGCTGCCTTCGCAAGCGACCCCACCCCAACCCCGTCTGCGGCGGACTAACCTGAGGTTGGGCGTCCCGTAGGTCCGCCGTCATCCTGGCAACCGCCTTGTCAAACAGCTTCCTGTTAGCTGCCTCGGCTCGCACGTGCGCCGCGAGAAGCGCGACCACGTCCGCATGCTTGGCACGCCCTAAGCATGCCAGTGCTGCTTCGCTGACGGCGTGCCACAAACGCGCCGGTTTAATACGCAGGCGGGAGAGGTTCGTGGCAAGTGCAGCGACGTCTGATGCAGAGTCCTGCGTGCCGAATCAGTGGGCATCAGGCAGAAAGGGTTGGACACCACATCTTCTGCCAGCGGCCGCCCTACGGTGCCACTGACTCTTTCAAGTTGTAACGCACCAAGGGGCTAAGGCAAAGCGGTCTGAAGCACATACCTGCAGATGGCCCCTACGTGCATCCGCTGTTAACCTAATTTCAAGCGGGAGCACCAGCTCCGTAGGTTGATAGTGTGCACGTACGCATGCGCCCACCAGAGATGCCAGCTGCCGTACGTCGTAACGCTCCATGTGCCTGTTGTGGGGCATACAAACCTTATGCGTGTGGCTTGTTGGAACCCCACACAGGAGTTTACCTACGTTGAGTTTGACAGAAAGGAAAGCGCGTATAGCTACGCAAAGCTGGCCCTTCCAACAACAGCGCTCACAGCCCCATACTAACATTGCACACTGCCCAACAAGGCTTCCCATAAGCTGCAGAAGCTGTTGACGCTCAGAGGGGTTCAAAGGCCAATGCGCAGCACGCGGCGCCTGCAAGGCAGCTTGGGTCACCAGAGCTGGCGACGACGCCTATATCCAGGACCAGCAACATGACCGGTTTAATACTTTCGGAAAACACCAAGGCAAGTTTGATTTGAGGTAGTGCCTTGGCGTCGCATGCGCGGTGATAAAGGGACATGCAGCTACGGGGTCATAGTGTATGGTCATAGCCTCGTTATACCGGCGGGAAACCTAGAATCGCTGTGTGAATCGGCAATGCCCATACTGCACTGCATGCCCCCTTCCCGCAACAAAGGCAATCGTTGCGTACCAATGTTCCGGAAATATCCAAAAGCTCCTGCAACGTACAACACGACCGGACGCGCTGCAAGGCCACTGCCTGGACGTATTCGGCACGCTCTGAACGATGCCTCTCCCTTTCTTTCCCAGGACTAGGAGGGGTGATGAAGGAAGTGTCTCCACCATCGCCATGAAACCACCGAACATTGCGAGAGACTAGCCCTCCGGCGCTCCTGTGGTCTAACAATGAATTACCATCTGGCCTAGTCTCAATTGCCCTGCAAGCTGTTGTAATGCAAGCTGTGTGTGATAACCCACGCTCGTGTAAGCGGATTTGGAGTAATGGTGCCTCCAAGACGCAATTACTGATTTTACATGTGTTCCGCAAACAATAGAAAGACTGGTTAATGCGGTTCGCAACTCCGGACAGGGACACAACGTTATCTAAAATTGCAAGAAGCATTGGTGTGTGAGATAAGATGTAAGTATCTCTCATGCTGACATAATGCCGAGCGAACAGAACCTAAACGAAATTCCAAGTAGGATCCATCGCCGACCATGCCATTGTACTGCGCTGACTAATAAAGCTATGACTGCCACTCACATGTACCATAACATTTACACGAGCATCTTAGCCGTTCCGGATGTGACCGAGAGGTCAGCGCAAACATTCAGACGGTGTACAACTCAAGTGATTGGGACCAGGATCGGTTACACTTGTTTTGGAGTGCTTTTTGGCCCGAACCCTTCGTGAGACCCTGGGCGAGTCCTTAGGTGCACCCGTGGGCTCCCTTGATAATGCATTTTGTAGGCAACATTTGTGGTTAGTCCAACCTCCCGACGGTGTGCATGCATTTGTGTGGGATGTCGTGGCGCTGGCCGCTCTCTCGGCTCTTGAACAGGCCCGTAGGTGGTTGTATGCTGACAACAGTGGCCGCCGCTCTGTCCAGACGGCCTGAAACTGTGATGGTGCTCGTGCCGTTGCTGATTTCTGGTCTCGCCTCCAGTCCTTTGCTGTCTTTCACCCTTTTCCTTGCAAATGTGGCTGGCCGTGTACGGTTTGTTGGCCCGCCTGACACTAAGTGCCCGCCGGTCTGCCCCTGACACTGGATTGTTTTGCCTTTGTTGCTTGTTTTGCGGGCTTGGCCTGAGTGATGGTTTCCGCTGTGTTTGTGGTGCTGTGGCAATGTGGGCTTGGTTTTTGGTGGCTGTGTCTGGCATAGCTCCTTGCTTTTTGCAGGCCATGCAACTGGGGTAGTTTGCTTTGCCTCGGCTGTCTAGCGTGTACGGCTTCCATGAGCTCCGGTCCCCCTTGTAACCGCATCCTAAGCTAAGAAGGCGTATTCTGTCAGTAGACACAACTAGAGTGGTGGAATGCTGACTGTGCTGTAGAAAGCTGGCAGTAACATCGGTCACGCTTAAAGGCCATGACGAGATAATGTTTACGAAATGATTCGTAACTCACAGCCTTAACAGTTGGGGAACCGTGCAGAATGCCATGCGAGTACGAGCCATACGAGGCACATTCCTATCATTTCGTTACATGACTGTCATCAGGCAGCCGTCGGCATTATGCCGCACATCAACGCTGCGAGTCGCTTAGTACTCCTCGCCCTCGCCCTCGCCGGCGCCCTCGGCGGACTCGGCACCGACCTCCTCGAAGTCCTTCTCCAGGGCAGCCAGATCCTCACGGGCCTCGGAGAACTCACCCTCCTCCATACCCTCACCGACGTACCAGTGCACGAAGGCACGCTTGGCGTACATCAGATCGAACTTGTGGTCCAGGCGGCTGAAGATCTCACCGATGGCAGTGCTGTTGGAGATCATGCACACGGCGCGCTGCACCTTGGCCAGATCGCCACCAGGCACGACGGTGGGAGGCTGGTAGTTGATACCGCACTTGAAGCCGGTGGGGCACCAGTCGACGAACTGGATGGTGCGCTTGGTCTTGATGGTGGCAACGGCGGCGTTGACATCCTTGGGCACGACATCACCGCGGTACATCAGGCAGCAAGCCATGTACTTGCCTGCATGGTTAGGGAAAAGGGCAAGTCAAGCATTGCATGTGTAGAATTCGTTTCGGCATTACATGCACCAAGGCATTATTGATGCTGACGAACATCATTGCTAAGCATTCAAGACTATTGATGCCTAATGAACATCATAAGACTAACAACATAAGCGAAGCGGCTTATCTGTCAAGAGGTCCCATCGTTAACGAACTCACCGTGGCGGGGGTCGCACTTGACCATCATGGAGGCGGGCTCGAAGGCGGCGTTGGTGATCTCAGCCACCGACAGCTGCTCGTGGTAGGCCTTCTCAGCCGAGATGATGGGGGCATACGAGCTGAGCATGAAGTGGATGCGGGGGTAGGGCACCAGGTTGGTCTGGAACTCAGTCACATCGACGTTCAGGGCACCATCGAAGCGCAGGGAGGCAGTCAGCGACGAGATGACCTGGGCGATGAGGCGGTTCAGGTTGGTGTAGGTCGGGCGCTCAATGTCCAGGCTGCGGCGGCAGATATCTGCATGGGGAATGAGGGGAATGCATGGAGTTAGTCACGTTGGTGGACATAGGAAACAAGTAGCGGTACCATGGCGACAAGCAGAACCACACAGCGCATCAACACAAAAGTAGCCCGCCTTACCGTAGATGGCCTCGTTGTCGAGCATCACAGCGACATCGGTGTGCTCCAGCAGCGAGTGGGTGGACAGCACGGAGTTGTACGGCTCAACGACGGCGGTGGACACCTGGGGCGAGGGGTACACGGTGAAGCCCAGCTTGGACTTCTTGCCGTAGTCGACGGACAGGCGCTCCAGCAGCAGAGAGCCCAGGCCAGAGCCAGTGCCACCACCGACGGCGTTGAACACCAGGAAGCCCTGCAGACCAGTGCAGTTGTCGGCCAGCTTGCGGATGCGGTCCAGAGCGAGGTCAACAATCTCCTTGCCGATGGTGTAGTGGCCACGGGCGAAGTTGTTGGCAGCATCCTCCTTACCGGAGATCAGCTGCTCTGCAAGGAGAGGAATAACGAAGGTCAGCGTAGGCGACATCGAGAAGACGCAAAGACAACGTGAAAATTATTACTACGCCATTGCATAGGAATAAGTTTGACATGTTGTCAGAAGTACTTGTTGCGATATGTTCAAAATGTAACAATTCAGTGGAAGCCTGGCCGCGGCCCGTTCATTCTCACCGGGGTGGAACAGCTGGCGGTAGGTGCCGGTGCGGACCTCATCCACGACAGTGGGCTCAAGGTCCAGGAAGATGCAGCGGGGCACGTGCTTGCCGGCACCGGTCTCCGAGAAGAAGGTGTTGAAGGCATCATCGCCACCACCAATGGTCTTGTCCGAAGGCATCTGGCCATCAGGCTGGATACCGTGCTCGAGGCAGTAAAGCTCCCAGCAGGCATTGCCGACCTGAAAGCAGAAGTTAATGGGAGGAAAGACGCGTGAGAGTGATACGAAGGCTAAGCGGCTGAGGCAGCTTCATGCTTAGCCACCACTCCTTACCTGGATACCGGCCTGGCCGATGTGGATGGAGATAACCTCACGCATGGTGAAGAGGGGAAAGGAAGGCTACGAAAGTGGAAGGATTCAAAGGGGAAGCCGGCTGGGTGCGCGAGGCTTAATGACCTGCGTCCCAACTTTAAGCTATTAATATATAGGAAGGTGATCGCTTGTTCAAATAAGAGCGCGACTTCTCCTTAAGTAAGGCTACAAGCCCGCGTGCCGTACGTATGCTTACGGGTTACGGCAATCCTCTAAGCATTATAGCCAGACGCCCAGGTACATTTAAACCGCGTTAGCGCTTAAATGACCTCAGCAACAAGGTGATCACGATATGTGGGCCAGAGCGCTGCGATTTCGTATGCCCGGCGCAGAGGCCAATGTTTTAACTGTTGCTCTGTGGTTCTGAAGTCGAATGTTGTCTGCGCTTTTAAGCAATTTGTGAAAGCTCATAGCTGGTGCAGTAATGGCGTAATAGACACGTTGGCCATAGATCTTGCCTTTTTTTGCAATAGATCAAACAATCATGTTATTTTCCGAAATCCTAGGAAACAAAACTATATGATGAGATGAACGTTCATGCAGCAAACTGTACAAAAAGTTGCTTTCATTTAAGCTGCTTAAAGCTGCATGCCTTGAAGATTTGTGCACGGTTGAAGAATTGCCCCAAATAAACGTCACTTCTTACATTCTCAGTTACCACTTTAGATGCGGTCTTCTTACATATTACTCCCTTAACCACTTCAGATCATATAAATTCACTTTCACGTCTCTGAGAATATCCTGTGGGTCGCACCCGCGTAAGAGGCCTTGCACGACGTTAGTACGCAACTGCAGCCAAGTCTGTGCACCGTGAAATGGTGAAGTGGGTTCGTTAGCAAACGGCAGCTTGGTCTAAGTGGGCCAGGCCTGGTCGTCGGTTTCGCGACGGTGTTGGTTACCTACCTGGACAATGGATCAACAGCAGCCATACTTGTCAGGCGAAAATACAACTCCCTCTGGACTGCACCCGCACCAGGGCGGGCCTGACCCATATCTGCAAGCCAATGCCTATCCAGGCCAAGATGCCCATCTTCAGCAACCGCCACTGGCAGCTGAGAATCAGTGGTCAAGTGCGATGAACCAAGAGCAACAGCCTAGCACGTCGGAACTGCCTCAGCAAGGTCCAGTGCCGTACCCGTTGGCTGGGCCACCTAACCCCGAACAGGGGCAGCAGCTGGCGAGCAGCAGTGGGGCGCCGCTGCTATCACCGCAGCAGCTGTCAGATGCTGTGGCTGGGGGGAGTACTGCGCGGGGCAACATTAGACGCCTTTTTGGTAGGAAACCGGCAGGTGGGTTGTTGGTGCTTAGTTAGCGTGCGGTCGCCTCAGTGGCATGCGGCCCTTAGTGACTAGGAGTTCTAGGACATGCTCTCTTATCTCCAAACCTCTGAGTCATTGGCAACCATGCAGCGACCGCAAACAACAGTTGGCATCGGACAACAATGCTTCTTCTTGTGTCACTAAACTTTAACTTCGTGTCGTAAGCAACTCACGGCATGGGAGTGTGTTTTCGTGCGGAATGCGCCCCCGACTCCGAGAAGGTTACAATGCACTCTCCAAGAAAGGAACAGCCTGTGCTGCCGAGGTTGCTTAGTGGTCCTCGTTTACCTCCTCTCCGCAGGAGCTAGTGCCACGCCCCAGGCGCCTCCTCAACCGACTCAGCAACAGGCGCAGCAGCAGCCCGGAGACTACCAGCAGCAGCAGCCCGTGGCGGGTGCTGGCACCACGTCTCCAGAGCGCCGGGGCCTGCTCGGCTTGTTTGGCCGCAGCAACACTGGCGGCCCGCCGCAGCAAACGCCGCAGCAGCAGGGAGCCGCCCCTCCGGATCAGGCGGCCGCTGCAACTCACCAGCCCGCCTCGCCACAGCAGCCGCTGCTTGGGGCCGCTTCGTCGCAGCAACAGGCGCTGGGAAGTGAGTCACAGCATGGGTGGCAGTGGGTGCACTGGCTCCGTGTCAATGTGTGATACAGCCCATCACCGCCCCTGTAGGAAGGCGTGCGCTAGGGCACTAGCGCTATACTCTCCCTGCCCACACGGCCTTGGGAAACAATCCTGACGGGTGGTGTGCGTTGTTGCTTCCGCAGCGGTGCCGGTGGTGCCGCCGCCCTCAGGCCTGTGCTCCCGGCCGGCTCCGCCGGTGGACGAGGTGGCCCGGCTGCAGTCCTCGCCCCTGGCTGCCAGCAAGTTCCAGTCGCTCAACTCACCGCCCGTGAGGGGCTCCGCCTCGCCGCAGGGGGCGCCGCTGCCGGGGGGCGCCCAGGCGGTAAGTGTGCTCGGGGGGCGTGATGCGTTGGTTTGGTAGCTAGGCTCTGGGTGATGGCGCCGGGTGCCCGGAAACGGGAGGTTCGTCTGTCAGGGTTTGTCGTAATGGCACCTCACTCGCTGCGGGCACTGTGCACTGCCGGTTGCTGCACCGTGCTCCCAGAGTACCTGCATGCCCCTGGTACGTGTGCTGCAGGGCTACCAACCTACTTTCCCCCCTTCACCGCTGTCCTGCCTGCCTGCCTGCCACAGAGGGGCAATCCCGGCCTCGCCGTGGACCCCGCCTACAGCGGCCCGCCGCCCCTGCACGACCGGTACGGCCCCTACCTGCGGCTCGCCGGCTACAACCCCGCCACCCGCGACTACTGGCTGTCCGTGATGATGGTGGTGCACCAGAGCCGCAGCCCCCGGCCGCCGCTCCTCAAGTACACGTGAGTTGCGCCTCCTGCCTCCCCTCCTGCAGCAGAGGCTGGTGATGTGCGTGTGGGTGCCGAGGGGCAGCCGGCGGGCAGTACACGAGCGGTCCTGCAGGCGCGGGATGGCCTAATGCCGGCGCGGGTGACCTTGATTGTGCACAGTTTGAGCACCAGCGCCTGAACCCTAACACTCTGAAACCGAATACCGGTAAATCACACCCTGGCTATCTCCGCATGCAGTGCGACCACACGTGAGCACGGCATGCGCGTTAAGCACACAGCACTGCCCAACGGCGCGCCCCACCAGCATGGCAGTCCCCTACCTGCCGCCCCTCTCCCCACCTCCATCAACACTCCTCCCCTCCCCTCCCCGCAGCCGCAGCGACTCGTTCCACCGCCAGCGCGACGAGGTGGAGGCGCAGCGGCTGTCGTCCTACGCCGGCTACAACTTCTGGCGCTGGGACCTGCACCTGCAGCTGGGCCCCGCGCCCGCCCTGGTGGAGTACCACGTGGTGTGCAGCGCCGACCACTTCTTCACCGCCCACCCGCGCCACCACTTCCACCTGCCCTCCGCCGGCCAGGAGTGGCACTGGGGCTTCTACAGCTGCAACGGCTTCCACGACCCCGTCCAGGAGTTCGAGATGCGCGGCATCCAGCCGCTGTGGCGCGACGTGCTGCACATGCACCGGCGCAACCCGCTGCACGTCATGTTCGGGGGCGGGGACCAGCTGTACTGCGATGGTAGGCGGCAGTGGGAGGGGGGCGGGTGGGGTGTGGGGTGTAGTTTGGGGTGGGCTGGGGTGCGTTAGTGGTGGGGTGCAGAAGTGAGTGGAGGAGGGCCATGACCGGAAGGGCACAGTGGCCCCTTCAGGTACCGTGCCTTGGAGCTCCGAATCCCTCACACTGCCGTAATGAGTGTCATCTTCCGCGCGCCTCGCAAGGGTTGCCGCTACAGCTCTCCTAAGCTCTTTCTGCCCCCTCCTGGCGGGATTCGGGATTGGGACTGTGTTGTTGCACTTATTATGTAATCCCCCCCCGGTTCCGCCACCCTCGCGACATGTACGGCTCCCAAGACGTGTGGAAGGTGCCCAGCCTGCAGCAGGTGGGGTGCCGCGGTGTGGGGCGCCAAGCAAGGGGAGTGTCGGGGTGCTGGTGTGGGAGTGGGAGGAGCGCACGCCGTGTGTCCACTGCTGTGAACCGGCAGGGGCAGCCAGGCAGGCCTGCAGTGGTGCAGTCCTACCGCACGGCCGCACGCACAACAAAGCATGGCGCAAGACCAAATCTGCACGTCGCATCATCACTGGGTTGTGCATGTCGCCTAATGTGCTCGCGGCGCCTGCTGCTGCCCCCCGCCCTGCTTGGCCCCCGCCCCCACCTTGGGATTCTTTTTCCCCCCGCCCCCGCCCCCGGCCCGCAGTGGACCAGCATCCGCGACAAGCCCAGCCGCAACGCGCACCCCTTCAGTCAAAACATGGTCAACGAGTCCTTCGACTTCTACTTCCGCAACTACACCACCCACTTCGGCAAGGAGGAGTTCCGGGACGCGCTGGCGTGCATACCGCAGGTGGGGGTGTGGGGGGCGCACTTGCCGGTGCTGCGGGGCCGCCATCCGGGGGCATGCCGCATGCATGGGGGCTTGCAGGCACTGTCGGTATGACCGACCCTATTACGCGTGCGGAGCATGCCATGGCGCTGCCTGCTCCTGACCTCCTGTTACGGTGCCACTAGGCCAAAGCCCTAACAACCCAGCTCAAACCTTCGCGTGCCTGCCTTATGCAAGCTTCCTACACACGCACCCATGCAGGGCTACCCTGCTCCCTCACTACCCATGCAAGCCCCTCCCTCGCCCCCCGCCACCACCACCTCCCCCCTTCCCGCCCCCCCCCCCAGGTGATGCTGTGGGACGACCATGACATCTTCGACGGCTGGGGCTCCTACCCTCCCGAGCTGCAGAACTGCGCCGTGTTCGCGGGGGTGTACTTCGTGGCGCGCAAGTTCTACCTGCTGTTCCAGTGCCACGCCACGGAGGACACACACAGGGAGCTCAACAAGGTGGGGCGGGGGCAGGGGCGGCAGGGGGCAGGGGGACAGGGACCTGCAGAGGAAAAAGGAGAGCACTAGGGATGCGGATCTGCTGTTGCCAACCTTTGCTGTATCCTTGCCTCCTCGTGCTGCTGCGGCTGCCTCGCACGCTCCCCGCCATGCGCAGGGTTGGGGTCTGACGGGGCTGTCCTGGACTCGCCTGCTGGGCGGCAGCACGGCGGTGGTGGGGCTGGACAGCCGCGGGGAGCGCACGCGGGCGCAGGTGGTGCGGCCCGCCAGCTGGGCGGCGTTCCAGGAGCAGGTGGGGCGGGGGCGGGAGGGGTGGGGTGGAGGATGGCGGGCAGTGGGGGGTGGGGCTTGCGGCAGAGGGGAAGTGTCTCTGCGTGTCAGTGCCCTAAGACAGCAAGCGGAGCGGAGGGCGCTGCATGCGGGTCGGGGCAAGCTCAGTCGTAGGTGGGGAGCACCAGGCGTAAAGCGAGCAGCATAGTTGTTGCTGGTGTGGCGGCAGCTGCTGCTCGCTAAACAGCGAGTACCGGTACCCTAGTATGTCCCTAAAGACCTGATCGGGCTTCTGGACAGAGCCAGAGCTCCGCCGCCAGGTGCGCTGAGGACCTCCCTCCCTGCCCTCCCTTCCTCCCAGGTTGCCCAGCTGCCCGCCGGGGTGCGGCACGTGGTGGTGGTGGCCACCGTGCCGCTCATCTACCCCAGCATCCCGGGAGTGGAGGAGGCAATGTGTGAGTGACGGGTCACCCGCGCAGGCAGGCGGGGGAGGTCCAGGAGAGCTTCCCAGCCCATCCGCGCATCCGCTTCCTCCCTGGCGCTTCCGGATGCCGGGTGTCAGTCCGCATGCTGTTGCTTGCCCTGTTGCACCCCAGCCGGCCTGAACGTGACTGCAGTACGTAATACTTCCCGCTGAACCTGCCTGCCTGCCCCCCCCCCTCATGCCTCATCAGTGGCGCTGGCGGGCACGGGGCTGATGGCCAACGCGCTGACCGCCTTCCTGCAGAAGACCGGCCTCTCCACCCAGATTATAAGCCAGTTCGGTAAGCCAGCAACAACGCCTGCGACACGCGCACCGCCTCAGCAGTGTGTGCGGTATGTGACTCCTATCAGGCATTGGGACGTCTACGAGGGCTGATGCGCCTGATGGGCGCTTGGCCTCGCCGGCGTTCACAGGGTAGCCTACGACCGACCGGTAGCCAGCCCCCCCTTTTTGTACCACCATCTCGGCATTGCTTGGCATTACCCAGCGTGCTTTAACTTTGGCAATCTCCGAACCTTGGATACCTTCAACACCTGCCTCCGCTCCCCCTCCTGTCGCCCCCCCGCCCCCCAGGCGAGCCCGAGCTGCTAGACGACCTGCTGGACCACTGGTCCTCCCCAAGCCACGAGGTGGAGAAGTACTGCCTGGTGCGCATGATGCAGGACCTGGCGGCGGTGAGGCAGGGGGGGAGGGGGGCGGAGGGAGGGGGTGGTGGTAGCTCTCAAACAGGGGGGCCCGTGCGGGTGCAGTGGGCCGGGGATGCGCAGGTGTACAATGCAGCGATGCCGGGAAGGACTGGTGGCGAAACGTCCATGTATGGCAGTTGTAAGGTGCCTGCTAACATGGCGGTTGGGGTTAGCAGGAACGGGGACACTCCAGGCGACTCCCAAGCATGCGTCGCTAAGGCAGGGAAAAGACGTGCAGTAGGCCATTGCGTATAGCGGCAGTGAAGTGGCTGCAAGGGCTTCTGCCAGAGAGCCGCTTCATGACACGCCCGGGCTGGCCCCTCCTGCAGGCTCGCGGCTTCCGCTTCACGCTGCTGTGCGGCGATGTGCACTGCGCGGGTGTGGGCTGCTTCCAGACCATGCCCAAGATCAACCTCAAGATGGACCACCGGTGCGGGGGGCGGGCGCGCGGCGGCAGGGGCGCATGCCGGTCTTGGGTTAGAGGAGCTGGAGGTTTCTTAAACCTTGGTTAGCCTTCCCAGGCGCCACCGCAAGCCAACTTGCCTTGTGCACCTTTCCCGTTCCCTCCTCTCTTAGCAATCAGGACCTTACATCGATTGTTCCCTTGCTAATATGCGGCATCGTACGGCTTCCTGTTTAAGGCATCCTTCAATTGACGCCGGTTGACTTCCTGTTGCCCAGTGCACCATCTAACATGCACCGCATGCGCAACCGCATGTGTGCTGGCTTGCGAGCTATGCGGCACTGCCTTTGGCACTCCGCACAGCCCGCTTCACAGCTCAGCTGACCCAGCAAGCAACCCCCCGCACCCTTCCCCTCGCCTTCCGCCTCCCGCCTGGCGTACAGGTACATCCCGCAGGTCATCAGCTCCGCCATCGGCAACGCGCCGCCGCCCGACGGCGTCATCCGGGCGCTGTCCGCCAGCAACAAGGTCAAGATGCTGGACGCGGTAGGGGGGGCGGGACTGGGGCGGGGGCATGGGAAAAATGAACAGTAAAGCAACGGAGGGGAGGTAAGGAGGAAGAAACTGACTAACCATATGACAAGGCTCCAACATGAGAGGGGAATCAAGAGGAAGAACCTGACGAGCTGTATGACGAGGTTTCCCCACGGGTTGCTACATGAGAGGGGGAGACGGGATGGTCGCATGAGAGAGGGGACGTAAGGGGAAGGGTTGCATGAGGGAGAGGGGAGAATGGTTGGGACACAGCTGTGCAAAGGTGGTTAGTGGATCAGAGGCGAGGGAGCACCTTTACCACACATAGCGGCACACTGCATGTTAGGTTCTCTAAGCAGCACATCGTCGGGCCCCTTTCCCTGCTGCCCAGGTCACCCGGGAGAAGATGAGCTGCATCTTTGAGAACGGCACGCTGCTCAAGGCCGCCCGCAACTGGTGCGACGTGAGCACCCGCCTCTCCGACGGCGCGCTGCTGTTCCAGCTGCGAGTGGAGCACCCGCTGCACCGGGAGGTGCACCCTGCCACCTACGACATCGCCGTACCGCTGCTGGAGTTGCCGCCGGGGCAGTACAGCCGGGGGCCGCTGGCGCCAGCGCAGCTGCCCCCGCTGCCGCAGCCGCTCCTGGTCAAATTCCATTCCGAGTTCGTGGCAGCTGGCGTGGGGCTTGAGGCGGCCCAGCCCCTACCCCCGCAGCCAGGCGGGGGAGAGGCGCAGGGCCAGATGCAGGGCCAGGTGCAGGGCCAGGTGCACGCGCATGCGGTAGAGGAACAGCAGCCGCAGCTACCGCCACCGGCACCAATACCGTCGCCCCCGCAGGAGCAGGGCTTCGGTCTACAGAGCGATGTTGAGCAGCACGATCAGCAGGCGCAGCAACAGCAGCAGCAGCAGCAGCTGGCACCACCGCCGCCACCGCCGGCAGAGCTGCCCCCGATGACAGCCACTGGGTCCTTTCCGGCAATACCGCCCTCGCCCTCCAACCTGAGCTTGCAGCCGCTGACGCTGCAGAGCCCCTACGAGCAGCCCCTGCAGGCCCCGGCGTCGTTTGCGGCGCCAGCGGCTGCTGCCGCGCCACCTACCTCGCCACCAGCGGCAGTAGCGCCGCCCGCCTACCCGTACGGCGGCGTTCAGGCGGCCTCCTACGGCTATGGGGCTGCTGCTGTTTATTCGTCCGGCAGCTTTGGGTACGGTTCAGGCCACATGCCGCAGGGGGGGTACCCAGCGCCACCGCAGGGGCCTCCCCCAGCGCATCTACCGCCCATGCAGCCGCTGCAGTACCCACCGCAAGTCCCCGCTGGCCCCTACCCGCAGTATCCGGCTCCTGCTTTGGGTCCGGTGCCCGGCCCCTACAGCGTTCCACCTGCAACAAGTCATCCGCAGTTTGGGGCACCGCCGTACCCAGCCCACGCCGGAAGCTTCGCCAACCCGCTTCCACCACCACCGCCACCGTACGGAGCCCCAGCGTACCCGCCTACTTATACTGGAGCACAAGGGTACTAAGTGAGGATCACGTTGTCAGTGACGCGTGCACAACAAGATGGGTTCCGAACGACACTAACGTCCCTGGAGAGCTCAAAATGAAATCAACTTAAGTGAATACTATCTTGCGCAGCTGAACGAACATGCAAGCTGAGAGGACATCAACCTACCCTTGGATCTTAAACTGGCTGTTATGAATCCGTTGTCCTCTTTGCTAGTGTATACGTCAGCATAATTCCTAGTTCGACACGTATGCATGATGTTTGGGACTTACACTGCCAGACAAATGCGTGCGTGTTGCATCTTGCTGGAGTGTAATGTATAGGAAATTATGGTGTATCATCCTGCAGCACCTTGATTGTTGACCACTGTCATGGCTTGTGACGCTGTGTATTACAACTCGGAATGTTGTAACGCTGGACAATCTCACCCTCATCTCGTTACAATACCCTTACCCGACAAAGGGGTCTACGAGTCACACCGGCATAGGGACCGAAGTTCAATAGAAAGAAGACTAATTGTATTTTTGGTCTTGCATGTCATGTGGACATGCAGCCAAGCAAAGTACATAAGCAGACGAAAAAGAATTCTAAGTCAAATGTACGACTGCGGGCACACGAGTATACACACACCGCAGATGTAATACATCAAGGGTTCATGCAGATGTCATACGAGTCATCTTACTCAACAAACTATGCATCCATGGGTTATAGAACAGTAGTACAGACAATGTACAAGACGTGTGCAAGCAACGCATCAGAGCTTCGACACTGGCGCCGATCGCTTCTGAGGCCCCTTACTAGAGAGCCGCCGCATTGCACCCTCCAGCACAGAGATAGTGGATGCACTGCTTAGGAACCGCCATCCAAAGTCCGGCTCACTCGGGTAAAACGCCTCCCAGTCCTTGCAGAAATCCTCCCGCAGCAGCAACTTAGTGGCGGCCCGTGCAGCCGGGGGCTGCTTGCAAGCTCGCTCTGCAACCTCCAAGGCCGCCGACAACAACTCCTCCGCCGGCACAACCATGTCCACCATCCCCAGCTGCTTCGCCTCTGCCGCGGCCACCATGCGTCCCGTCAACAGCAAGTCTTCAGCAGCCTTGCGACCAATCACCCGCCCCATTAGGAGACCCCAGAACTTCGGAACCGGGATGCCCAACTGCACCTCGTTAAGCCCCATGGAGCCATCAGGCGTGATAAGGCGAAAGTCACTGCAGAGCGAGATGGCGCAACCGCCGGCGGGACAGGCACCGCGAATGGCGGCGACCGTTACTAAGCGAGACCGATGGAGGCGCACGAGAAAGGCATTCTGCGCCACCCAAAACTTGGCGTAGCGGTCTCGTGAGGTCTTGGGGGCGTACAGCTCCATCAAATCGTTGCCAGCAGAGAAGACGGGGCGTTGCAGCCCTGACGTGAAAATGACGGCGTTGACGGAGCTATCTGCCTCAAGGCGGGTTAAGGCCTGGTCAACAAGCGTCCACATCTCTAGGTCCATCGAGTTGACGGGCTCCTTCTTGACCGTTACGACCGCCACCCCGCCTGGACGCACATCGACGGTGACGAAGCCGCCACTACTGGCCATGGTGACGGTGTTGGCGAAGACGGCTGACAGGAGTGAGAGGATAACTGTTGCCGAAGGAAGAACCTGAAAGGAAAGGCATGATAGGGGTATACACAGCAGAAACGTCAATCACCTGTTATAGCAGAGCGTGTGTCAGTTCAGGTCTCCAAGTTGTCTCCACACAGGGCGGCTTAGCCGACCCTACTCGGTAGAACGAAAGTTTTTGTAACATCATACACCGCTCGCAGAATATGCAAGTTCTAGGGTATGCAAATCGCGTCATGTCAGAACCAAGTTCGCTCTCATCGGAGGTGGCTGTACCCCCTATGAAGGTGTCCTAAGATATGGTAAAATTTAATCATCATCCATACGCGAAGAGTCCATGCAAGGCGCGGCGGCGCCGACAAAATGAAGCAAGGGCGAGTCAGCAAGAACGCAGCGTCTGTTTCGTCGATCACAATTGATCTGATCAAGTGTTGGATTCAGATGACTTCGTCATTCTCGCCCAGCAGCAGTGTTTGCAGGTGTCGCAAAGCCGCTACAACCAACACACAGTGGCATGCCAGTGCGTAGCAGCTAAGCTTTGCTATCCTCAGTTGGTAAGGGGCGGTACAGCACCATGGATACTAGGCGGCCCGCACGGAGGATAGTCTGAGTTGTGCTTCTATTGGTCCTCAGCAGTGCTGTTGTCACCATGCCGCGGAATCGCGGAATCAGGTCTCAAAGATTATTACTGTACCATCACTGGACCTCTGCAACTGTGCTATGAGCATGATAATGAGACATGCACTTACCGAGGTAATTCGCCGCCGTCGGTTTCTTGTCTTGTTACCAGGGACAAGGGAAGCTCCACTTCATGACAACTTCAACGTAGTCGCTTCAAGATTCATTGTGAGAGAGTGAAGAGAATCGGGCAAAAGACGCTTATATGCTGGCGGCTGGGCCCATCTGGGGCCTTGTGTGGATCCCAAGCGGTTGGTGGTGCCGCTCTTTAGATGAAAGCCCACAAGTACACCAAGCCACATAACAATTTCTAGGATTACCTACGGATAGCATAGCCATGGCTGGGTCGTTTGCAACGCTGGTGGACAGCTCGTACGGCGACTCGGCATGGCGCGCATCCTGGGGACAGAAAGCCCTAATCATTTTGTCGTTCTTGCTTATGCGGTAAAAGCATTTGGAGAGTGACTGCTTGCTTACCAGCGCGCGTCTTATTATTCTCAATCGCCAGGACCAACTGCCATCCAAATGATATAAATGCTCGTGAGGTGCCAGTAACTATCACCGCACAACTAGAGTACCGAACATGACCCGCGGCGCACTTATTGTTTTTGAGGGCGGCGACCGCTGTGGCAAGACGACGCAATGCAGCAAACTTGTGGAGTACCTTCAGAGCACCGGCGTAAGCATGGAATGCTTCCATTTGGCTTAGTGCACAGCTGATTGATATTAATATATGCTCCGTTTTAGCAACGACACGAGACCCCCACATTTGGAGACCCGCGCACTAGGTGTCTTGTGTGAGAGGTCGTATAGCTCAGGGGCGTAATGTCGTGAGAGACCGTATGGTTGGCCCCCCCCCCCACACACACACATTGGAATTTCTTCCTCCCACATCATAAACGCTGCACACTTAGTACCCTCCCTATGCTCCCCCGACAATTATGCTGCCGTATGCTACTCTGACGCTGCTGCCGCACAGGTCGACACACAGATGTGGCGCTTCCCTAACCGTTCCACATCCATTGGCCAGTCTATCAATGCGTACCTTTCAGAGCAGGCGCACCTCGACGACGCTGTCGTCCATATGCTCTTCGTCGCGAACAGGCTGGAGCAGCGGTACGGTGTCTGGGGGCGTAAGGGCTGTGAGCGCCTTCGGTGTGGTGGAAAGCTGCTGCCTGCCGATGCAGGGCATTGTGGGGGTTCCTGCATGCCTGGTTAGCAATACGGTTGGCGGTCCATTCCAGAAATGTCCGCTTCAGCCTACGTCCACGATTATCTCTTGCACCGCAGCGCAAAAGGCCGCATGCTTGGCTTTATGATAACACAATGCTCGTGTGCGCTACCCGTTGACAGGACTGAGATGCTGCGGCTGCTGGCTGCGGGCACGACGCTGGTCCTAGACCGCTACAGCTACAGCGGCGTTGCCTACACCGCTGCGAAGGGTGTGCCCGGGCTGACCATGGAGTACTGCAAGTCGCTGGAGGTGCTGCTGCCGGCCGCGGACCTGGTGGTGCACATGGCCATGACGCCCGAGGCCACAGCAGCTCGCGGCGGGTACGGTCAGGAGCGGTATGAGAAGGTGGAATTCCAGAAGAAGGTAGGGGCGGTTTCGGAATAAGAACGGGCGTGATCCAAGCTCTCCAACTAAGCCACAGGGACCTCCGTACAGCAGATGGTGTCCTAGCAAGAATCTTGGCTGTCCGTGATGTCCATCTGTGCCGCGTTGCAGGTCATGGAGGCGTTTGAGTCGCTGAGGGATGAGCGGTGGGCCGTGATCGACGCATCAGGCAGCATCGATGATATCCACAAACAGGTAGATGCGTTCACCTTTGCTGGCAGCACGCAGGAGGCAGTTCTTCTAGCATGGGTACCTGGCCAAGGGCACGTTCTGGAGTGGTTGGTTTCTGACGTTGCGCCCCCTGCGTGCAGGTGGTGGCTGTCGTCCAGCCGGTGGTGGAGCGGGCGCGGGCGGGTGCCCCGCTTGGGAAGCTGTGGGACAACCAGCCCATGGAGCTGCCGCTGAACCCAAAGTAAGCGCAGTGAGGCGAGCCGGGGCCTGTACTGGAAGGGGCTATCCGTCCCTATCCGCTGCTTCGCACTCGCCACCAGTCTTCAATAATTCTGTATGCCTGTACTATGCCATCAGCTATGGGCATATGGCCCTTTGTCCGCAGGACGGGTGACATGCATGACGGGCAGAAGGAGACGTCTGCGGAGACACACACAGATGCAGTGGTTGCGGTGTCGGTTCAGGGCCAACGCATTTCGGCCAAGCAAGGACAGCAAGCACAGCAAGTCAACGTTGACGACCTAGTACACGCATAGCCTGTCCTTTTCGTAGCGCATCGTGTGAAGGGGATAGCAGCATGCGTACGGGAACGACGACATGTTACAGGCTTTGGCAAGGCAGTAGCGTGCGTTAGCTCCACGCAGGGTTTAAAGCTTTGTGGCGTGGGCTTACACATATGGGAACTCGTGAATCTTATTCGCGAGCGCCAAGGGGTGTTGCAGATCCTGGTGGCGTGCGAAAACGTACGGTGGTAGTTACCTAGTTAGCCCCGCTAATCCACGGTGCTACGCGCAACGGAAAGTTTATTATCAATTATACTCACATCATTCCTTTAACTACTGGTTTCATTGCTGCATCTTTCCCGAGGAATGGCGTTATTGTCCGCCGGAAAGAGCTTTAGTACGTGTCGTTTGCGTATCATTAGACGCTTATGTCCCAAACCTGTTCGCTCCCACCGTTTAAGTTGTAGTGCATCAGCAACTGTCCCTCGCGTTAGCCGCGGAGCACTAATCGTCTTTGAAGGCATCGACCGCTGCGGGAAGAGCACGCAGTGCGCAAAGCTTGTCGAATCATTAAGGAGCACCGGCGTAAGTAACATGGTCTGATGCCCTTTGTAAATGCTTGCATTCCGACCGCATTGGAATTTCGGGAGGCATCCCCAACAAGTTCCGGATGGGCAGCAACTCCACACATACTCCCGTCCACCCCGAATCCCCCCACATGCAATATTGGGCGCTCGGTAGGTGGAGGCAGAGCTATGGCGTTTTCCAGACCGGACGACACCACTAGGCCTGCTCATCAACGACTACCTCCGAAGTGATGCATCGTGGGACGCGACTGCTGTCCATCTGATGTTCACGGGGAACCGTTTCGAAAAAAGGTGCTTCCTACTCCCGCCTTGCCGGTTCGCGTCCAACGCTTGTTTATAACAGCCACACCACATGGGCCCGTGCTTGACAGGGATGAGATGCTACGGCTGCTGGCTGCGGGCACGACGCTGGTGCTGGATCGCTATAGCTACAGCGGTGTTGCCTATACCGCTGCCAAGGGCTTACCGCAGTTAGGGCCTGCCTACTGCCGCTCCGTTGAAGTGGGTTTGCCGGCCGCCGATCTTGTGGTGCACATGCGCATCAGCCCGGAAGCATCGGCGGGGCGTACAGGCTTTGGCAGGGAGCGTTACGAGAAGCTGGAGTTCCAGCGAAAGGTACGGCGCACTGGGAAGTAGAGGTGGGGCACTTGGGTTAACCGGGTTTTTGCTGAGCCCATCAGCCCAGGAAGGTACTTACTGCTCAGTTATATTAACTTAGGGACGCCCTTTCCATAAATATGTTTAGGTGATGGAGCAGTATGAGACGCTCCAGGATGACCGGTGGCTTGCGGTTGATGCGCTTCGAGCAGAAGACGATATCCACAGTCAGGTGCGCCCTGTCCCCCTTGCTTTCTGGTTCGAGTGGGAACCGCGAGCTGGGCGCTAAGTTATTAGCAAATGAATGACCCCGCAGCTTACTGATGCCGGCCATCGCAATGGACACCACATGTTCTGCTCACACCGCTGGTGGCCTTGTTGTGACACAGGTGCTGGTGGCGGCGCAGCAGGTAATCAAGGCGGCCGAAAGAGGCGCCCCGCTAGGGCGGCTGTGGGACTACCAGCCGCTAGAGCTGCCGCAGGGCCGGCCTCTGGAGACATAAGATCACGCACGAGAGCTAAGCAGGCGGGCACGCAATTGCATGTGGTCATCTCCAGCTACAGTGCAGCCGTGAGCGTCCTGCATGTGAGAGGCCTGCATGTACGGCTTGTGAACTAAGCGCTGTAGCCCTAAACGTGCCTCCACGCATTGGAGAGCCCGGGCTCCACCGTAGCCATGCTGTAGGGCAGACAAATTTGCAAGCTTTTGTATCAATGTGTATGAACGGAATGTGGCAAGCATGCATGAGGTTACGAATTGAACCTGATTACTTTACGCAGAATAATGTGTAGACCTTTTTGTAAGGTCATGGTACGATGGGTGTTAAGAAGACTGGCCGCGTGCAGGAACGTACTGTGGTTGTTGCGTATGTGCAATCCTAGAGTGACAGATGGGGGAATGTTTCTGATTCTTTGCATCATCGGTCCATAGCATGGGTCAATTATAACCCATCATAGCATGGGTCAATTATAACCCATGGTAAAAAAATGACTGCACCAGATGTAGGAACCAAGGAAAGAGTGTAACGACTTGTTTGGAACAATGCTGCGTAAGGCATGCCAGATCAACTTCTCCATGCTGGTAGGAATCAATGAACTTCATACTTACCCCGGGGTAAGACCTGGTTGGACTACTATAGGGAATGGATAGGTGGGGGGGAGCCTATGTGTCTGCGGAGCTGACGGGTGCCATGCGAGTACGAGCCATACGAGGCGCAACCCATCATTTCGTTACATGACTGTCATCAGGCAGCCGTCGGCATCATGCCGCACATCAACAGAGCGAGTCGCTTAGTACTCCTCGCCCTCGCCCTCGCCGGCGCCCTCGGCGGACTCGGCACCGACCTCCTCGAAGTCCTTCTCCAGGGCAGCCAGATCCTCACGGGCCTCGGAGAACTCACCCTCCTCCATACCCTCACCGACGTACCAGTGCACGAAGGCACGCTTGGCGTACATCAGATCGAACTTGTGGTCCAGGCGGCTGAAGATCTCACCGATGGCAGTGCTGTTGGAGATCATGCACACGGCGCGCTGCACCTTGGCCAGATCGCCACCAGGCACGACGGTGGGAGGCTGGTAGTTGATACCGCACTTGAAGCCGGTGGGGCACCAGTCGACGAACTGGATGGTGCGCTTGGTCTTGATGGTGGCAACGGCGGCGTTGACATCCTTGGGCACGACATCACCGCGGTACATCAGGCAGCAAGCCATGTACTTGCCTGCATGGTTAGGGAAAAGGGCAAGTCAAGCATTGCATGTGTAGAATTCGTTTCGGCATTACATGCACCAAGGCATTATTGATGCTGACGAACATCATTGCTAAGCATTCAAGACTAATAACAACATAAGCGAAGCGGCTTATCTGTCAAGAGGTCCCATTGTTAACGAACTCACCGTGGCGGGGGTCGCACTTGACCATCATGGAGGCGGGCTCGAAGGCTGCGTTGGTGATCTCAGCTACCGACAGCTGCTCGTGGTAGGCCTTCTCAGCCGAGATGATGGGGGCGTACGAGCTGAGCATGAAGTGGATGCGGGGGTAGGGCACCAGGTTGGTCTGGAACTCAGTCACATCGACGTTCAGGGCACCATCGAAGCGCAGGGAGGCAGTCAGCGACGAGATGACCTGGGCGATGAGGCGGTTCAGGTTGGTGTAGGTCGGGCGCTCAATGTCCAGGCTGCGGCGGCAGATATCTGCATGGGGCATGAGGGGAATGCAGAGTGAAGAAAGAGTCAACTTGATGGACATGGGAAACAAGTAGGGGTGCCATTGTGACAAGCAGGCAACGCTAACCACACAGCGCATCAACCCAAAGTTCGCCTTACCGTAGATGGCCTCGTTGTCAAGCATCACAGCGACATCGGTGTGCTCCAGCAGCGAGTGGGTGGACAGCACGGAGTTGTACGGCTCAACGACGGCGGTGGACACCTGGGGCGAGGGGTACACGGTGAAGCCCAGCTTGGACTTCTTGCCGTAGTCGACGGACAGGCGCTCCAGCAGCAGAGAGCCCAGACCAGAGCCAGTGCCACCACCGACGGCGTTGAACACCAGGAAGCCCTGCAGACCAGTGCAGTTGTCGGCCAGCTTGCGGATGCGGTCCAGAGCGAGGTCAACAATCTCCTTGCCGATGGTGTAGTGGCCACGGGCGAAGTTGTTGGCGGCATCCTCCTTACCGGAGATCAGCTGCTCTGCAGGCAGCAAGGAATAACGGAGGTCAGCGTAGGCAACATCGAGAAGACGCAAAGACAACGCGAAAATTATTACTACGCCATTGTATGAACATAAGTTTGACATGATGTCATAAGTAGTTATTGCGATATGTTCAAAATTTAACAATTCAGTGGAAGCCTGGCCGCGGCCCGTTCATTCTCACCGGGGTGGAACAGCTGGCGGTAGGTGCCGGTGCGGACCTCATCCACGACAGTGGGCTCAAGGTCCAGGAAGATGCAGCGGGGCACGTGCTTGCCGGCACCGGTCTCCGAGAAGAAGGTGTTGAAGGCATCATCGCCACCACCAATGGTCTTGTCCGAAGGCATCTGGCCATCAGGCTGGATGCCGTGCTCCAGGCAGTAAAGCTCCCAGCAGGCATTGCCGACCTGTTCGCGCAAAATGGAGAAGTAAGTTTCTTGCATCGAAGAGGCACGCGGCCCAACCTTGGCAGAATGAAGGAGTCCTAGCTTACCTGGATACCGGCCTGGCCGATGTGGATGGAGATGACCTCACGCATGGTTGCGGAGTTTAGAAGCCGAGACGAAGGGAAGGAGTAAGGAAGCGGGAAAGCCGGCTGGGTGCGCGAGGCTTAATGACCTGCGTCCCAACGGGATAATATAATATAGATAGTGAAAAAAGATCACTGTATACTTTCTGAACGCGGGCGACTTCTTTAAATATTGCGCCAAGGCCGCGTGCCGTACGCATGCTTACGGCATTTTTCTAAGGACCCAAAACGGATCCAACCAGTCAACTGTGAGCCTTATATTCTAACACATGAAGTAAAGCTCATTTATTTACATTGGTAACTTTGCGATCGCTCCAAACCTTTGGAATTCAAATTTTTTGCTGGTAATTTAGCGCTCCGTTTCTTGTCTGTTCCATGTATTTCCCGGCGATCTGCAAGGAAGTATTGCTACTTATATTATATAATATCAGCCCTATCCCTCATCTGATCTTTGGGTTCAGAATGAATTCCCAGTCCCAGGCATAGGGCGTTGCGGCTCTCCCGCTTCCTCCCGCACAAACACACCTTCAATCGCTATGGTAAACCAGCACAATGTGACCTGTTTACAGAACGCAAAAACTGAAACACCTATATACTGGCTCTGTCTGTCCATACTGGCATTTGTCTGTCCAACCACGTCATACACTGGTAAATACTTGCGACCTGGAGGGGAGGAGCCGTTGGGCATGGACGGAAGAGCAGCATGCCAGTAAAACTAATTCATCAGAAACCCCCTCCCCTGAAGGCCAGTAATCGCTAATACCGAAATTATTTCGCGCGGAGGGGCATCCTGGCTCCGCACCACCCAAGGATGGGAGGGACCAGTTGGTGTTGGCGGGGTCGAATGCCGGGACCCTGCCGGGGACGAGGATGACTCATGCATATAGGTACCACTTGTGACAACAAACCTTTAGTGCCGCAGTTGCTGGTTAGCGGAGTACTCGGTCCTTTATCACGAAACTCCAGAACTTCACAGGTTGCACTCCGAGTTGTCAAGGGTTCATTCGCAGCTACTTGCCGGTCAATCTGCATGGCAGGTTTTATTGTTGCTTTCCGTACTTAAGGACCGGCCTTTCACGGAAATGCATACTGCACATAATCTAGGAGCCCACAACCAGTAACCTAATTACCCATCCCTGGCCATAGCTCGCTTCAACTGTTCCTGACACCAATGAAAGCTCGTGGCAAAGACTCGTGGCGCCTAACCATGGCACCAATCTACCAGTGCTCATGTGGTTCTGTCGCAACTCGCTGCGATCCACACTGCATACCAACCGTTTCACGTCAATTCCCTTAAGAATGTTCAAGCTCCAAACCAGTCAGCTCACCCACCGCCCGGCCATCACGCCGACAGTTCTGCCAGTATTGGTACCCCCTACCAGCACACTGCACGCTGTTTGGAGCTAAGGGGTCACCCAGATACACCTTGGCTTAAGACGCCCATGCATCTCTCCCAACCGCTATTCGTCGAGCCGTCGAAAAATATATACATACGTGCAGTCATTGCTTCACTCCGGAACAAGTGCACCTCAATATGTACATGGGTTGGCAATGGACAGCCGTAACCCCTTCGCAATCTTTATGCTCTTCGCGTGAAAACGCATGGAATGCGGATTTGACCGTGAGACTCGCATGTCCCCCTAGGCGAGTAATTACTGCCAGACACCACCGCACGACCAATTGGCACAGAAATTGGTCATGTGGAATTCGTCTCTGCGCCCTTCGGTCCTCCATGCTTTATGCCAGTCCCTCACGAACGCTCATCCCGAGTCCTCCTTTTTCCTCTCCTCCACTTGCTTTTTAAACTTGCTCACTGCATCCTTGAGCACCTGCACCAGCACCTCGCACTCGTCGATGTCCTTAACGACCTGCGGGTGGTGGCGGGCAGCCAAGGGAGTACTGAGCACCTGGGAAGCCCTGGAACGAGGTCTTAGCACGCCTGGGGGTGCATAGCAGGCACAGCAGCTCCGCGCTAGAAGACGCCAACAGCTTTATCTCCCGCCAGTGAGCCTCATTTGCCTCTGCACTCCTGGCCCTGTCTCTGCGTACCCTCTCGCAGGCGCCTGCACATGCCGGCCAGCACGGGCCCCCTGTCCGCAACATGTCGTACCTTGGCGTGCCGCTGCTGCAGCGCCGCCTCCCCCGGGCCGCCCCCCATGGCCACCTCCGTGCTCACCCCCGCCAGCCACGGGGTCAATGTGGGCAGCACCACCTCCTTTGGCGGCGGCGGGTTGGCGCGGAAGGCGTCGTACTCGGCAGCGAGCTCCGCGTAGTTGATGGAGGCGGGGGACCTGGGCGGCGGCCGCAGGGCGGCGGGAGTGGGAGCGGTGAGGGGGGCAACACACAGTCTGGGGCGCTGACTGGGAGCATGGTTAGTGGCAGGGTAGGCTAGGGTAGGGGTAGGCGCACATGCGCAGGCCGTGCGGACCGGTCCTGCTGCCCCTACCTCTCTCCATCCAAGTTGGTCAGCTTGGGCAGCGCTGCCAGCACCGCTGCCTTGTAGCCCGCCACCCGGCACACGGCGTTGTGCGCTGAGCGGTCGATGTTTTGCAGGTAGAGGGCGCGCAGGGCGGGCAGCTCCGCCAGGTGCGGCAGCGCCAGCGCCTCCAGGGTGGCCACCCGGTTGTCCTGCAGCCACAGCACCTCCAGCCGCTTCAGCTGCGACAGCCCCTCCACGCGGCCGATGCGGTTGGACGACAGCACCAGGCGCCGCAGCTGTAGTAGCATTTCTAGGCCCTCAATCCTGGGAAACCAATGGGAGGAAAGGGAGGAGGGGTCAGAGAAAGGGCTGCACGGCGGGTGGCATACGGCTGCGACCGTTTGCAGATGTGCTTTCCGCAAACACCCACTTTGAAATCTGGTTGCCTGCCAGGTTCAACTCCACAATGTTGGCGCATTTCTCAAGTCCGGCCAGGCGTGTGAGTCCTGGTAAGGAAAGAGCAGCAGGTGAGCCATGTGGTCGACGGCCGGCCCGCTGGGTCGCTCCTAAAGGGGATTGCTTCCCGAAAAGGGTTCAACCATGAAGCTTGCCTTTGTTTGCCCAAGTTAATTTAAACACGATTTCCACATCGAACCGCTGGGATGCCTGCGTTGGTTGAGGTCGCGGCCCTTTGGCATGCTGAGCTGCACGAACCATAATTTAACAGCACAGCACTTACGCTCTTAACATTTTCATCTGTTAGACCTGTTACGCTGTTGCTGCGGCTTAGGACTGCTGTTCCGTCCGCTGACCCCAGCCGTGAGGACCCGGCCGATATTCGCCTTTGAAGCGACATAGACAGACGAACACCCTGTGCTATTTGCTCTCAAACCTACATTTCCTCCTTGTATAGCCCAGGGAAGCAACGCATAGTTAACAAGTAAGAGTCGAGGGCATTTTGAACATAGCGAATGATGCGCCCAAGGCGCTAAGCATGCCGTTGATAAATCTTCATATGTTTATCATCTATACCCAGGTGCAACGTCACGGTGTATATAAGTGACTGTACGTCTAACCGTCAAAGGCCTGACTTGCTGACTAACATTGTGACTGGTTCCGAACTCGTCAAAGGCTAAGCGGGAAAGCAGTATAACGTCACACGCTACACGATCCCGTTGTCCTAAGTCTCGACTCACTTACGCATGCCCGGAGGCTTGCGATGTGGCGAGCGAAGATCAACCAATGCTGGGGTATGGGCTGTGGACCAGTGCCATGGCTGCAACACCCAGCATCTACTGGCATGCATGGGATGGATCCAGCAAAACACCTGATGTCCCCACTTTCAGCACGGTACTGGCACACTAGCAGTATCAGCAGTAGCCATCAGTGTAAGTGCCTAGGCCCCACAGAGCTCGTGGCTGGGTCACTCTTGCGTTGCATGCATGTTTGACGCCGCTTACGCCACGTGAACGCAACTCGACGCCTGCATACCGTACTTCGCTTGCATGGCTCGTCCCACGACGCCTCGTCACCGTAACCCTGCTAGCTTGGCTTCCTCCAAGCATTTAACAGTGGAAAGAATTGGCTAGGCGATGCCATGCGTCCTTAAGGCTGGCCGGAGTGCCACGTTTCTGCTTCCTTGCAACACGCCCGTCCCCTGCCGCGCGCACAACATGGAACTCTCACGCCGGGGGTCGGAGCTCTGTGGGGTAATGCCTGCATCCCTCTGCACCTTGTCTGGGCATGCATCAGGGGCACGCCTTTACCCGCAACGGAGATCCGCATCGCGGGAAACCGGCACGACGACATGAGAGAGGGAGAGCTGCCCGCCTGGCATGCGCACCGCTAGGCAACAGGGGCGATGTGGCATTCCCTTGCTGCGTCGTCTCTAGCGGTTAGCTGGTTGCTTGCGGAGGCCCGCTTGCGGTGGCCGACGAAAGCAGCTAGGCAACTAAAGCGAGTACTGGCCCCCATGTTGCCCCATGGGCTGACGGGGGAACCTGCCGCCGTGTTGGGCACATGCAACAGTATGTTCCCGAGACCTTCCGACGTTAGGTTCCGCTCACGGCCTTCACCGTCCCGTTGCTGGGTGAGGTCAAAATAGGATATGGTTACGGCCGTTGTAACACATCCCATTGCTTGGATTAGCAGTTAGCAGCTGCACCCGGTCATGCGCACGGCAGGATTACGGCAATATCCTGCGTCGCCTTTCCGAAGCGGAAACTTCCTAAAAAAAGAACAATTAATTGCATATTGTATCTTTCACAAAACCCTTACTGCTGGTCGGCCTTGATACGGACAAGCTAACCGCTATGAGCAGCGCGACTTCTGCAGCTGAGGATGTTTGCTGCAAGCGACTTGTTGGCAAGGTGGCCCTGGTGACTGCTGCAACGGCCGGGATCGGTCTGGCCACTGCGGAGCGTCTGGCGCAGGTGGGAGCGGTGTCGTCGTCGCGCTGCAGGCTTTTCGCAAAACCAAAGCTGCTGCAGTACCGAAAGCTTATTACAGGAAATCGGCCCTTTTCCGGGTGTGTTTCCGGGTCCTTATGCTAAGATGTCAACTGCTGTCCCGTCTCCTGCCACCCACGCACGCCACCGCAGGAGGGCGCTAGCGTCTTCATATGCAGCCGGTAAGGTGGCCACATTTCCCTTTAGGTGGCTCCCTTAGAGGCGCATGCACTATCCAGCTAAGGGCACCCGCAACGGTTCAGCCAGGTCGGATGCATGCGCCGTACACCCAATGCTGCCGCACACAACCCCCAGCCCCAACTCCAACCCCCAGCATGTTGCCCCCCCTGCTGCCTCCCTCCCGCCCTCCATGCTCTCCTCCCCCCAACCCCCCTCAACCCAGCAAGCAGAGCAATGTGGATGAGACGGTGGCGGCGCTGCGGTCCCGCGGGCTGGAGGTGGCGGGCTGCGCATGCCACGTGGGCAGCGCCGAGCAGCGGCGGCAGCTGGTGGAGCAGTGCGTGAAGGTGGGGGGCCGGGAGGGGGGGACAGAGGGGGGTGGAGGGTGGCGGCTGGGGGCGGAGGGGATGCCCACGGGAGAGGTGCAAAGAAGGAATCAGGTGGGGCGGGGTGAGGCAGGGAGCATGGGGAGCTCCGAGGCGGGTGGCCGGAGACTGGCGGTAGACGGGGCGGCTCGCACCGCGGAGGCAGGGAGCGCAGCTCGCAGCCTGGGTGGTGCTGCTGCGGGGACTGCCACGTCAGCCACCCAGCCTGAGCTCAAGCAGGGGGGAGGGTGCTACATGCCGGTGTTGTGTCGCCTCGGCTGCAGCAGCTGGCCCCTCTCCCCTGTCAGCCCTGCGCCGCATCCGCCCCTCACCCACCCGCCCCGCCCCACTTCTTGTCACATGGTTAGTTAACTGCTTCCTCCTTACCCCGCCTCCCGCCCCCCGCCCCCCTCCCTCCGCAGCGCTACGGCGGACTGGACATGCTGGTGAGCAACGCCGCGGTGAACCCGGGTGCGGGGCCGCTGGCGGAGACCCCCCCGGACGTGATCGACAAGATACTGGACATCAACATCAAGGTAGTGGGGTGTGGGGGGAGGGGAGGTGTGTGTGGGGGGGGGGCGCATGGTTGTGGGGTGGCGATCGGGGTGGGGAGAGGGTGGAAGGGGCAGTGGAAGGCGAGAGGAGGCCGTCCTGGAAGAGGCGATAGGCGAATGGGCGACAGGTATGGCTCCTCGCAACGGGCCTTCGGAGGGTAAGGCTTCTCGCTCCTTTTTCTGAGGCCCCTGTTCATTCCGCTGCATGGCACTGCCCGCCTGATCTCTGCACGGCCGTGTCATGACCCCCACGACAGCAACCGCAGTGGGGGCTGCAGGGTTGCACGCTGCGGCACAGCAACCCTGCAGCACCCACTGCTGATGCGGCCAACCCTCCCCTCTCCCCTCCTCTCTCAGCCACCCTACCACCGAACATCCCCCTCCCCCTCCCCCACCTCCCCTCCCCTCTCCCTGTTCAGTCCGCGGTGCTGCTGGTCCAGGAGGCGCTGCCGCACCTGCTGCGGCGACCCGGGGCCTCCATCGTGTTCGTGTCCTCCGTGACCGCATTCAAGTGGGGCTGGGGGGTGTGATGGGAGGGGCAGGGAGGCGGGGGCAGGGACGAACCTAGGGACAGGCAGGCAGGGAGGCAGGGCGCCGGGGGCATGGTGGGGAGGGCTGGTAGGGACCGTCGCTGGCTTCGTGGCTTGCCGAGGAGAAGGCGTTTTGAGCATGCTTGCCAGCTTGCTTACCCTTTTTGCTTACCGATGTGTGATCCACATTCACGTCTGTGCGGCCCCACCTGGAGTCGCAACACAGCTGGCAGCCTGCTGGCAGCATACACAGCCCGCTTGACCCGCCCGCCCACTCACGTCTCGCTCGCCGCCCCGTCCCCCTTCCCGGGATTGTCCCCCACCTTCCGCTGGCTGTCTGCAGCCCTGCCGCACCCATCGCCATGTACGCCGTCTCCAAGACCGCACTACTGGGCCTGGTGAGGGGAGGAGTGGGGGCAGGAGCGAGGGCAGGAAGGGGCGGAGGGGTGCTGCGGCAGCAACCCGGTGACTGCATGACAGCGCAACGCCGCACGCAACCACCGGTACGCTACCCCTCTTACCGGTGTGTTCCGGGCCCCCGCAGACCAAGGGCCTAGCCGCGGAGCTGGGTCCCCGGGGAGTGCGGGTCAACTGTGTGGCACCCGGCATCGTGCCGACCAAGTTCTCCGCCGCACTGGTACAGACGCCGGAGCTGGTGAGGGGCGGGAGGCGCGGGAGCGGCGGGAGGGGAAAGAAGAAGAAGAAGTGCCGTGCTAGGCGGGGAGGGCTGTAGGGGGGCGGAAGGAGGAGGGAGGCGAGGTGGCACCGCATGGGCGCTGCTTGGCCGCCACACCTGTGCGGGCTATCTCGTCCGTATGCAACCACCCAGCCGACCTACTGGTGCCTTCCTCCACCTTCCGCCTGCCCATTCGAGCCCAGTGCTGAATTCCCAATCTCTTTGACCCCCCTCCCGCCCGCTGCCCCTCCTCCCCCTCCTCGCCCCCCCAGGCTGCCCGGCAGGCGGAGGGCACCCTGCTGCGGCGGCTGGGTCGGCCGCAGGAGCAGGCGGCGGCAGTGGCCTTCCTGGTGTCCCCGGACGCGGCGTACGTGACGGGGGAGACGCTGGTGGTGGCGGGGGGCATGCAGAGCAGGCTGTGAGGGGGTAAAGAGGAAACAACTAACTGACTGAGGGATAAGGCGTCAACATGGGTTGCAACATGTGAGCCAGCCCGACCCGCCCAGCCCGCTGTGAGGGGGGGGGGGTGAGGCGGCGGGTGGAGGGGCCTGTGACCCCTGGGTCGCTGCGTTGTGGATGTGCAGGGAGGTTCGGTAGTATACTGCATGGGGGATACAGAGGAGGAGTACTACATAGGGGAGTGGAGGAAGAAGCTGCATGGAAGGGGGTGTTGCTGCTGCTGCTGGCCTGGTTGACAGCATGTGTCAGACTGCTGGGCTGCCTTTGGATTGACTCAAATCTTACGCACTGCTATGGACGGGAGGAGGAGGTATGGGTATGGGGGTTGAAAGATGGGAACCCCGAGCGTACTAGCTCTGTGTACGAGCGCTGTGGGGTGGAGGCTGCCAACCAGTGCACGGGGGGTCTGCGGATGCACGACGCTGCCCAGCAGTGCATGCGGATGCACGATGCTGCGACGTGTCCATATCCAACCGCCATCCCTCATATGTTTCTCCAACCCAGTGATATGTTACAGGCTCCCCTCCCTCAACCAGCGGCTTGCAGCACCCCGCTGTGTCGTACACCCTGCCTCGGTACGGCGGCCTACCGCGACGTCGGCGGCCTCCGAGACCTCACTTCCTGCAGAGGCCTTACATCGTCACAAACCCTCGAACGTACGGGGTGCAGCTGTGCGTGTGGGTGTGACCATGTATGTTCCATGGACACACACCGCAGCCCGCATCACCCACATGCTATGCACAAATAGAAACAAGCGCCCTGCGCAGCGGCCCCCCTACCCCACCCACTGCACGATATGCTGCAAGCATTCCTCCCTCAAGGAGAGGACCCTCGAGAGCTGCACCCGCGCCGGTGCAACCCGCCTACCTACATCCCCCCCCCCCATGGTGCACCCCTCACGTGATGCGGCTACCTACGGCTAGTCCCCCCCTCCACGACCTGCACACCTTCAGTGCCGGTTACTACCTACAACAGCAACCTGCACCTCCAACCTAATGCACATCATTAGCCATGCACCAACTCCTAAACCCCCACAACGCGGCCCTTGGAGCCTCCTAGTGCTACGAAGCGTAATTATGCTTGTCCTGCACCCAGGCTTCATCACTCATGTCACCCCTACCGTGCATAGTGGCACAAGCCAAGTACGTTGCGGCTCGCGGCCAGTTCTCTTCACACGGGGCCGTCCGCACCCCGCACTGGCAGGCGGCCAACAGCGCTGGCGACAACTGCTGTGTGCTGCCAACTTGATCAGCACCATGTACCCCCCGCAAGCAGTAATCGCCATGTTGGAGCAGATCCCCACCGCAATGCAGCACTGCAAGGCGAGCTGACCCCTGTGCCCGCTAACAGCCTCTCCAAGGCATTATGCGTGCCCGCAGCTAGCTCCTAGTCCCCACCACCGCCAGACAGCGACCGCTCCTCAACCCCCGCCGCCCCCTCCCCGCCCCGCTCCCCGTCTCCCCCATTGCTAGTTGACACGTCCACATCTTCCACACCCCCGCCCATCCCCTCGTCCGAGGACCCATCATCCCCCGCGACACTGCTAGGCGCCGCCGCCTCTTTCTCCTCCGCCGCCTCTCCTACCTCCCCATTCCACCCAACACCAAGCGGGGGTAACTTCCACGGCCCTGCACGCGCCGCAACCCCGCGCTTACCCTCCTCCTCCCCCCCTGCATCCGAATCCTCTCCCACCCGCACCTCCGCCACCTGCGCCTCTTCCTCCTCCTCTTCCTCCTCCTCCGCACCCGCCGCCCGTACCTGCACCCCTTCATGCGCCCGCACCTGCACCGCCCCAGCCGCCCCCACCGGGGGGTCTCGCTGTCTCCCAGCAGCCGCCTGCTGCTGCGGCGGCGGCTGCTGCTGCTGCCTGTACTGCTGCTGCTGCCCCCGCTGCTGCTGCGCCTGCTGCACCTCCTGCCCGTGCGGCTGCAGCAGCGGCGAGCAGTGCCGCAGCATCATGTTCAGCCCCTGGTGCGCCTGCCTGGCACGGTACGCCACCCCCGCGTCCCGGCTCTCCCGCCCCGCCGCCTGCTGCTGCTGCATGAAGGCCGCCGCCCGCGCCTCCAGCTCCTCCATCTGCTTCGCCAGCCCCGCCGCCACCTGCAGCAGCGGACCCAGCTGCTGCACCGGATCCACCATTCCCATCAGCTGCCGCACCGTCTCGCTGGCCAGGAACAGCCCCCCCAGCGCACTCGCCACCGCCACCCCCGCCCAGCTGCTCGGCCCCGGGGCCCCCCGGCCGCCCAGCTGCTGCGCCGCCCGCAGCAGGCTGGATCGCAGCTGCGGCCCCCCGAACAGCAGCGCATGCAGCCGCGCCACCCGCAGGCTGTCGTGCAGGTCCACCACCGCCGGCAGCCCCTCCAGCAGCTCCAGTACGGCGGGGCTGCCGGCCTGCTGCGGACTCAGGCGCGCAAAGATGGCGTCCAGCAGCGCCACGGTGTTGGCGCTGCTGCCGGCGGTCAGGAAGCGCAGCAGCTCCCGCACCCGAGGTGCGCCCAGCAGCCCGCTGTGCCACAGCGCCGCGAAGAAGACGCTGCCGCCGTCAGCTGCCACCAGCTCCTCCAGGTGCCGGGAGAGATCCAGCAGCACTCGAGGGGGGGCCGCGCCGCCGCTGCTGCGGCCCCCTGCTGCTGCTCCTCCACCTCCTCCTCCTGCTGCACCTCCACCTCCGCCCGCTCCTATGGTATCCAGCCGCAATGCCTCCAGCACCAGCCCCCCCGGTCCGCCCCCCGGCACCTGCACCTGCATCTGCGCGGACGTGCTGCAGTACCGCAGCATCGCGTGCAGCAGCCCCAGCGCCGCCTCCAGCCCCGCCTGCACCTCCTCCTCCGCCGCCTCGCCCGCCTCGCGCAGCAGGTACCCAGGCAGCGAGAAGGCGTCCCGCAGGTGCCCCCGCAGCACCAGCCCCGCCACCGCCACGTCAGCACCCACCAGCGCGGCCAGTGTACGGCACAGCGGCACGTACTGCGGCGGAACCAGTCGCTCGTCGTGCAGCGGCGCGAAGGCAAGCTCACACAGCGCTCGAGCCAGGTTGAGGGCGACGCTCTGCAACTGCTGGGCTACCGCCGCCGCCGCACCACCGCCGTCCTCACCCCCAACCCCACCACCACCAACCCCAGCAGTAGCAGCATGTGCCAACGCCGCGCCGCCGCTGTTCGGCGTCGCAGTGATGGAGCCCTGCAGCGGACTCGCGGCGCGACTCGCGACTTGTAATGCGTACGACAGCACTTCCGCCAGCCACTCGCCCTCCTTGGCCCAGCGCACAAAGTACGACTCCTGCACCGCCTGGCTGGCCGTCACCTGCCGCAGCAGCTCCAGGCAGGCGCGCGGGGAGGTGCGCAGCATCTCCCGCACCAGCTCGCCCCACTGCTCCATGTCGCCCCGCAGGCCGGCGGGGGCGGGCAGGTAGAGGTGCAGCAGGAAGGCGGCGGCCAGCTGCGAGGACAGCAGCACGGTCTCGTCCAGCTCCTCGTTGCGCTGGGAGGGAGCGGAGGAGGCCTCCGCGCCGCTAGAGGTAGCAGTGGTGGTGTTGGTAGCGGTGGCGGTGGCGCCGGGGGACATGGGCGTGGGCGCGGGTCCGCTGTGCGCGGCCGCTCCGCTGCTGCCCCCTCCTCCACCCCCTCCCTGCAGCAGGTCGCGCCGCCGCGTCTTGCGCCCCGCCAGCACCGCCTCCCAGCTCACCTCCACCACCTGCCGCACGAACCCAAAGTACTCCTTGTTGAGTACATGCAGCTTGTGCTGCAGCCGCAGGTTCTCACGCAGCACACCGCGGTACAGCGGCAGCGGCATGCCGTACGGAGTGGTGGGCAGCGGCGGCTGTGGCTGCTGCGGCGGCTGCAACGCCGCCCCCGGACCGTCCGTCTCCATGTCCTCCGCACCTCCCGCCGTCCCCGCAGGCACTGCTGCTGCGGCCCCCTCCATCCCCGCCCCCTCGCTCCTCCCCCCTGACTCCCCCTCCGCCGCCGCTGCCGCCATGTCACGCGGTACGGCACGCTTGTCCGCCGCGGGTCCGTCGTACGAAGGTTCCTCCCTGCGCTCGTAGAACAGCATGTAGGCGCTGTATGGCCGCTCCAGCTCCCCCGCCCTGCCTCCCCCCGCTGCCCCTGCGCCGCCCCCCGCGGAGCTGCTGGCCCGCCCTCCGAAGCAGTCCGCCTCCAGGTCGTTGATGCTCCAGGGGGTAACCAGCTTGTCATCGAAGCGGTACCAGCCGCCCTCGGAAACCTGGGGGCGCGGGGGTGGGGTGGGAAGTGGGGTCAGTGGGTGCGCGGGCGGAGAGACGGGGTGGCATTGCAGGGTGGGCGGTAAGGGCCATCATGGGATGCCACGGGGCCGCAGCGGCAGTCACAGCGGCAGTCAGCCGTGGGGAAACATGGACAGCAGGGAAGTGGAGGATCAGGAGCCCATGCACGCGCCCGGCGGGCACCCGGCGCCGGGGGCGCATGCAGACGATGTGGCTACCATGAAGCACACTGCGCACGCTGATGCACCCCCTCCCCACCTGTCCGTCCTCCCCCATCCGCGGCCGCTCCTTGATGAAGGAGTAGTAGTGCCCGGCGAACGCCGTACCGCTGTGTACGACAATGCCCTTGAGCTCGTACAGGTAGCTGCTCCGAGGCCGCCCGCCCTCTTCGCTGCTGCCCGCTGCGGCTGCGTGGCTGTCCTCCCCTCCTGCTGCTGTCCCTGCACCTGTTGTGGATGTCCCCGCTGCCCCCGCTGCCGCCTCCTGCGCCGCCACTCCCTCCGCCGTGTACTTGAACATGTCCAGCAGCACGGGGAACTCGAAGCGGTCCCGCAGCTTGTACCTGAGGGACCCATGGGTCGGCGGTCAGGCGGGGAGACCGGGGTGAGCGAGACCATCTGCTCGTTACGTTACCCAGCAGCACCACCACCATCCCATGGTCTTGGCTCATACACACCCTAGCCCTCCCTCCCCTCCCATCACCCCTCCTCCCCCCCACCTCCCCCCCACCGTGTCATGTTGATATGGTCGTACTCGAACCTCTTGAGGTGCACCACCAGCGTGTGCGGCAGCTGCTTGATCACCGTCCGCCGCACCGCCGCCACCCGCGCCCCCAGCTCCTCACACAGGTAGCTGTTCTCGCCCTCCAGCAGCTCCCCCGCCACATAGCCCGACAGGCTCCGCTCCAGGCTGCCGCAGCCCGCCACCTCCACGCTGATCTGGTAGAACTCCTCCTCGCGCTCGCTGCGGTACGGCACGTCGCGGCAGATCACCTGCGCCGCGAACTTGCCGCCCATGACGGCCTGCATGGCGGGCGGCTGGCCGGTGGAGCGCAGGTGGGAGTCCACCGCGTCCTGCAGGGGGGGCGGGGAGGGAGGGAAACACAATTCGCATTAGCGCTGGAGTATAGGATTGCGTTTAGTCAAACTTGTTGGGTTTGTAGCAGCTCCAGGGAGGGAGAGGGAGAGGGAGGGGGTGTCATAGGGATGCTCCCCAACCATTGCTCCTAACAGGCAGTCACCTGAGGGCGGTCACCTGACAGCACCGGTACGGTTGCACTCACCTGCGGTTGGGGAGTGCCTCCTTCCCACCCCCCTTCACACCCCTCCTCCCCCTCCCCCCCACCTGCAGCCGTGTGAAGAACTCGTAGGCGTCCTGGTGCTCGCGCACGTCGATGGGCTGTCCGTCGTAGTCCTTGAAGGACTGCCAGAAGCCGCGCGGGTGGAAGCAGGCGGCGCCACCCAGCCGCAGGTGTGCAAACATTACCTGGTGAGGGGGGTGACGGGTGGGTGAACATGGGGGGACCGAAGCGGGTTAAGGCACCGATTACCATGGAGGGACGAACAGGGGCGTGCTACTAGGACCTAGTGCCACACCACCGCTCCCCGCCCCTCCCCTGCTGCGCCCCACTCCACCTTCTGCGTCTAGGGCATGGGCAGCTCACATCCCTCCTCTTACCCCCCCACCTGCAGCTGCCTTACCCCCCCCTTCCTTCCCCCCCACCTGCAGCTGGTGGAAGACGCTGTCCTGCTGCTCCCCCGGCGCCACCCCCGCCGCCGCCAGCACCGCCCCCCGGATGCGCGGCTGCATGAAGAGCTGCTGCAGCACGCTGTTCATGTAGCAGGTGGCGCCGCCGTTGCGCAGCCCCACGTAGCCGCCGCGGGGGCCGCAGCGCACACCCTCGCCGCTGATGTCGAACCTGGGGGGGAGCGGGGGCGGGGGGTGGGGCGAGAAAGGAGCTTGGTGCTGTCGGTGCCGGCATGCGGCTGGTAGTTCACTACCTGTAGCGTGACACTCGCAAAGCACTTGGAACTGGTGCGGATGGTGAGAACCGTCGCCAACCGCAACGCATCCTTGGGCACACCGACGTGCCCCCCTTCCCACCCGCCTCCCCCCCCTCCACCCACTTCCTGTCCACCACCCGCAGTCCGTTGTCGAAGTGCAGCCGCCTCAGCTCCCTGAAGCCCTGCTCCAGGTTGGCTGGGCAGCGCGTCATGAGCAGCTGCAGCAGCGCCAGCGCCTCCCGCCGGGCACCCGGGTCGCCCGCAGCCTGGGCGAGGGCGGCCTCTGCGGCGGCGGGGGGCGGGTCGGGCTGCCACAGGGGGCCGGCCTCGGGGAAGAGGTACCTGGGGCAGGGGAGCGGGGGGAGGAGGGAGGGAAGGGAAGATGTGACGGAGGCAGTGCATGGAGAGGCTCGGATCCGGCTGCGGGCGCAAAGCCTGAGAGCCTGTGTGCGGTACCTGAGAATCTAACACAGTACCCTGCAGGAGCAGCTGGAGCAGCAGTGCGGCCATCACGTCACCCTTCTGCCCAGCTGGCCTTCCGACCTGCCTAATGCCCATGCGCCCAACCGCCCCTCCCCCCCCACCTGTTGAGCAGCAGCGCTATGAGTCCCGGCCTCCCGGGCGCACTCAGCCCCAACCCCAGTCGGTCCAGTGCCCGCACCAACTCGCGAACCAGCAGCAGCTTGCCCTGGGGGGGGGGGGCAGCAGCAGGGGGACGGGGAAGAGGTGGACGGGCGGGCAAGCTACCAAACATCTGCACGACAGACATTAGATAACATACCCCAACAACAACAGCTCTTCATAACCATCTGCGGCGCGACGCGCTGCTGTCCCCTCCCTCCCTCCCTCCTCACCCTCAGCAGCAGCTCCCTGCCCGGCTGCACCAGCTCCCCCGCCGCCCCCTCCAGCGCCGCCACCTCCTCCGCCAGCACCCCCTCCGCCACCCCCGCCGCCTCCCCGCCGCTCCGCCCGCCCGCCACCTGCTCCGGCAGCCCCGCTACCACCCGCCCCAGCAGCGCATGCAGCTCCAGGCAGGCGGCAGGGCGGGCGGCAGCAGCGCGGCGCAACCCGGACAGCGCCCGCAGCGACCAGAGGTAGTGGTGGGGGGAGGGCGAGGAGGAGGAGGAGGAGGAGGAGGTGGGGGCTGTCAGCACCCCCTCCAGGTGGGCTGCGGCTTGTTCGCGGAGGGCGGGGGAGAACTCGCATGCCAGGGTTTCAAGCAGCATGGGCACGGTTCTGGAGGAGAAGGAGGGGGGAGGGAAGGGAGGTGAGGTGAGGGGAAGCAGATAGCAGATAGCAGCGTAGCGAAAGCGACAGTACTATACCCCGTCCTGTAGCATGTCTGGTAATACCCAAGGCCCGCCCACCCCTCCCGCCCACCCACCCCCCTCCCTCCTGCCCGCGCCCCTCCCGCCCTCCCGCACCCCTCCCGCCCACCCCCCTACCTGGCATCCTCCACGAACACCTCCCGCAGCCCCGGCCACTGCAGCAGCCGCCCCAGCACCTGCAGCGCCTTGGAGGCAAGCCGGCAGGCCACCTCCGCGGCACCGCTCAACACAGCAACGCTGGGGGCGGCAGCCTCCGAAGGACCACCGCCACCACCGCCGGCGCTGCTGCCATCAGCAGCATCAGTAGCAGCGGCGGTGGCGGCAGCGTTGCCTCCGTTTGCCGTCGCCTCCGCCGCCTCCACCGCAGCAGCAGCCCCACCCCTCGCCTGCTGCTGCTGCTGCGCCGCCAGCATCCTGCCGTACCCCCACATGCCCCCCGCGTCATGTGCCGTACGCACCAGCAGCGACACCAGGCAGCGCAGCCCCTCGGGGCCCATGTGCTGCAGCAGATGCGCGTGCGCGGCGGCACTGGCGCTGGCAACAGGCGCGCCGGCAGCGGGGCCGGCGGCGGCGGCGGCACCCCCTTCCCCACTACCGCTGGAGTAGGCCCCCGACCCCAGCGGCTGGGCGGACCCTGCCGCCGGTGCGCCGGTGCTCCCGGCCCGAAGCGGTGCCGTGACCATGCTGACAGAGCGGGTGGGGCAGCCGGGGCAGGGGGGCAGCGGCGGGGGCGGGGGCATGGCCTCCTCCGCCGGCGGCTGCCCCTCAGTCACGGGTTGCATGTCCACGTCTGGGCAGCCCTCAGGGACGGGCGGCAGGCCTCCCGCACCGCCGCCGCTGACACTGCCCGCGCAGGGGAGGCCCCCCAGTGGTCCCGCTGCCGCGGAGGTATCCATCTGCGAGGCAGCAGCGCCGTCGCCTCCGCCCTCGCCTCCGTTGCTGGCGGCGGGGGCGGCATGCGGGGAGCCACCTGAGCACACCGCCAGCCCCGACACCAGCGCAGCAGCAGCAGCTCCCGCGCCCGCGGGACCGCAGCCGCCCGCAGCAGCTCCCGCACCTGCAGAGTTGCCCTCCTGCGCGGCCACATGAACACCCACCTCCGCCACCTCGGCACTGCTAAACTCGGGGGTGCCAGCGGCGGCGGCGGCAGTGGTGCTGCCGGACAGCGCACCCGCCCCCGCCGCTGCCGCACCCGCCGGCGGTGCCTCCTGCGTGGTGGCTGCCTCGGAGTCCGGTCCGCCCCCGGATGCCGCCGCTGGTTGCCAGGAGGCGCCGTGTGGGGCGGTGGTGGGCGAGGGGTGGGGGGGCGGCGCGGCGGGGCCTGCAGCGGGCGCCGCCGCGTCCGGGAGCCCGTGGCTGCTGGACAGGCTATCAGCCTGGTGGGGGGGGGGGTGGCAGTGGGTTGTGGAGGGCAGGTGGGTGCATGTGCCAATGCATAGTGCCAATGCCCTAGCAATAACGCTCAATGCCCCTCCATTACACCAGGGTACACCACCAGCTGCCCCCCTGCAACCCCCCGTACCGCCCCGCCGCTACCGCCACTCACCGGCTGCTGCTGCCGGGGACCTGCTGCCGGGCCCTGTCCCGCCCCCGCCGCCCCCTCCGCCGCGGGCGCCAGCGGCCCCTTCCTTGCGCGCATGTATATGTTGCAGGTGAGGAACAGCAGCACCCACTGGAATTCCCGGAGGAAGCACAGGTCTGTGTGCAGGGAGGGGTGGAAAAGGGTGATCCGGGTTGGGATATGAGTTGGTGGTCACATGGGGGGGGAGCAGGTGCGCGGGCGGGGACATGCTGCGGATCATCCAGCGTCACGTGGGTCCACGGCCGCCCCTGCTGACATGACACGCTGCCGCGCTCCCTCCCTCCCTCAGGCGCCGGAGCCAGCTGCAACCGCACCCGCACCCGCACCCGCGCCACCCACCTGCCGCCGGGTGCAGTGCCGCTTGCCCCGAGGAGGAGGAGGAGGAGCCACCCCCCTTACATGAGGTCCCTGCACCCCCCGCCTCCCCCGCCTCCCCCTGCTGCTGCATGACCCGCTCCGCCAGCTCCGCCAGCAGCGGCACGCAGCGCGCCAGCACCGGCAGCAGCCGCTCCGCAGCCCCACCCCCCGCAGCCACCTGCCACCAGCAGTCCAGGGAGGAGGTGGTGGAGGCGTCCATGGGATCCGGAGGTGGCTGCTGGGGTTGCTGGGGTTGTGGTTGCATGTCCGGGTGGTGTGTGGGTGCCAAGTCGGGCGGGTCACCCGGGCCCCCCTGCTGCTGTTGCTGCTGTTGCGGCTGCTGCCAGGGTTTGTAGACCAGGGGTAGAAGCTCGGGCGGGTAGGAGGGCTGCATCAGCGCGTACAGCGCCTGACACACAGGGCGGGGGCAAATGAGGAGGGGGCGCGGGTGGGGGAGCGGGAATGAGGCAAGGCAGGTGGGAGGACGTGCGATGCAGGTGTCCCAGGCGGGTAGCAAGGTGTGCAGGGGGGCAGGGCTGCAAGTGACCCAGCCGGCGCGCCCCTCCCCACCACTTACATCCCCCTCCCCCCCCCTCGGCCCCCACCTGCAGCGAGTACAGCAGCAGGGCCGGCCTCGCCACCCCCCCTGCTCCTCCTGCCGCCTCCTCCGCCTCCCCTCCCATCAGCTGCCTCCTGAGCGCCTGCTGCCCCCCTTGCTGCTCCCCCCCTGCCGCCAGCGCCGCCGCCAGCAGCCCCCCCGGCACCCAGCGGCAGGTGGGCAGCTGCTGCAGCAGCCGCCACGCAGCGCCCCGCAGACCCGGGGGGCCGGACGGCAGGTCGGCCAGCTGCAGCAGCACGCGGTACAGCTGGTCCTGGGGGCGGAGGAGGGGGAGGGGAAGTGCAATGTGAGGAGAAGCGGGTGAGCGGGCGAGGTAGCAGCAGGTAGCAGCAGCATGCAGCAGGGCCACCACCCATCCACCACCTGATCCCTCACACTCACCCCCAGCTGCTGCAGCACACCGCCGTACCACCCCAGCCCCATCACCCCCCTCCCCCTCCCCCCCCCCCACATCGTGGTGCAGGTGCGCCAGGCTGCTCCCCGCGTGCCACTCCGCCCACCACCCCTCCCCGAAGCGGCTGTAGCGGTTGGGCCGCGGGCTCACGTGCGCCAGCAGCGCCTGCCGCGGCGACCAGGCGGGGGGCAGCGAGGAGGCCAGGCAGCAGGAGTCGCTGCGGAGCTCCTGACCTGCAGCGGGGGGGGGGAGAGAAGGGGAGAGGGGGGAAGGGGGTAATGGTTGGGGGAACCTTGCATTGGCTTGTTTCATACGGTACTGCAGCCTCCTACACCACTTACTCACCGCCTTGCCCCCTTTTGTCCAGGTCTTCCTCCCTCCCTCCGCTCCCACCCACCCACCCACCCCCTCCCCCCCTCACCTCCCACCACCAGCCTCACACACGCCGGCTCCACCCCCATCTTTGCCGCCACCCGCCTCCGCAGCAGCCCCACGTACTCGTTGCCCGCGCACCCCAGCTTCACGCGCCCCGCCGCCTCCGGTAGCCCCACCTCCACCAGCAGCGAGGAGCCCTGCCAGGAGCGGCCGTGCGCGGGGACGGGGGGCATGGACAGCTCGTCCTGCAGAGGGGGGGAGGGGGGAGGGGGGAGGGAGTATGAAACGAAAAGTGTAGCAAGGAGGGAGGAAGGTTAAAGATACACCATAGCAACCCCCATGTTCGGGTGGCCACAAAGCAAGTGAGGAGGGAGGTAGGAGGAGCTGAGCGGATTGCGGGGAGCGCGAAGGAGGTTTATGAAGCACGCAGGTGCATGCAGCTTCATATCGCTCGCAGCACCCCTCCCCTCCCCGCCCCTTACCTTCCCCGCCAGCTGCTCCAGCAGCTGCAGGCAGCGGGTGGCTCGACTGCACGCCCGAGCCCAGGCGGCGGGGGAGGTGGTGGAGGTGGGGGTGGAGGAGGTGGGGGCGGGGGTGAGCAGGGCCGCCGCGTCCATCAGGCGCTGCCGGGTGTCGCTGAGGGGGGGGCCGGAGGTGAGGTGGATGGAGGGAAGGAGGGAAGCAGGCGGATTTGATGGTAGGGTCGGTGCATTGATGGGAACGTTGGAAGACCTTGCGTGGCACACACACCTCCCGCCCCTCCCCCTTCCCCTCTCCCTCCCCCCTCAGCCAACCCTCAGCCAACCCTCCCCCCCCCCCCCCCACACACACACCTGATCATGTCCAGCGGCCTGCCCCCGTACAGCTCCTGCAGCAGGCAGTGCGAGGCGGCGGCGGTGACTGGGGGGCGCTGGCAGTCCAACACGATCTGCCACAGGTAGTCGCGGCCTGGGGGGGGAGGGAGGGAAGGGGGGGAAAGGAGCGGGGGGAAGGGGTAGGGGGGGAGGTATCGCTGGGTTTGCGCAGCTGGCAGGCATCCGCATGGCATCTCTCTATGGCTGCTGCTGCTGCTGAGGGGTGTGCTCCAGGCCCACAGATTGGGTTGGGGGGGGGTTGTTGTGACCCACTTGCTTTCCCACCTTGTGACGGGTGGGCGAGCGAGCCGGTTGGGGGGGTGGGTGGTTGCATGCCCGGACGCGCCCCGGACCCCCTGTCCTTCCCCTCATTCCACTCCTCCGAGCACCCCCACCTCCCCACCCCGCCCCCCCACTCACCCAGCGCCTGCACCTCCCCCAGCCTCCTCCCCAGTGCCGCCCGCTCGCCCTCGTCGCGGTGGGGGGACCGCCCGTCCTCTCGCAGGCTCCACAGCGCCTGCAGGGGGGAGGCAGCAGGGGGGAGGCAGCAGGGGGGAGGGGGGTGGAGTGGCACTGTTGCGGGAGGAAGGGGGGGCAGACGGAATACGTCAAACCCGCCAAACAGGGGTACCGGTACTCATGGGCCGGATTCCCTTCCCCCTCCCCTCCCTCCCCCTCCCCTCCCTCCCTCTCCCCTCCCTCCCTCTCCCCCTCCTCCCCGCTCACCCCCCTCCAGCAGGCCTTGAAGCACTCCAGCGCCGGCGCCTCCAGCTGCTCCACCGGCAGCCGCGCCACCCGCTGCCGCAGCAGCGCACACAGGTCGTCCGCGCACAGCAGCGGGCCGGGGGCGCAGGGGGGCAGGGGGGGCAGCAGGGGGGCGGAGGAGGAGGAGGAGGCGGTGGGCTCCTGCTCCTCGCCCTGCTCGCCCCCCTCCTGGTCGTCACGGCAGCAAGCCATCACCAGGGCTAGACCCTGCGGGGGGGGAGGGGGCGGGACAGGGGGCGGCCGGGTGAGCGGCGGCAGGGCAGGAGCTGGGCCGTGAACGACAGCAGCAGTGACCGCAGCAGCAGCAGCAGCGGGCGTTAGTAACAACCCCTCCCTCCATGCACACTACCTCCCCACCCCTTCAACCCCACCCCCCTCACCATCTCCCTGTCCTGCCGCGTGTTCCCTCCCGCCACGCAGCAGTCCCACACCGCCTCCACCAGCGCCCCCGCCACGTAGCTCTCCTTGCACCGCCCCACCAGCCGGAACAACGACAGGTAGCGGCCCACCGTGGCCTGGTAGCCGGGGGGGAGCGGGAGGGAAGCAGGGGGGGAGGGGGCGGCGGAGGCGGGGAGAGGGGGAGCGCCGCCCTCCGGAGAAGGGAAGGAGCCGGTGGTGGTGGCAGTGATGGTGGCGGCAGCTGGCTCCTCCCTCCCCTCCCTGCGCTGCAGGTGCTGCTGCCCCTGCTGCAGTGTGCGGGCGGTGGAGGCGATGAGGGCGCCCAGGTTGTCCACCAGCAGCTGGGAGAGGGGCGGGCCGGGGGGGGAGGAGGAGGGGCCGGAGGAGGAGGAGGAGGGGTGCTGCTGCTGCTGCGGTGGCGGCTGGGGTTTGTCCAGTGCAGCCAGCAGCTGGGAGAGGGGGCGGGCGGCGGGGGGGGAGCGGCGCTCCTCGCGGCTGCCGGAGGGCTGTGCGGGGAGGGGGGGAACAAGGGGACGGGGGAGGGGTTTGTGCAGAGGGACGCCATGCGGGGAAACACAGGTAAAGGAGGGCACACGGTCTCTTGCAAGAGGTGCGGGGCGCATTGGAAGCGACCTACCCGGTCCTTACGGGGCCTCAACCTATCTCCCAACCCCCCTCCCTCCCTCCCTCCCCCCCCCCCTCCCATCCCTCCAGCTCCCCCCCCTCCCCCCTCCTCACCTCCCACCCAAACATCTTGCCCCACAGCCTCAGCAGCTTCCCAAGCACCGTCAGCGCCACATACTCTCCGCCCAGACCCCCTCCGCTGCTGCTGCTGCCGCCGCTGCTGCTGCCCCCTCCACTGCCCCCACTGCCGCTGCCTCCGCCCCCGCCACTGCTGCCCCCTCTCGCCCCCCGCAGCTGCCCCAGGCACCGCTCGATGTACGCTGCCAGCAGCGGCGGCTGCCGGGCGGCCTGCAGCACCTCCAGCAGCACCGGGCAGGCCAGCAGCTCGGGCGGCGCGGAGGGCGGGGTGGACAGCTGCCACACCAGCTCCACCAGCTGGGAGGTCAGGGCGGGGGACTGGGGGGGAGGGGAGGGAGAGGGAGAGGGAGGGAGGTGGGGGAGTCAGAAGTAGCCCAAACCATAGGAAACCACACCTGAGGGCAGAGCAACTAGGAAGGGGGCGGCAGGGTGGCACACGGCAAAGGAAGGGGCGGTGTCACATGCGGACCTAGGGGCGGCTGGAGCGGGGAGAGGCATGGAGGCAGGGGCAAATGCGGGTGTGTGGCAACGGCGGAGTGCAGAACGGCGCACCCCTCCCATCGCAACCCCCCTCCTCTCCACACCTCCCCCCTACCTTGCTCGCCTCGCTCAGCGCCAGCCTCCTCAGCAGGTCCAGCAGCCTCAGCGCGTCCCCCGCCCCCCGCCCCCCCGCTGCTGCCCCTGCCGCCCCCGCCGCTCCCCCCCGCCCGCGCCCCTGCATGCGCCCCAGCAGCAGCTGCAGCTGCGGGGGGGTGAGGTGCGGCGCCAGCTGCTTCAGCATGCCGCATACATTGGTCTTCACAGCGTCAAAGGTGCCCTCCTGTGGGGGGGGCGGGGAGGGGAAGGAAGCAGGGGAGGCAAGGAAGCGAGGGAGGAGGTGGAGAGGGGAAGGTGGGAAGGGGCGTCGACAGGGCGTACGATACGGCACCGGTATCTAGGAACGAGTGGGAGTGCGGTGCGGCACGCTACACATGTGTATCGTGTGGGTTGCTTCCCGCCCCCTCCGCCTCCTGCGCGCTGCCCACTCGAACCGCCGGGGCGCGGGAGTCCCCTTCCCCCCCTCCCTCCCCCTCCCAACCCCCCCACCTGCTCTGTGGCGCTCCACAGCAGGTCCAGGTGCTCGTCACTCAGGTGCCCGCACTCCGCCAGCACGCGCAGCAGCGACAGCACCTGACAGGGGGGGCGCAAAGGGGGAGGGGGGCCAGGGTAAGGCACCGCACCAGCAAGCGGGCGGCACCGGCCGCATGCAAGGGCACCACGCCAACTGCGAGGCAGCAGTCCCCCCTCCTGCATGTGTCCAATATACACCCCGATCCCCCCCCCCTGCCTCACCGCCTCCGCATACTGCGCCTGGTGCAGGTTGGCTCGCAGCACCGCCGGCACGATGCGCTCCTGCTCCAGCCACCGGACATTGTCCTCCATGCCCGGTCCCCCCTCCCCCTCCCCCTCCCCCTCCGCCTCCCCCTCCGCCCCCCCTCCCCCCCGCCTCCGCGAGTACTCCAGCAGGTTGCGGCACTCCTGCACCGCCGCCAGCAGCCGCGAGAAGCTGGAGGAGCGCAACAGCTCGCACACCACCCCGCGGTACAGCAGCGTCAGCTGCCCCGGGGGGGGAGGGGAGGGGGGTTGGGGGGGTAAATAGGAATGAAGGTTCCGCATAGGGGGAGGAGAGGTTGAGCGGGGAGGAAAGGAGAAGGCGGAATGTGGGATGTGCTAGTGGGGTGCTTGGAAACTGGCCGCGAGTAGGAACGTACTGTGATTGTCGGCCAATGTCCCGCCTCGCCCCGACCCGCCTGCCTACCTCCTCCGCAGTCCTCCTGCCCCTTTCCCCCCCTCCTCCCCCCCACCTGCTCATTGCAGCACTCCATCTCCTCCGCCAGCTCCGTGCAGTTCTGCAGCAGGGGTGCCAGCCACTGCCAACCCCGCCCCCGCTCCCGCCCCCCCCCCCCGCCCCGGCGCGAAGAGGCGCTCCGGGTCCGCCAGCACCTCCTCGCACAGCCACCGCAGCAGCGAGGAGAAGCCCTGGGGGGGGATTAGAATGGGGAGGGGGGTGGTAGGGTTGCTGCCTCGTGCAAGGCGAGTGGTGGTGCAGCGGAGGGGGCTGCCCCGTCCCCCCACTCGGCTGCTGACTCCGCCCTGACCGCATCGGGCGATGTGTGCAGGCAGGGCGGGAGCGGGCTGCTGCCCCCCTGCCGCCCCCAACCCGCCAGCCCCTGCCCGGGCCCCGTGGCGGCGACAACCCAGCAACACTTGTGTGGCGGTGCGGTGCAGTGCGGTGCGGTGCGCCACCCCGGGGTCCACCCACAGCCTGCCCGGGTGCAGGGGCGCGGTGCGACTGCCCACCCGGGTCGTAGACCCCCCCCGCCCTCACACCTAGCCCCTGCCCCTCCTCCCTCCCCCCCCCCCGCCCCCCCACCTGCTCCAGCTGCGCCAGTCGCTGCTCGGGTGGGGGCTGGCGGGCCACCGTACGGAGCAGCCGCAGGACCTGGGGGGGGAGTGGGGGGGAGGGGAGGGAGGGGACGTTGGAGGGTTGGTGGGAGGGCGGGCGAGTGGTGGTGGGCTGGAAGGGCAGGGGGCTGCATGCGTGGGTGGGCGGGAGGGCGGGTGGGTGGGCGGCCCTGACAGGGGTGCCGCCAGCCCCTGCCCGCTGCCAGCCCACCCGCCGCCAGCTAGCACCCGGCCCGCAGTCCGGGCAGCGGGACTGCCACCACGAACCGCACAGCCCCGCACAGCCACATGCGCCAACCGTGCCCTCACACAGCCCCAACCGTGTCCTGCTCCGCCCGAGATGCGGCCTAGCTGCGCTGCACTACATGCCTCCTCCCTCCCCGTCCCTCTCCCATGCCAGGAGCTCCCCCTTTCCCCTAACCACCCACTCCCCCCCCCCACACCCGCTCCCCCACCCCTCCGCTGCCCCTCACCAGGAATACCGTCTGCAGCAGCGAGCAGTAGAGCTGCAGCGAGTGGGGCCGCGGGGACTGCATGATCTGCGGGGTGGGGAGGAGTCGGGGAGCAGGCAGGGGTGCACGGGAAATGGGAGGTAAGCGCAGGAGAGTGGGGAGCTGTGTGGCAGCGGCGCCAGTCTGCCAGTCTGTCAGGCTGTTAGGCGGTCCCTGCACCAGCGGCTGGCAGTCCCGCAACGCCTGCTGCACTCGCCCTGTACCTGCCAGCCGAGGGGGCCGCAGCAGGTGGGTGCTGCCGGCTGCCGCCAGTCCCGCAACGCCTCCAGCCGCCACCGCCTAACAGCCTGACAGACTGACCCCCTTGACCATCGTCCATTCATCTAACAATTGCCACCACTCACCTTGGCGGCACTATCCAGGAAGCCCAGCGCCTGCAGCAGCTGCACCAGAAAGGCTCGCCAGGGCTGGTGGCGGTCCGCAGAGCCCAGGTGGATGACGCCCACGCCCTCCTGCTCCGCATCATCGGCGGAGCCCACATCATCATCTGACTCGCCGCTGCTGACCTGCCACTGCGCCCGCGGCTGCAGGTGCGTCCGCGTGCGCTCTATGAGTTGCTCTAGGTCGGGTAGCTGGCGCGTGCAGAGCAAAGTGTAGATGCCCGCACGGATGTCGAGGATGTTGAATGTGTTTGCAAGCAACATCTGCAACTCATGGTCATGCGCATCGCCAAAGATGTGCGATGATTCTGCGACGATGGATGTTAAGCCGCTACATGCGTAGCAGAGGTAGTACATGCACGCGAAGAGCTGTTCAGGGTAGTCCTGGTGTGCTCGCAGGAACGCATCGACGCGGTAAAACTTGTCGAACGCGTTTTGTAGCACGTATCCAACAAACTCCTTTGCAGCATCCCAACCCGGCGGAAGCAGGTCCGGGGAGGCGAAACTGCGATGAAAGTAGGTAGACAGTGAGACCGTTTTCGCGCCACAGCCAAGTCAGCCTCTCGTTAACCTGCATTTAGCACTAATCCTTTGACCCCTGACTTACTCCATCGCCGGATCATTGGTTAGTTTAGCCAGGGCTTCCAGTGATGCCCGCAAGTCGTGCGCACGAAGCGAGTTAGCCAGTAATGCGGTGGAGATGAGCCCGTTATCAGGAAAGATGCCGCCAACGGGGAAGTCGCTATCACTGTCATCCTCATCTGCATCCCACGACCCTGAAGGACTGCGCTCATAGGCCTCCCGAGCCATTGCTGACGAGAGATCCCTAGTCGGTTCAAGCCCTGCTAGCTCCCGCGGATCCCGATCTGCCTACGACGAACGTAGACCTATATAGTCGTGTAGGAGCATTGATGTTACGCCCTAAACTGCGCGCTGGTGGATACAGCATGGGGTCTGCGCAACCTCTTGCTCCGGATTTCACACTAAACGTAATGTCAATAAGTCCTAAGGAGGCGCTTGCGAAATGCCATGCGCGCATTGGATAGGTGAGTGTGATTTACTAACTGAACATCCGTACAGCATTAGGGATCACCTGAACGGCATCGCATCATACACGCGATTCCCTTCTAAGCTCATCGTCGCTCCAATCCAAATGGATTTGCAATAAGTATTTACATTTGCAGGGTATGGCGAAGCGCCACAACACCAATCGCTCATTCCGTCTCCTGCCCCTGTATCCAGGCCAGCTTGTTCCACTCGCCCACCAAGTTGGGCTTGTAAATATGTACCTGCTGGCCATCAGTCGCCGCAGCCACTTGGTTGCCCCAAAGGTCCCACTCGACCTTCCACACCGCATCATCATGATCAATCACCGCGAGCTGCTCCACTTCAAGCGCAGCGGTGTCGCCCGACAGGCTGTAGATGAGCAGCTCCCGCCCTGCGCCCACTGCCAGCAGCTCCGCGGGTCGCCCCAGCGGCGGCGCCCAGTGCACTGCAGCCACGTCCCCGCCGCCCGCCTCCACGCGAGCAACCATCTGCGGATGACGACATTCCCGTCCGGCGCAACGCAGTCCGATGCAGGAAAAAAGCACAGGTCGCGAAGGAGGAAGGCTGGCGATACAGATGACGAAACGTGGCGTGGAAGATGCGTGCGACACATCCCCGTTCAAGCACACGTGGATGTTGTACGACAACGCAACAGCCAACCACTCGCATGCAGCAACACCCTTCCCACACCCGCCGCTCCTCCTCATCCCGCCCCCCCCCCCACCTCCCCCTCACCTGCCACGAGTTGAGCGCCAGCACGAACTGCCACACCAGCGCCTGCGCCCCGCTGCCCACACACAGCATGGGCGGCACCCCGGGCGTGAAGGGGCGCCAGCACAGGCCCCGGCACACCCCCCGCGGACCAGCCTGACAGGGCAGCAGGGAGGGCGGGTGGGGATGTTGAAGGCACGAGGGCAGCACCCGCCTACTCCCATCACAACAGCCCAAGAGCCCGTGCACCGCTGCGGCAGCCACCTCTTGTGTGCGACTAGGAAAGCAAAGCATGGCTCGCTCCAACCAGCTGCTACCCTTGAGGCATGCAGAACCTGACGTACAGCAGCACCCTGTTCCGGTGCCCGGCCACCGCTGCAGCCGACATGTGCCCCCGACCCCTGCAGCTCCCACCTACCCGCACCACTCCAGTGCGACCCGCCGCCTGGGACCCGCCGTCCCCCACCCGGCCGTTTCTCCCCCAGCACCCGGACTTTGTTCGCTTCCAGTCCGGACCGCACTAAGACGCCTACCCAGCCCGCACCCCAGCCCTGCTCTCGCCCCCAGCTACCTCCCCTCCCGTCCCCCTCCCTCCTACCCTCATCTTGCTGTGCAGGCTCCAGCTCCTGGGCGCCCCCACGTCCTCCGCCTGCTGCACCACCACGTGACCGTCCTCCAGCAGAGCTGCCAGCACCAGACCCGCCTGCCGGGGCGCGAAACACAGCGACCTGGGGGAGAGCAGGGGGGGGGCAAGGGGGAGAGGATGGGAGGAGGAGTAAGACGGATAGCGCGGGTCTGGACTCCCGCTCCGCCCCAAGACCGCTTCCCTCCTTACTCGTCCTCGACCCCTCCTCCCTCACACACCTGCATGCCGCCGGGCCGCACGCCAGGTCCGCTAGTGGCTGGTAGTACGCCGCGCCGCCCCCACCACCTCCACCCGCATCCTCTTGCCCCGCCGCCGCCGCCCCGCCCCCGGCCGGCCCCCCCGGCTGCAGCTCCGGAACCTGCCCCCACACCAGCACCGTCCCCGCGCTGGTGCCGCCCGCCAGCAGTCTGCCGTACTCGGGGTGCGCCCACGTCAGGTGCGACACGGGCAGGTCGGTCTGCCAGGCCGCTACCTGCGTCCAGCTGTCCGGCCCCGAGCCGCATTCGAATACCTGGGAGCAGGGCGGTAAGGGGGGAGGAGGAGGCGGTGCAGGGTGAGGGAGGCAATGCACCAAGGGAGAGCGGCACCAGGTGGACGGGGGCAGCATGGGTGCCGGGTATAGGGTAGGTTGCGGGACGTGGGGAGCCCGGAAGGGAAGGCGGAAAAGGGTGTGGCATCGGCGGGGAGGGCACGCACCTGAATGATGCTGCCCCCGGAAGAACTTGGTACGGATGCGGCCATGCGGCGGCCTGATACATCGTAGGCAACGTCTACGGCCGACCCTGCTAGCTCCAGCTCCACCGTATTCTCCTGATAACCACCAGGAGTCATGCATGCGGAATAAATTAATGAACCCATGTCATAGCTAGCAGGTCAGGGGCATGAGAAGTGGCCAGCGGCGACAGACCTTGAGCCCAGCCATTCGATCCCCTCGCCGCCCGGGCGATCTAGTTTAACCCGCCTGCCAAAGAGCGTTTTGTGTTGCTAATCACTATTACAGTGCTTGTAGACAGAGGGTTTTTACTCTTCTTTGGCGTGCAGTATTCCCGCGCTAAGTGCAACGCAGGCAGAAGCGCAGATATCAGCGATTTCAGTCTATCAGGTTAGAGTATGAGTATAGTTTCATTGTGGACCTGTTTAGGGCGATGCAACTTACAACTGTTCCGACAAGGCACAATTGCGCACGACAAAGCTCTCGTCCACATGTCAGTAAGCGACGCCCTTCCAGAATGCCGACCATAAACCAAAACATTTGGGCTTTAAATATGCACTAGTTAGAGGAAAACCTGCGCGTCGTCTTGTTACAAGCAAAGACCGGTACGCCTCAGGGCAACAATCGACTTCGTTACAGAGGCTGCAGACCCAATATGGCATACAGGCTAGGGTTACATGCTGGTGTTGTAACACCGTGCTCCCTTCAGCAAGCACGTCGCGCTTGCGCATTGCCAGCATGTCGTCTTCCGCGCGGCGAGCCGGGGCCTTTCAGTGCCCCATCAATCCCGGCTGCCACCCGTTCAGCCAACAGCAGCTGTCGATCAGCAATTGTTGCAGCTGCGGCGACATCGGCGCCAGGTAGCCCCTCAGAGCAGGCTAGCAGTGGCCTCGTAGCTTCAGTGCCGTACATCGAGGTGGGTTGGGTGGGGCGCGGCCTGGCGTCCCAGTCCCACCGCCGTCATCTACTGCGATAACGCTTGGCGTTGCTTGGCAGACACTTAACCCAGACGGACACAGTCCCCGAAGGGCATGCCGCCCTCCGTGAAATGCATTTGCATCACCACCCCGCTTGTCCTAGCAGCCGCCCAGCCTAAGCCCCACCCCGCCTCCCCTCCTCCAGGCTGACTACGTGGAGGTGGGGCGGGTGCTGGGCGCCCACGGGGTGCGGGGGGAGCTGCGGCTGCAGGCGGACACGGACGAGCCGGGCCTGAGATTTAGCGCGGGGGGCAGGTGGGGCGGAGCGGGGAAGCGGGGGAATGGGGCCCGGACGGGGGTTACAGGGGGGTTGTTGTAGGTGGGTTCACATCACAACGGACTAGAGGACGCGGAGGAGGCGTGGGATGCCGTACGGGCTGCCGGGGGCTGCACTCGCATGTGGTGGGAGGGGAGGAGCAGGTGTACACCTGCTTGGAGGCACCCCGGCTGCCCTCGATTGGGCGCCACGGTGCTGCCCTGCCACCACGAAAGCGGCAGACCAGTTGTCCCGGGGGGCGCCGCTTGCACTTCGCTCAGCCCCTCTTGTCACGCGTCGTACCTAGTTGGGCCGCCTGCCCCTGCCCCTGCCCTCCCGCAGGCTGTTCCTGCTGCCCCCCGCGCCGCAGGGCTTGGCGGGGCGGGCGGCTGCGGCTCAGCAGCGCTCCCTCATACCGGTGAGCGGGCGACGGCGAGGAGCCGGGAGCGCGGTGCGGTGCTTGCCCCCCTGGGTCCGGAGGTGACATGCGGTGCCACGATGCTGCTCACACTGCCCCCACGTCCCCCGGCCCCCCCTCCAGGTTACCTCCCGCGGCGGCAAGTCCCGGCCGCTGGGGGGCGGTGATGAGATGTGGATGGTGGCGCTGAAGGAGGTGGCGGACAGGACGCAGGTGGGGGCGGGGGTGTGCGAGGGCCTGGAGCGGGTGGAGAAGGGCGGGTGGAGAAGGGCGGACGGGGGCACCGGGGGTTGGGCAGGCGGCGCGGGCTTCCCGGGTTGAAGGGGGCTGCAGTTGAAGGCAGCTGGATGAGGAGTAGAGGAGGGTGGTCAGGGCGGTGCATGCAGCGGGTAGTGCGTAGGGTGTGCAGAGCGCCTCCGACCGGGCGGCCAGCGCTAGAACGGCAACATGGGGCAGGAACGTGATTGCATCGGAAGAGTGGAACAGCGCGGTCTTGGCGTTGACACCGCGCCTTCCTTCCGCCCCTGGAACGCTGCCCAGCACTCGGCGTTTGCCGCTGCATCTGCTCGGCTTCCTCCCCGCCCCACAACGCCCCCTCCTTCCACCCTTCCCGCCACGCCCTGCCCTCTCCATCGTCTGCCCTCCTCCCCTGCCCTCCCTCCCCCCCCCAGGCCGAGCAGCTCAAGGGCTGTGTGGTGCTGTGTGCGGCTGCCGACCGCGCCCCGCTGCGCCACCCGGACGAGTTCTACGTCAGCGACCTGGTGGGCTGCGTCGTGAGGGAGCAGGTGGGGGGGGGGAGGCGGGGAGGAGGGGCTGGTGGTGGTTGAACGGTTGTCCTCGTGCGTGGCATGGCCCCGCATGGGTAGCAGCCGGTTGCGTTTTCCCGCTACCGGTATAACGGTACGGTGCTAGCAGCTTCTTCCCTCCACTCAACCCCTCCCTGCGCTCCTCTTCCGCCTCCCTCCGCCTCCCTCCCCTCCCCCCCGCAGTCCAGCGGTCGGCTGGTGGGCCAGGTGGTGGACGTGTTCAGCGGCATGGGCTCCCACGACACGCTGCGGGTGAAGCTGCGGGCCAGCGAGCAGGACATACTCAAGTCCAGGATACGGTTGGGCGACAGGGGTTAGGGGAGAGGGGCAGGGAAGGTGGTGTTCGGCAGGGACTAGGGGGTCATGGAGTCACAAGCATGTAGTGTAGCCGGCTTTCGCGCTCTGACATCCTGTCCTCTGCTACATTCCTCTTTGCGCTCCGCCTCCTGCCCTCAATCCGCTCACCCCCCCCCTCGCTGCCCGCCAGCTACTGCCTGGTTCCCTTTGCTCGCGCCATCTGCCCGGTGGTGGATCTGCCGGGTCGCACCCTGCACGTGAGCCCCCCAGAGGGGCTGCTGGAGCTGGCGGCGGAGGAGCCGCTGAAGAAGGTGGGGCGGGGGCTGGGCGGGCGGGGGCCAGAGATATACTTGCCAAATCCGCTCCTGCTCGTGTGCATCCCCTTCCTCACTCCATCCGATCTCACGGACCTGCACTGCCGGCATCGCCCGCTCTCCACCCCCCTTCCCCTTTGCCCTCCCCGCAGCCCCTGTCGGACGCGATGAAGGCTCAGAAGCTGGCGGAGCTGCGCGAGTCGCTGCGGCGGGAGGAGGAGGAGCTGCGGCTGCAGCGCGGGGAAGGGCAGCATGCGCCAGCTGCAAGTCCAGCAGAGGCGGTGGAGGCGAGGGACCGCGAGGATTCTCCGCGTGGGGGAGAAGGGAATGCAGGAAAGGTGGTTGGAAGTTCGGCTTCGGGAGGAGAGGACGTGGAGGATGGGGAAGGGGAGGGCGAGGAGGATGAGGAAGTTCAGGCGGTCGCGAGGCAACCGACCCGGGGTCGCCGCTTAGGGTTGAGGCGGAGGACAGGAGCTCTAAGGCTAGGGCGACGACAGCCCTGAAGGAGGGAAGGCGTGGGACTTGAAGGCTTTGACACTCCAGCTGGTCTTGGTGACGGCGGACATGTGCTGTCACAAGATGCTGACTTTGGGCTGCCGGGAGATACTGCTTATTGTAGGGAGGTGTAAAGCGCGAGCAAGAGCTATTTCCGCACTGCCGGTTGGTTGCTGTTTGATTCTTAGGGACATTGCGCTGGAGGGTGGGTATGCCTGGCCAGACCAGCAAGGCTTCCTGCTCTGCTTCTTAGCCCCCGACGCCCGACCTATGTACCTACCAGTTTATCGGTCCAACCCATCTGGTTCAATAGACGGTTCCTTAGATATCCTTAAAGTGTCCTGCAGGAGAATCAATCGCATTACAGTCAGGAAAACCCCTATGTTCAAAGAGTGTTCTGTACGCCAGTGTGACCTGTCGTACAGCTCAGCATGGCCACAACCCACAAGCACTAAGCCTCGGGCCTGTAATCGTCATCATCATCATCCTTGAGCACTGTGGTGGGCGGGAATACTCGCAACCCTCTGCACACCCCTGCTTCACGGTCGAGCGTAGAGGAGAGGCCTGGGAAGGCCTACTGCGCACCCTGACGTGCCGTATCGCCGTTCAATTACAGCACGTCCCCCCATACCTTGCGGACTATGAGCGTAACACAGAACGTTTTACGATCCTCCACATGCAATTAAGTGTCGAGACCAGCAACAGGAGATGCTCGTTCCGGTCGTGGCCTTACGCCAAGAATGCGAGACAGCTGGGGGGCAGCTGTTGTTCACTAATAACGATGACATTGGTGCTTAACGTGAACACTGCAAGTGCATCTGTGATGCCCTGATAGATCAGGGAGTGGCCATTGTTGAAGTTCCACAAGTCGACTTCAAATGCTTTGAGCATGCTTTGCGGTCAGCGGGTAATTTCTTCAGCTCCAGCCAACCTAATAAACTCTCTGCCAGCAGCTATATTCCTGGCGAGGGTTACGCGCGGCTGTCTGGTAAAGAAGTGCTCTCCGTGCGACTAGGTGTTCACCATGGCCAACAAGGATTGGTAGACTTTGCACAGGTACGCCCTTTCCACTTCATTACCTTTTCAACCAGTCTGAAGCCTTATAGGAGTTTTGGGCTGTTCGCTCGTATTCCTTGCCGTGCATTGTTTGGCCTCCCATTGCTCCCAATAACTTTGTCCTTCGCACCACAGGCAATCATCCCGCTGGAGGCCATCCTGCGCACCGTCCTGCGCCGCATGTGCCGCAGTTCCGACCTGAGCCTGCACCCTGCCGTACTGGAGGGCCTGCTGGAGGACGCCTGCCTGGCGCGGGGCCAGCCCAGCGCGAGCGTCCTGCGTGCGCACCGGTACAGCCCCGACGCGCCCGCCGACTCGCTTGCCTTCGCCCCGCACCACGACCGCGGCGTGCTGACGCTGGTGGCCAGCAACCAGGTCCGGGGGCTGCAGGTGCAGCAGCGGGGCAGCGGCGCCGAGGGAGGCTGGGTGGACGTGCCGCTGGGCCCGGGGCGGGTGGCCGTACTGGCGGGCTACAGCTTGTCGTACGCCCTGGGCGGCCTGCTGCAGCCCGTCCTGCACCGCGTTCTGCCCTGCTCAGACGCGGCTGGGCGGGTGAGTGTGACGTTCGAGCTGTGCTGCCGGCCCTCCGCCCTGGTGGACCCGGAGGCCATTCTGCGGGAGGCGGCGTGCAGGCCGTCGGAGGGCAGCCGCCGCCCTCGCGCGCTGCACGCCACGGAGCTCATGGAGCTGTTCGAGCACACGCACCCCAGGTCCGTCAACGGAAGGCACTTGGGGGTGGGGGGAGGCGCGGGCGCGGCTGCTGAAGGAGGTGCAGGTGTGGGTGCAGGCGCTGCGGGGCGTCCCCAGGCACAGCCCGCTGACCCCGGCAGTACATTGGCAAGGGTCCCGCATGCTGACGGGGCCTCCCAAGCCGCTCCAGCAGCCATACCCAGCTCCACAGTACCGGCGGCGGAGCGAGAGCCAGGAGCGGTGGGGGACGTCCAGCGGACCGGCGACCTCCTGCGGAGATCGGCGCGGTTGCGTACACAGGAGCAGGAGGCTTCTCCAGCTGCAAAGCGGCCTAGGCATGACACATCAGGGGCCTGCTGTGCACAGCAGCAGCCAGCAACAGCAGCGCCGGCAGTGGCGCTGCAGCCCTTGGCGCAGCCGCCAACACAGCCGCCGCCACCGCCAGAGCTGACAGAGCCTATAGCTATAAATATAAAATGCTGTGACGGCGGTGCTGTTGCATTCAAAGCCAAGCCGCGCACTCGGTTCTACCAAATGTTTGAAGCGTTCGCGCTGCGTAGAGGGGTTTCAACGAACCATTACAGGTTCATCTTCGATGGACACAAGCTCGATCCAAACGATACCGTCGCTGAGGCCGGCTTAATGGATGACGACGTCATAGATGCCGTTATCGAGCAACAGGGCAGCTAGTTCGTCTGAGTATCGGCGGCCGCAGTTCGGGTACCGGTATGCTGCCAACAACACTGGGGTGGGGGATGGACAGGGGTCTAGCAGGGTTGCGCGTGTGTCATTATGTCATTGCTTCACATGCAGCCCTACCTAGCTTTCTCGGCGCGATGCAGACACAGCCGTGAAGCGCCTGTCCTAACCACGGTGTGCCAGGGGCCGCCTCAGGATGTCCACGTACAAGGGCTATCTAGATGCACAGGCAGTCCAGGCAGGGTTGTTCTTTTTGCCGGAGCGAGTCTTGTTGAGTTTCGCAGGGTTTCGAGTGTTTTTGTGGTTTTGGTTTAAAGGTTTTGCTTTTGTTCCAATCCTTTGCTTACCGTTGTCACTTGCTTGTCAGGTTGTGCTTGCAGCTAGCTATCGTACCACCACTGCGGTTGGTCGTGGTGGTGTTCCTGTGTCCAGTGCTTCTGCATGTCTGTATGCTGGATGCTCAGGAGCACAGCGGGCGTGCATGGCAGCATGGCCCAGTTCGTGTGCGTTTGGTTGCCTGCAAGCCCGCAGCAAGCATGCGGGGGGCACAACACGTACACTGTTGGCGCAGTCCTTGTACTGCAGAATACCGGTATGTTTTGCAGTTTCATTCCCTATTCCCCTTCCTTTAGCCTAACGATGATGCATACGGTAGCCCGTGTCGTTATCATGCCAGTAGTAGTCATGGGACTGCTGAGTATGTTATGGAGATTTCCTTGCCAGCGTCTCTCCCTTTGGCCAAACACATACCATCGCACGAGGTATGACCAGAGCGGCCCATAACACATGTTGGACCCCGGGTGCATCCACCATGTGGACTGTGCGCAGCCTCAGCTGGAGCATCCTCGAGGGCCTTGCCACTTGTTCTGGTGTCTTCTAGCTGGCATTGACTTCCATGGAAGCCCAAACATATGGGTGCGGGCCGTGCGGGCGGAACGCGTGATGACCAACCTGCATTATGCGCTGCCCATGGAACCCAAGAAGCGACCCATGGGTCTCTATTCGCCGTGCGCAGGATGAGCTCAACTTGCTTGCCACGTCTTAACGAGTAAAAACCTGGCTGCACAGCGCCCTGCATGCGGCAAAGGGGTTGAAGATAGAAACCTCTCTGCGGCGGCTTCTGGTTACTTGGCACTGGGGCTCGCGGTCAAAGCCAAAGAGTTGCGGGAGGCACACGCAGAGCCCCGGATGAAGACTCAAACGTCACACATGAAAGCAACGGCTTTGCATCACCGTCGTAACAAGTCATAGATGCAACCCACAAGCCTGCACTCCCAAGACCATGCATGAATCCGCTGCTGCAAAGCATTTGGAACGCCCTAATGCACACGAAGCCAGGAACCACCAACCCAAACAAGGGTACTACCAGCGATACCTTGTGGATAGCGGACCCTGAAACACTGCTCATCACCACCCCACCTGCCTGCCTTCATGCCTTGTGCCCCACCGGCCTCGACTGCCACAACGTAACTACTAACAAGCCAATCAAGCCACCCCCACACGCATGGTGTCACCGAGAAAGCACAAGCAGTCCACTGACAATGCGGGGTTCAATGCAGTGAGCAAAGTAGCCTTGTAGGGCGGCAGCTGGACGCAACCAGTTGGGAACGCAAATCCTCGTTATCAGGAAAACCAGACTGAACACAATGACAACCAACAAACAGCTTATCGCGAGGCTGACGTGAGGACGTCGGCGCGCCATAAGTAGCATTCAACCGCCCGTGCAAGTGTAATCACATTAGTGTATCAGATCGCATAATTATACTCCACGAAAGGCTCGCTTGGTGCCTCCGACGGCTTCTACCACGGTTGCCGGTGGGCTGACATCGGAACTGCGACGCCGCATCTGTCTGCGTGTCCCCTAATAGCCATGAAATGAACTCATTGGCCCCTCTGTAAACATGCCTTTACTTGCGCTCTCGTCCCTGTGAAGAAGGGACCCTGAGATACACGATGAATCCCCATGGACTCAAAAGCAGTCACCCGCCACCACAACACAAAATATGGAATGCATCATCCCGCAAAGCTGTTCCACCCATGTATCTCGCTTGGCCGTACATAGCCCACGTACATGTCTTCCCTCTGCCCAGGAAATAGCACCAAGTAAGGGGAAGGTCATCGTCATCTCCGACCTGCATGGTCTTAACACATGAACCCCCGCAACATTGGAACCTCCCGCTCATGGGCTTACCTTGTGCGAGCGGCGAGGTTGCTCACGCTACCCCCCTCCGCCCATCCACGCTGCATTGCCCACGGGTTGCATTCACCGCTGTGCGGAACTTACCATCCAAGCATGAAGGACATCAATAATCAGTACCCCGCAGGGATGCCAGCCCGCAAACCTCTACAACCGTCATTCTCATGTTAATCATTCACCAGGGACCTTACGAATGCATAAATAGGGCGGCCTACACGCTCTGTTTGCCTACTCTTCACCATCCGAAGTACCTAACCTCGCCTTTATGTTCCCCCGCCTACTACCCGCACTGGCGCAATCATCCTGCCACCCGAACCAAGTGCATCCTTGCAAAGAGGGTTTGGGAGCCGTGTCACGAGCGACCTAGCGCCGCCGTTTGCGTGTCGGACGCATTCAGCAGGCAGCTAAAGCACCACACCGTACCATGCCCCCATCAGCTGCCGTACGTGCCGCTTACTTGTCCCGCGCCCACCTAGCCACCATGACACCCCGCAGCGTGTACGCATCCTTGCCCACCTGCGCCCTTGGAGGCGGCTCAAACACCACCACCTGCTGTCCTCCCACCGCCGCCTCCTTGCCCTCACACGTGCCTCTCAAGCCCTCAACCGACAAGACCCGCCGGGCTGGCACTTGTAACACCAGCCGGCCGCGCTCGTCCATCCCCCGCGCCCCCCCAGCTCCAGGGCTTGCGGCAACAGCAGCGCCGCTGCCGCCGCCGCGGTGGGCCGCCGTCGGCTCTTCCGTAATGCCGCCGGTGGCGCTGCCGACAGCAGTGGCGGCGGGTACGGCACTCTGCTGGCTGCGAAGCGAGGCCCGGTCGTACACCGGACTGCCGCCGGTGACCCGCGCAAACAAGCTTGCCAGGCCACTGCGTGTGGATGGCGGCGAGGACTTGAACACAGCGGCGCGTATGCTGCTGCTGACGTCACGGCAACTACTGGCGGCACCATGCGGGACCCCTTCTGTGGGCGTGAGAGCAGGGGCAGGACAGGCTGCATCGCTCGTAGCGACACCCGCTGCAGACGGCTTAACTGCGATGGCACATCCCGTCGCCGGCTGGCCAGCAGCCCCGTCATGCTCGCTTGCCGTAGGTTGCGCCTGCTGCAGCCGTTGCTGCTGCTGCACCGTAGACGGCGGCAGGGGAAGCGTCAAAGAGGCCCCTCTGCCGGGGTCTGCTGGCCGCTGCAGCTCCCAACCCTGCTCCCGCGAGGGCCTCCGCTGCAGCTCCTGCGAACCGGATGCCGGCGGAGTCCGCGACAGTGCACCTTGCGGCGGCGCCGGGGTCTCGGCTGCGGACAAGGATGCCGCGGCAGGCGCCGGCACGCATGCAGGCGCCGGCGAGGCGGCCCTGCTTGACCAGGCGCCCTCGACGCTTGGGTCGCTCATGGGCAAGCACACTTCCGACGGAACCTTGACCAGGGGCTCGGAGTGTGAATGCGAGGGACTGGTCCGCTGCCGGCTTGAGCGCCTAGGCTTGTGCGCATGCAGGGGCTGCTGCTGCGGCTGCTGCTCGGACCGCTGCTGGTGCTGCTGGTGCCGCGGCTCCACAACACCGCTAACCGCCGGCAGGGCGGCAGCCGGCGGCTGCAGCAGTGGCGGCGGCACCGCGTGTCGTGGCGCCACGGGGCTGCTGCCGCCGCTGAGAGGACTGCCGCCACTCAGGGGGCTGCCGCCGCTGAGCGGGCTGGGAGAGGCCCACCCGCCGCCGGCCCCGCTGCCGCCGTGGGAGCAGTGCCGCATGTTGCGCCAGGTGCGGCCCCCAGGTGCCCCCAGGAGCGCTGCCGTCCTGAGATGCGGCGGCTGCGGCAGGCCGCAATCCTCCGAGGCGACCTCTGCCGGCCGGTGCCAGGGATGCAGCAGCGCAGGAAGGTCGCGGGCAGAGTGGTGAGGACGGCCACCGCCGCCACCGCCGCTGCCAGCGGAGGCGCTGCCTTCGCAGCCGCTGTTGGCAACCGCGCCCCCGCAGCTGCCACCGCCGGCTACGCGTTTCAAGAGGTGCTGTTTGGAGGGGCCACGCTGGGCGGAGCGGTGGTGCAGGTCCTCCAGGCGAACGGAGGGATCCAGCTTGCATGCGCTGCGTACGGCGGCCTCGCTGACCAGGAGCTGCGGTGAACAGGGAGGCGGCGCAAGGGGGTGTGGTATACCGGTAAGCATCCAAGCCTATGACGCTAAAGGCGGGACACAGATGCGATTCTACGCGCTTTCCAACCTACACCTATTGTTGACCCTAGATTCTGGACCGGCCTTGCTTGTCCTGACTAAATAATTGCCACAGGCAGGGCATCAGGTCCTTTGTTTGCTCGCTGCGACCCCCCCATGCGCTTGCGTACGGGCGCCCCCCCACACGCCGCCCTCCCATGCACACCTGCCCGCAGCGCGCCAGCCCCGCCAGCGTGGCGACTCGGTCCGCACACCTGCCCCGGTACTGCAGCCGCCCGCTGGAGCCCACGATAACCGCCTGAGGGGAGGCAGGTGACAGGGGAGGTGCGGTTGGTGGGCCCGTTCCAAGTCTTCCATCCTCATGCAGCTGGAGAAAGTAGTGCAGAGGAGCTGAACGGGGCTCCGGGCAGGTGCAAGCACTTGCGCTGTGCAAGGTGCGGGGCGCTTTGCGATGGGTACAACGCTACCATACCATGCCAACGCACGGCACCTTGGCCGCTCATGCCACCGTTTGTATTAATTACAAACCCCCGCGCTGGTGTCACTCTAGGGCTCTCACATCGAGACCCCACCCCCCGCACCTGCAAGCTCCCCACATCCACGGCGCCCTTCAGTCGGAGTCCGCGGTACACCAGGCGCCCCACTGTGCCTGCAGCAGGGTACGACACGCCGTCGCGCTCTCCCAGCACGCGCTCCTCGTCCGTGTGCACTGCCAAGTGCGGAGCTCCGGTTGGCTCGACCGGGACAGCGCGGGACGCAGGGCACCGCTGCTCTAGCACGTGCGAAGGCGCGTTTAACGGTGAACGCATTGTCGGCGAAGCAGCGGGCGTAGAGCACTCAACGGTGGCACCAACATAGATAGCAGCTGCGGGCTCGGAAAGGCCCGCGGCCCTTTTGTTGGTGTTAGCAGTGTGGGGAACGGCCTGAGCGCTGACCGCCACATTCGCCCTCACCACCGGAAGAGGTGTCGGACCAGCTCTTGATTGTGCTCCCTTCGCCGGCTGCCATTGCTCCCGCCGCTGCTGCTGCTGTTGTTGTTCTTGTTGTTGGTGTTGCTGGTGCTGATGCATCAGAGCACGATACAACGGGCTTCCCGAGGATACGCTGTTGGTGCGCGCGATGCGTACAGAGAGGCGGCTCTCCAGGTGACCCACGGGTCGGCGAGCATCCAGCACGACGCTGCCGCTGTTGCTGCGAGCCAGTGTCGACGCGGACCAGGTATTATCCCCATCGCCGCTTCCTCCACTGTGGGTGACAGCAAGAACACTGCATGTGCAGCCCCCAGTGCCGTCCGCGCCGCAGTTGCAGTTGCCCCCGCTACCGCCGCTGGGCGCACGCAGCAGATCCTCAGTGGAACGACGTGACAGAAATGAATACCCCCGCCGCTGGTAAGGATTGGCTGCGGAGAATCCTGCCCGTGCCGGCGCGGCGGACCCCACCCCCGCCGCCGTGCTTCCACCTGCTACGCTGCCTGCCACCCCTGCGACTGCCGTGCTGCCCTCCGGGCCTAGCTCCGGTGGCGATGCGGACAGAGAGGGGAGCCCCTGCCGGCGGTGTAAGGTGGCGGCCGGGCTGCTGCACATCGCAATGTCTGCCAGGGCGCGCTGCTCGTCAAGTGACATCGGGGCAGACCCATGGGTCAGTCTTGGTGCAGCGCGGGCGGAGCGCCTTGCCAGGGTTCGCGCCGGGCCGCCTCCCTCAGCCTCAGGTCCGAGCTGGTAACCCTGCGAGCTCCGCTTGCGCTCCTGCAGGGCAAGGACCACCAGGCTTCGCCGCCTGCTACGGCCAACGCCGGTGGCACCCCCGCCGCCGCCGCCGCCGCTGGTCCGCATGCGGCTGGTGAAGCTGCCGGCGGAAGCAGCCGGGCCTAGCGCCCCACCAGGGGGCAGCGGCAGGTTGCACCGCGCGCGGTGGCCGCCAACGCTCCTGTCAGCGGTGACCCCGCCGCCGTCCCGACATGCTTGGTGCAGGGCTGAGGAGCGCCTGGCCAGGGCAACATTCCCTCGCTTGGGAAAGCTCCCCGAGCGCCTCGGGGCTGTAGGACTGTGTGCTGCAGGCGAGTAGTCCTCGGCCTCAGCTTCGCGGCTCAGTAGTCCAGCTTCAGCACCCAGGCTGCATCCCAGCAGGCTGCCAGCTGCGGCACCGCTGGGTTGCCGCCAGGGCACTGTCCGCCTAGATAAGGTACGTGTGGGCCGAGGAGCCGCACCGATCCGAGTCACATCTGCCGTCCCCACGTGCCTCACTGGCCCACGATCCTGCTGCTCGTTCCAGCTCTGCATGCCCTCCGGCAAGTATCGGGGAGAAAGCTCCTCATACTGCTGCTGCTGCTGCCCCATGACGTCCAGGGATAATGGCAAGTCGCCGTTGCTGCCGCCCCTCGTGTCATTCAAAACTGGACAGACGCCGGGACTGCACAAGTCGCCGGGCTCTTCAAGTCCGCTGGCGGCGCTGCCAGGGCTTGTGCGGGCCATCAGCACCACGCTCCCGAAGGCGCGAGCAGCGGTAGGCGGCCCCTCCTCTTCTTCAACATCCGCCAGCAGTCCTAGCGTGGGTGATCCCGCCACGCCCTCGGACTCACTGAGTAGCCACGCTGGCGCCACCGGGTCGGGACAGCCCGCGGGTTGGCGCCAGGGTCGGGAAGGCGCGCAAGGCAACGAGGAAGGTGACGCGCCGGCAGCGAAGGCTAGGGTGCCTGCTGCTGCAGTTTCCGGCGGCGGCGGTGTCTGGGAGGCATGCAAGCTGCGAGCTGAGGGCGCCTTCAGCGACTTGCCGTCACCTTTGCGCGCGTCGCTGACGCCGCTGGCTTGTCCCGTGGCGGGACTGATCACTGGGGCAGCCTCCCGAGTTCGGCTTGCAGCCGCCGTCGCAGCCAGCGTCAGACTCCTCGTCCCCCGTCCCCCGACCGCCGGTTCCGCCGCCGCAGTCTTGGATGCACTCCACCGCCAGGCGCCCGCACCGCGCACCGCCACCGCGCGCCGGCCAACGCTGTACGACAGCAGCCTGAACCCCGAGGGCACCCGGCCCCTGGCAGCGGCCGCCGCGGCAGCAGCGGCACTGCCGCCTCCGCTGTCCCCACCGCCGGCGGCAACAACACTCCGCTGCCTGCTGGACGAGCAGCTGCCGCCGCCGCCGCCTCTTGACGCACCGCGACTGGCGACCAGGTGCAGCAGGCCGGCGAGGGCGGAGCTGGCGGTGCTGCCTGGGGAGCCGCCCAGGCCGCTGGGGCGGCGGAGGCAGCGCGGACTGCCGCCCTCTAGCTCACTGCTGAAGCTGCCCTCCGCTGGAGTGGCGGTGGGCGGCAGCAACAGCGTCTCACCTAGCTCGTGTCCAAGCAATTCGGCAGGCCTGGAGGGAGCAGGGAGTGGTAGTAGAAGCGGGTGCATGGAGAAGTGGGTAGAAGTAGGTTTCGGAATGAGGGCAGTTGCGGGGCTGGGGCATAACGGGGCGCTGCAACGGTCGTGGGCACACGCGTACGATCAACGCGGTTTCCGCTGCTGCTGCTGCTACTGCTGCTGCTGCTGCTGCTGCTGGTTTGCGATACCTTGCGTAAAGAAACAACCCCTATGCACAGCCCGCATCACCGACCATGTCATAACGTATTCCATCCCTTCTTCTCCAGTTGGCGTTTTCCTCAGAGCCGGCCCGCTTTCCTAGTTTCTACCCCCACCCCCACCCACCCCAGCCGGCCAACCCACCAAGGCAGCTCCAGCCCCGCCGACTGGCACTCCAGCGCCCAGCCCACCAGCGCGCCGGCGTCACCGCACACGCCCACCGCCACCACACCCGAGCTGCGCTGCCGCCGCCGGCCGCCCTCCGCCGCCAGCGTCACGCCGTGCCGCCCCGCCAGGGCCCTGCAGCAGGCCTCCATGAGCTGCATGCTGCGCTCGAACACGGCGCGGTTCCAGGCGGCGAGCACCGCGGAGCCCTGCGCACGCAGCTCGGCGATGGCGACGGCGGGGCCCAGAGGCGCGGAGAGTGTGCCTGAGGAGGGTAAGGGTAAGGATGTAGGAGTTGGGGCGAAGGAGCAGCGCCAGCGGGGTACGGGATATAAAGGTCAGGAGGGTTAATCAGTTTGGCTTTTCCACAGCTGGCACGGACCTGGGCGATACTGGGACACAACAAATGAACCCGGTCATCCAGGCGCTCATGAATCCCATCACCTCCCCACCCCGCCCGTCTCACCCAGTGCCACGCAGGTGCCGGCGCGACTGAGCGGCGGCTCGTACGCGGCCCGCACCGACATGAACGCACCCGCGCCGCCCACCACCTGGTACAGCGCAGTGCCGTACTCGCGAGCGCGAACAGCCCGCCCCGCGCCTGCGCCCGCTCCCACACCCGCCAGGGTAGCCGCCTCGACTGACGTCGCCGTGTGTGGCTGCTGCAACGCTGGCGGTAGCGTCGCAGAGCTGTCCTCCGTCATCCCTGCCTCGCCGCAGCCGCCTCCGTCGCCGCCACCATCGCACAGCTCGCCAGTCGTCGACGTCTTCAACAACACCGCCATGGCCGCAGTCGCCTCAGCCGCAGTCGGCGGCGCGCGGGGGCGGTAGCTGGCATCCCTAGGCAGCGCGTAATGCCCCATGTAGAGTACGACACCGCTGTCCGCGTGCTGCAGCTCCCCCGCCGCCAGCAGCCTCACGCGGGCCTGCTCCGAGATCACAATGGAGCCGCCGTGACCCGTGTTGGACAGGGCGCGGGCGGCAACCATGAGGCCACCTGTCCGGGTGCAGGCGCCGGCATTTAAGGGTGTTCGCAGGTTCGGGGGAGGAAAGCGAAAAACGGTTATGGTTGAGGCAAGAAGAAGGTCGGGTATGAGGGGGTCCAAGGCGAGGAGCGGAGGATAGCATAACGACGACCAAGCAAGCTTACTACCAAACCCAAGGAGGAACCCACACCTGCATGTGCCCTCCCCCCGCCCACCTCCGTACGTGACGCGCCCTGATGCCTTGTTAGCGCGCATCTCGCACCCCTCCCTGCTGTCACAATGCAGCCCCAGCCGCAGCCGCAGACCCCGGTACACGCACAGCGCGCCCGGCGTGTCCGGCGAGCAGGGCCGGAACAGCGACGTCAGGTGGCTGCGGAAGTCCGAGGGTCGCGTCGCTGACGGCGTGTGGCAGTTGCCGTCGCCCTCCTCCTCGTCGCCCTCCATGCAGGTGCTGCCGCCGAAATCCAGAAGCAGCGTCGAGGGGGGGGCGGTCCGCCTGCCAAAGGTACCGTCAGCGCCCGCGTCATGCAGGTAGCCGCTGACGTCAACCGCGCCACACCCGTCAAGCCTGCTGAGCCGGGCCAGATCATCCACAGCGTCGGCGGCGGCACCTCCGCCGGCTTTGACGCCGGCAGCATGCAACACGTCGAGGGCAAGCCGCTGGAGCTGCACACCCACGCCGCCGAGTGAGGAAGCCACCTGTGATGGCCGCGGCAGCGGTGCCGGTGGTGGAACAACCCGCTCCCGCTCCGGCTCCGGCTGACGGTCGTGCGGGTTCGGCGGTGCCTTCCCCAGTGTGAAAGCCGCTGTGATGGGGCTGTACGGCCGGAGGTCGAGTTCAGAAGCGTCCGAAGTCACACTGCAACCTGTGGCGAGGCAAGGGCGCGCATTGAGGCGTTGATGATGTCGATAGAAAACCTTGCTTCCTTGCAACTGTACGGCTACACTCGCATTGTCTGACCCGCGCAACGCCATAAAGCTGGCGTTTCAAAGCGGCGTTCGCCAAAACTTCACGGCGCAACAGTATCTTACGCAAGCCATGGGTCACGGTCACCACCTGTCTGCTGCCCTGTCCATCACCCTTCTGAACGTATGCTATCCGTCTCCGCCTTCCACCACCTACCTCCGACGGCAAAGGCCGGCAACGAGGCGGCCCCCTCCAGAGTGCAGCTCGCCGCCGCAGGCAAGCCGCGCCGACCAAGCTGCGGGCCCGCCCCGCGCAGCAGCTGCCACATGCTGGAATGGGTCCCTCCGCCTGGCGCCGCACATTTCGTCGTACTTTCTGCCGTGCATGTCCCGGTCACGGTGCTGGGTTGAAGGTGTTGAGGCGTTGGCGTCGGGAAGGCGGAGGTGCTGGTGTTGCCGGCGGGGGCAGCTGCCTGGCTGCGACTCGGGACGAGGCCCACCCCGCCTGTGCTGAAGTCAGTTAATTCCCTTGCCGGTACGGCGACCTCACAAATTGGGAGTGCAACGGCGGTAGCGGCTAACCCGGCATCCTCCTGTGGGAGAGCGGCCGGAGATGCCGGGAGGGGCGGCAGTGTGGGCGGCAAGCTGGCGGCGGGGTGCAGGGGGCTGCTAGCGGAGGCGCCGCAGACGGCAGCTTGGGGAGTGGTGCTGGCTGTGGGGCATGCGTTGGCGGCTGCAAGGACACAGGCATCCAAGGGCGCAATCGCGGCGGACGACCAGGCTGCTGCTCCCGAGGCGCCTCGTGTGGACGGCCGGCTGAAGTGCGGGCAGCTGATGGCCTGGAAGCTGGGAGGGCGCAGCGCCAGCGGCAGCAGCGGCACCTGTGGAATGCCTCCGCTGCCTCTGGGGCTGCTAGCACACGCGCCTGCATGTAACTGGTGCCGCTGCAGCTCCTCCTCCTCCATCTCATGCTGCTGCTGCTGGGGGGGCAGCGCTGTTTGCTCTATCTGCGTGCGGCTCTGGCGGTGCCGCCCGAGTGTCCCTGTTCCGGTCGCCCGCCTGCTCAGTGCTCCCGGACTGCTGCTGCCGCGCCCCCCTCCATGCACATGTGCATGCGTGTGGGCCTGCGCCGCCAGCGTGTCCGCCCAGTCTGCGGCTCGTACGGCAGGCACGCTGGGCAGTACGAACAGCTCGGCGGCCTGCGGGGCGGCCAGCAGCTGCTGCGGCCAGGGCAGGCAGCGCAGCGCTGACTGCAGCTGCAGCGCAAAGGCCAGCGCTGGCTGGGGGGAGCTGCGGGCAGGGGCCGAAGGGGTCAGGTGGGGTCAAGCAGGGGCAGGGAGTAGGGGGCCCAAGCATGCCGTCGGGTGACGTGGTGTAGGGAGACGGTACTCTGGCCGTGCATGTGAGGCCCAGTGGTGAGGAGGTGATCGCCTGAACGGCAGCACAAGGCACCAGGCGGATTGAGAGGTGTCGGTAGGGCGGGCTGGGGCCAGAGGCCGGTGCCGGTTGCCGGGTGCGCTCATGCGGGGGTGTGGCTCACCTGAATGCGCAGATGAAGGCGTCCCCCTCCGTGGCCGACTCGTACCTGCGGGGAGGTGGGGGTGCAGCAGGCACGCGTTTTTTAGGAGTAAAGAGCTAGATATGGCAAGGGAGGCACGCCGCAGACCACCCACCCCCTGTGCCGCCGCAGCAGCTTGCGGAAGGTGGTGGCGTGCAGCCGCATGGCGGTGTCCATCACGGGGGCGGGCAGCTCCTCCCACAGCGTGGTGGAGCCCTTGGGGGGTGAGGGAGGGCGGGAAGGGAGGGGGGGAAAGAAGAATATCCGATGTGTTGTGTGTCAGTGGGCGGCAGCGGAAGGGGTCCAGAGGTTGCGAAGGACACTGCAGCTGGCTGGTACCGCCACTCGCTTTATGTTCGGCAGGCATGGATGAGGGTTGCGGTGTCTCCGGCGGCGCTTCCGGCACGCGCAGGCACTGCGGGAGCGTGTGAGTGCGAAGCCTACCTCCGCGACACCCCCCTCAACCTAGGATTTCAACTCCATTTGACACCGCATCGCCTACAACGCGTGCCTGTTCCTGCCTGCTCCCTTCCACGGGACTGCCCACGCACACCTCGATATCGCTCAGCAGGAGGGTCAGGTCCGACGACGGCCCCGGCGGCTGCAGCGCCCCCCTCCACACCGCGCGCGCGTCCCAGCCGCCCCGCAGGCAGCGAGCCAGCGTATCCAGCAATGCGGCGCCCAAGGCGAAACCCGTGAAGCCGCACACCACCGCCACCACCGCCACCACCCACCCCGGCATGCCGCCGCGGCGGGCGGGCGGGGATGAGACGGGGCCGGAGGTGGACTCGCCTCCAGACACCGACTCCCCGGGGACCTGTGGGTGGTGTGATGGCAGCCGGGCAGCCGCGCGCGTGTTGCTCAGTTGCCCGGACAAGGCTGCCCCCACTGCCGCTGACATTTGCTCCTTGCCCTGGCTTGGCTTCTGTAGCCCTTGCAGCAAACGCTACTAGATGCAATGCGCAACCCGAGCGCTCAGCCCACGCGGCCTTCAGCCTCCTCCCTCCCGTACTCCCGGATTCCAGCACCTATCCAGCTAGCCCTCCTTAATCACCCCTCCCACGCCCCCACTTCCGGCAGTGGTCTTGTTTGCCATTCTCATTCAACCCATTGGGTTTTCTTCTTGCCCCTCAGCCCCGCACCTCTCCCGCCCCTCCTCACCACGCCGCCCGCCAGCTCCTGCGCCAGCGACTGCGCGCGGGACCAGGTCCGGAGGCTGCGCAAGTAGCACACCTGGTTGGCGGCGGCGGTGTCGGGGTCGGGACCGAAGGCCGCCGCCACCGCCGCAGCAGCAGCGCGCGTCAGCGCCGCCGCCACGGCTCCATCAGACGCAGCTGCCGGGCTCGCGTCTGACGCCGCCTCTGCCTCTGCTGACATCAGCTTCCTGCCGTATTCTGTAAAATCCTCTTCTGTAGGTGATGCCGGAAGCGAGGGTGATGGCGGCGGAGCCGCGAAGGCATCTGCCGGCTGGGTCCTCGCCACCACATAATCCGCCAGCAATGCGCTCACAGCATCCATGTAGGTCGAAGCCCCAGGTACGGAAAGGGGAAGGACAAGGTTTCGGAGCGACATGACGCTGCCGTACGCCGCAAGCGCGGCGGCAGCATCATCTGGGTGGTATCCGGCGCTGACCCATGGGTCGGTGGCTAGGTGCGAGTAGCGGAAGGGGTTGGCATCTGCGGGGGAGGCGAATATCCTTCAGCGCAAGAGCGATTTACCATACACACGAGGAGGAAGGACAAGCAAGCTACCGATGTTCTGGCGATCCCCATTCTTTGAGGAATTGACCACCACCAAGCCCAAGTTCCGCCCCTCTGCGCAACCACCACCACCTCCCTAACCACCTGAGGAGGGGTCCAGCACATCCTGCAGCGCCCAGGGCTCCGCTAGCCGCGAGGACACCGCCGCGTACGCCAGCAACTGCCGTACCGGGTCCGCCCCTGCGCCACCCGCCACCACTGCCGCCGCCGTCACAGACACCAACTGCGCACGATTGACCAGCAGCGATGAGGCCGAGGATGCGGCAAGCGTACTGCTGCTGTTGTTGCTAAGGGCGCCGGGTGCTTCCTGGGTGATGGCCGCCGCCTCCAGGGCCACCGCAGCGGCGGCGGCGGCTGCATCCTGCGGCAGCCTCAGCGGCTCCGCTAGCGGGCAGGTGGCGGCACGGCACCAGCTGAGCGAGTCGTTAGCCAGGCGCCAGGTGGCGGAGGCGCCGGGCAGCGGGGAGGCGCCCAGCTGGCCCCACAGCGGCAGCGGGGGAGCCGCTGCTGCTGGTGATGGCGGCGTGTCAAACATTGCAGCAGCCCTTGCTGCCGCTAAGGCCTTAAGCACGGACAGCCCAGGCGCAATTGCAAAGCCGCAACGACCCTTCAAGAAGAGCTGCAGTGGGTCGTTAAAAAGTGAGCTGCTGCTGCCGGCGGCGTTGGCGCTTGCGTCCGTACAATTCTCCGCCGCTGCCGCCGCCGTTGCCGTCTCCGGCGGCCCTAGGTCCCTGAGCGCCGCGGTGAGCTTCAGCGCCCGCCGCATGGCCGCCCCGTGCAGCCAGGGCCGCATGCTGCCGTCCTGCGAGAACCACACGCCCTGCCGCGGCCCTGCTGTCTGCGTGTGCGCCGCCCACACGTCCAGCAGCAATCGCAGCGGTAGCGGCGGCGGGGCACGCGGGCAGGCGGGGCGCAGCGGCGGCGGAGAGGGCGCCACCAGGCACACGCCGAAGTCGGGGGAGCCGTCGCCGTCCAGGTCCTGCGGCCGGGGGGGAGGTGCAAGGTTACAGCACTCGGAAAGCTGGGAACACGCAACACGGCGACATGGGGCAGTCCGCAATGACGTCTTTCAGGAAGTATTGCAGAGTGGATTGGAAGGGTGAAGGGAAGAGAATTGAGGAAAAGGAAAGAGATAAGAAGGGAGGAGAAGACCTCTCATCCAAACGCAGAAAGCCCCTCACCCGGCCATGCAAGCGCGCCGCCGCCGCCAGCAGCTGCTGCCACGTCTGCGGCGGCGCTATGTCGTGTGCCGCAAGCACCCGCCGGTTGTAGTACAGCAGCTGCGCGCTGAGCTGCAGCGGCAAGCCGTACGACCTGCCACCCATGCGGTACAGGCTGTACTGGAAGGCCGGCAGCAGGCCGCTCCACTGCACCGCCGCGTCCCGCCGCACCAGCGAGGTGAGGTCCAGCCCGGTGCGGGAGGTCGTCACCGCGCCAACCTCCTCGCCGCTCATTATCCAGGCGTCAGGAGGCAGCGAGGAGGAGGAGGAGGATGGGGAGGCGGGTGGTGACGGGGGCTGCGGCAGGTCGGGTGGGCTGGCGTCGACGGCAGCATCAGCAGCGGAAAGCCGCCTCAGCAGCCGTCGGGAGCTGCCGCTGATGCCGTCAGCCGCACCGGCCTGCTCGCTGCTGCCGGTGCCCTCACCGTTGCTGGTGTCAGCGATACCGGCGGTGCTGCTGCTGGCGGCGGTGCTGCTGGTGCCGCCCGGATCGCCGTCGTATTCGATGCCTCCAACGTCCACGAACTGCGCCTGGATTGTCGGGTGTGCGGAGGTGTGAGAAACCGGGAAGGAGGGTCCCATTAGGATTGGCTGGGCACGACAAAGGTCTCCCAAACTGCGCACTTTGCTATTGCTATTGCCGTACGACTCACCGTGCCGTACCAAACATATACGGGCTTCGACGGTAAGGCTGGGCCCTGCGCAACGCTGACGACGACGGGCCATGGGGAGGGAGTGCCCGTGCCCATGTCCTGCCCGACTGTCACCGACTGATTCTGCACAGCCGCCGCCCCTCCCGCGCCGCCGCTGCTGCTGTCGCTGCTGTTGCCAGCACCGCTAATGGCAGCGGCTGGAGGGGGTCTGGCCACCGGGACCTCGGCCGGGGTGAGGTGCCGCAGCGCCCAGGCAGCGGGTGCGCCCTCGCTGGCAATAAACCGCAGGTAGGGCAGCTGCAGGCGGGGTGGCGGGCAGGCAGTGCAGAAGGTGGGAATGCAAGAAGTGATGAGTGGGGACAACAAAAGTTGTTGGTGTGGCATGCAGGGGGCTGTTGCGCCGTTTTCTGCAACCGGGGCCAAGTTAGGGAGCCAGCCATCTATGTAGCTGCTCTGACACCGACAGGGGCGATGGAGGCTCTGACGACTGCATGACGGGTTGCTTATCAGTAGAAGGCGGCAGGTACCGTATGCGTGATACCATTTAGTGTTGTCTTTCCTCGTCATGCCTTGCCCGTACGATCCCCCCACCTGTCCCCGCCATGTAGCATCGGAGCGGGCGCACTCCGCCACCCAGGCTGCTATCAGCGTGCGGTCGACGCACTTGGGGCCTGCACTGGTGGGGCACCTGCGATCAAGTAAGCGGTTTACGCTAAATGGTCGCAACTTGCGTCTCCAGTGTGGGCCGCTCTGCTGCCGTGTAACCTTACCGTGCGGCGCCTGCAAGACAATACAGCCACGATGGGGCTGTGGATGCATTCTGTCCGCTTACTGGTGTTAGCGCGCACAAGAGGAGCGCCATTGTGGCGATGTACGCTGCAACACGGTAACGCGGCGGACCTCCGTTGTCAGCATGGCTGTTCTGTTGCCTCCGTTGGCCGCAACGCTGCAATATTAAAGGAACAAGGATAAGATAAAAGTACATTGGTGGAATGACTTTACGAGTTGTGCTGCCTGGTTGCCGCTTTGAACAACCATTCCATCGGTTTGCCTTTACGCGAACGGCTAGTAAGTAAAGTAATGTGTGCAACGCACCGCCAGGGATGCAGAATGTAACATAGATACATTCCAACAAAGACTGCGCTCGGTAGCGTGTCCCCTTGCAGTTCCACGTAGCTAGAGGCGGATGCCCGACTCGCGAGTCTTCGTCCAAGTTAGGTTGAGCACAAGGCGAGTTCTCGTTTAATTAATTACAACATGAATCAATGAGTATTTAGGTGAGTAATGGCTGACATCGATTGCAGAAACTACATGGACGACGCACGCTCCGAGCGGTCCAGCAAGCAAAGAGGAAACAGAATCAGGCGCAATACGAGTGTTGAATGATGTAAAGCCGGCTGTTGTGCCTGGTCTGATGCTCTTCAAAGGGTATCAAAATATTCCTCCTGTGCCAGTACGATGTCCGCAAACGGGACTTCTTAGGGTTTCTACGTCCAGCAATTTCTGTTTACAGAAAGATAAGCATATTGAACGTTATTGGAGAACTGTGGGCGAGATTAATTACCTTTGGGGCATTAGTCAGCTCCTCAAACTCCCAACTCCCGCCTTGCAGGAGAGTCGCTTAAGAATGATGCTTAATAATAGTTATACATTCACTTGGGACTACCTAGGTTCTTCAGATTTCAAACGGGTGTTAATGCAAACGGCCTATCTACTTGCTCAGACTGTCGCCAGTGCCGCTCCTAAAATGCAGTTTCGCTTCGCCCACATGTGTAAGCCATGTACCGCTTAAGCAGACGCTTGATCATTCCTGGCGGCCTTGTCTTTGCCCATGGATGGCATTTCGGGTGGAAGCTTCTTTCGTGTTAGAGGTTTGCCCGGTAAGCCATCAGTACTCCCAAGAGCTTCGAGTTACTTTTGAGATGGCCGTGGTTTCGTGCCTACCGGTCGGTTTCAGGTGCCTTTGCTAACCTTTGACATCGCCCTATTGACGTCGTCGCCTAAGTACCGACCCGTATGCATGGCATCCTAGCACGCTTCACACAGGAGCAACTACCAAAGGCTAGACATGTACGCAGCCATGTTTGTACATGTTCATAGCCGTTGAAAGCTAATACTCCTGCTTCTGGAGTTTCCGTGAGGACATCATCCTCCGGCATTCAAGTACGTTCCGGCTCGCGGCCGGCGATCTTAACATACTAACCAAACTTCATTCCAGCACTCATGGCCCCATACCCATCCGAGTAACCAATCAGTCATCGCCGCAAGCCGAGTCACGGTGTTGTGGCGGAATTACCCCATGTAGCCGTACAGCGCCCGACTACCGTACATCCTGCTCAGCCTGTGCGGGCCTTAGGTGCGCCCCCCCGAACAGTTCCCCGCCCTGTCCGTTGAACCACGCCGTTCACACTAAGACAGTCCTCTGTTCGTACATCCAATCGAACGCAGCGCATGTGCCTGGGGTCTGCGCCCTGGTACGTATGCGGCGGTCGAACACCACGAAACGCAACATCAAAGCCCCAAAGGCGCAACACGCTACATGCATTCCAGGCTGGCTGGCTGGCTGGCAATGCAGTCCACATCCCGGCAGGTGTGGCATGCCTTGTTTGATTAAAGTACAGGTCCCCAGTTAGCCCAGTATTTGTTACTTAGAAGCGGCAGGAGAGCAGCGACTATAGCTCTCTAAGTTAGATTCTATACGGCAGTCGTACAGCTCGTCCTTCTCGCTGTCTCTTAAGGTCTGACAGCTCCATAGTTCGGCATTCTGCCTTCACTATTGGAGCTTTGTTGCTCGTGACTTCCCCCCGCCCTCCCTGACCAGTGTCTTCCGCGTTAAGCCATGCTCGGCCCAGGTTCAATGGCGCGACAGCACACGAGAGGCTGGGGAGCAGCGGCGGGCAACATGAGTGTAGCGTCATCCACGCCGCCTATGGAGGCGGCGGGAGCTATGAACGCTTGTTAGGCGGGGCCTGGGTTGTCACATGGGCTGTAGGGCTTGAGCGCCGCTGGCGTGCTTCGGGTTTCCCTTTGGGAATGGCTGGGACTTCAGCGTGTCGGGTTTAGTTTGCTTGCGCCTGGGGGTTTTCAACGGCCGGGTGGCCGCTTCGGACAGCGCTTTGGCGCTTACTACGCCCGCGGGCGTCTTTGTTTTCCGTTGTGCAGCGGGTGCAGGTGCACGCCGCTGCACTAAGCCGTGTGCTGTCGCGAGCAGCAGCTCCACCAATAGTGTGTAAGGCCCAATCCAATCCATTGCCGTGTCTCCTGCCCCAACCGCAATTCAGCTTTTGACTAGCTCCCCGGCTGCCGACTGCAAGAGCTGTTAAGACTATAGTATAGAATCGCCAGTATGCACACCCACGTCAAACTATGTGAACCATGCGCTCTCACAGCATGTGGCAAAACTCCTCCGCAATTGAGGACAACTTGCCAACTTGCACCCTACACTAGCATTCTCCATAGGCCAGCATAACACGAAAACGTCTGCAGTTCGGACTTAATGCCTGATGCGCTGTTCTGGCTTTCGACATTAGCGTACTGTATTGGCGCACCCTGCAGTACATGCGGGTCTTAAAAGTACGGTAGCAACGCCTCTCAATGGCGTGCTATGCTTGCCTGTACGGCACATTACTCCATGCTTTCCTTTGGCATACTGCTTTGCGGCAGTCACTCTCTGATAGCCCTCACACCACATACCAGACCACACCCATACGCCTTACTAGATGCAACGATGCCAACATGCAGCAAAGGCGCATGCAGGCTAAGGGATGCTACAATGCAACAGAGCACATCGACTAGACTTACCCATCCAACGCAACAGGTATGCATATGCACCCAGAGCCGACAGCATGCACGTGCAACCAGCGTTCATGCCCTCCACATCCAGCAGGCGGCAGCGCACCCTTTCAAAGCAGGATGGGCAGGCAGCAGCCGCACCGCAGGGTTGCTGGCTAGTTGCCGCTCTGCTCGATGAAGACGTCGATGACGTCACCATCTTTCAAACGCAGATCACACGCGCGCTGCCCAGGTAGAACGCGATACGCGTCAAATATGTATCTGAGGCATGCAGGGTCGAGCCCTTCAAACCGCGCAAAGGCATCGAAAACCCTCCCCAACGGCAAGCGGCGGGCCACGGTGAAATGGCCCGCCACATCCCTGTATGACTATGTTAACCCGGTCCGCGGCAGCCCCTTGCTGTATTTGGTGCGGCTGTTGCTGCTGCTGCTGAAGGGAAATTTGTTGCGGTGTGAGCAGCGATGGAGGTGCTGCCATGGCTGCCCAGGGGGACGGATGCAAGCCAGCACTGGGTGTTGGCCCCGGCCCACACTGTTGGACAGCAGGCTGAGCCGGCTCGGCACACGGTCCTGCAGGCACCGGTGCTGCGGCTGCGGTCCCCGGCTGCGTCCCCGGCTCAACCTTTACCGGTGCGCTTGTGCCCAGGCCTTGCATCGCCCTGCCTTCCAGCCCCACAGCCGGCGCGGCATGTGCGCAGGGCTGTAGTGCCGCCGCCGGTGCCCCAGCCACTGGCGCTGACTGCTCGCTAGCACCGCGGACCCCTCCCGCCCCGGATCCCTTGGCAGCGGAGCCTGCCGGCTCCGCCCACGGCCCCAGTGCCCCCTGTATTGGCGCTGTGGCACCCGTTTCCTGCTTCATTGCTGCGCCAGGGAAACCCCCCGATGGCCTGCCCGCTTGGCTCGGATCCGGCGCCGCATGCGCACAGGCCACCGCCGCCCCTGCCATGGGTGCTGGCTGCCTGCATCCGCCGGGCGCCGATCCCAGCCGGCACCGCTTGGCAGCAGGTTCCGCCGGCTCCGCCCAGCCTTTGCTGCTAACCCGCTCACGGCCCGCCCCACTGGCCCCGCAGCTTGTACCGCAGCCGGCTGCTCCGACCCAAGCAGGAGTTCTGAAGCGCGCAGGGCTGCCTCTCGGATCAGCGCCCGAATCCCGTCCGGGGGGCCCGCGCCCGCAGCCTGGAGTGCCGCTTGGTGGCTGTGTGAAGATGGAGATGCGCTGCTGGCAAACAGCAACCAACCGGCAGCGTAGAACTAGCTCTTGGTCGCGCTGCGCCTGACTACCCCTGCCTACACCGTGCAATGCCTGGGTCTCCGTGCCCTTCCCCGTGCAGTACCTGTCTGCCCTTCCACGTGCGGCGCCAGCCTCCCCAGCTTCCCTATGCCGCGTCTGGTTTTCCCGCTGACGAGGATTTGCGTTCCCAACTGGTTGCGTCCAGCTGCCGCCCTAAAAGGCTACTTGCTCACAGCACTGAACCCCGCATTGTCAGTGGACTGCCTGTGCTTTCTCGGTGACACCATGCGTGTGGGGGTGGCTTGGTTGGCTTGTTAGTAGTTACGTTGTGGCAGTCGAGGCCGGTGGGGTATACAAGGCATGAAGGCAGGCAGGTGGGGTGGCGATGAGCAGTGTTTCAGGGTCCGCTATCCACAAGGTACCGCTGGTAGTGCCCTTGTTTGGGTTGGTGGTTCCTGGCTTCGTGTGCATTAGGGCGTTCCAAATGCTTTGCTGCAGCGGATTCATGCATGGTCTTGGGAGTACAGGCTTGTGGGTTGCATCTATGACTCGTTACGACGGAGTTGCAAAGCCGTTGCTTTCATGTGTGGACGTTGACGCCTCCATCCGGGGCTCTGCGTGTGCCTCCCGTAACTCTTTGGCTTTGACCTCGAGCCCCAGTACCGAGTAACCAGAAGCCGCCGCAGAGAGGTTTCTGTCTACAGCCCCTTTGCCGCATGCAGGGCGCTGTGCAGCCAGGTTTTACTCGTTGAGACGTGGCAAGCAAAGGGCGTTCATCCTGCGCATAACGAACAGAGACCCACGGGTCGCTTCTTGGGTTCCATGGGCAGCGAGTAATGCAGGTTGGTCATCACGCGTTCCGCCTGCACGGCCCGCACCCATATGTTTGGGCTTCCATGGAAGTCAATGCGAGCTAGAAGACACCTGAACGAGTGGCGAGGCCGGGCTACAACATGTGTTATGGGCCGCTCTGGTCATACCTCGTGCGATGACATGTGTTTGGAAGGGGAATAGGGAATGAAACTGCGAAACATAGGTACCGGTATTCTGCAGTCCAAGGACGCCGCCAACAGTGTACGTGTTGTGCCCCCCGCATGCTTGCTGCGGGCTTGCAGGCAGTCAAATGCACACGAACTGGGCCATGCTGCACGCCCGCTGTGCTCTTGAGCATCCAGCATACAGACATGCAGAAGCACTGGACACAGGAACACCACCACGACCAACAGCAATGGTGGTACGATAGCCAATCCAACGTCAGCATCGCATAGACTGCAACCTCCAAAACCTTCGGGCTACAGCTCTTACTTAAAACACACCCTCCGCCAACACCTCGGGACTCATGCGTCATGCCCCCCGATTTCCCCACGCCGGCATGATGTGATCATCCGCCACGTGCGTACATGCGTACACCTGCGTTGATCACTGTGGCCCACAATATATGCTCGCTTCTTTGCAAACACCTACAGACGAGAGGCAGGGAAGCCTCACAAGCGACAACGCGATTGGAAGAAAAGCAAAACATGAAAACCGAAGGGCACCAAAACACCGGGAAACTCAACAAGACTCGCTCCGGCGAAAAGAACAACCCTGCCTGGACTGCCTGTGCATCTAGATAGCCCTTGTACGTTGACATTCTGAGGCGGCCCCTGGCACATCGTGGTTAGGGCAGGCGCTTCACGGCTGTGTCTGCATCGCGCCAAGAAAGCTAGGTAGAGCTGCATGTAAATCAACGACACGACAGATACGCGACCCTGCTAGACCCCTGTCCATTCCCCCCCAGCGTTGTAGGCAGCACAACCGAGCTGCGCTGCAGGCCGCCGATACTCAGACGAACTAGCTGCCCGTTTGCTCGCAGAAGGCATCTATGATGTCGCCATCCATTAAGCCGGCCTCCGCAACGGTATCGTTTGGATCGAGCTTGTGTCCATCGAAGACGAACCTGTAATGGTCCTTTGCAACCCCTCTCACCCGTGCGAACGCTTCAATCATTTTGTAGAAACGAGTTCCCGGCTTGACTTTGAATTCCACACGACCGACACAGCATTTTACATCTATAGTTATGCACTCTGGCGGTGGCTGCGGCTGTGTTGGCGGCTGCGCCAAGGGCTGCAGCGCTACTGCCGGCGCTGCTGTTGCTGGCTGCTGCTGTGCACCGCAGGGCCCTGCTGGGTCATTCCTAAGCCGCTTTGCAGCTGCCAGCGCTGCTGTTGCCGGCCCTCCCTGGTCGCCGGCCCGCTGGACGTTCCCCACCGCTCCTGGCTCTCGCTCCGCCGCCGGCACTGCGGAGCTGGGTATGGCTGCTGGAGCGGCTTGGGGAGCCCCGTCAGCATTCGGGTCCCTTGCCAATGCACTGCCGGGGTCAGCGGGCTGTGCCTGGGGACGCCCCGCAGCGCCTGCATCCACACCTGCACCTCCTTCAGCAGCCGCGCCCGCGCCTCCCCCCACCCCCAGGTGCCTTCCGTTGACGGACCTGGGGTGCGTGTGCTCGAACAGCTCCATGAGCTCCGTGGCGTGCATGGCGCGAGGGCGGCGGCTGCCCTCCGGCGGCCTGCACGCCGCCTCCCGCAGAATGGCCTCCGGGTCCACCAGGGCGGAGGGCCGGCAGCACAGCTCGAACGTCACACTCACCCGCCCAGCCGCGTCTGAGCAGGGCAGCACGCGGTGCAGGACGGGCTGCAGCAGGCCGCCCAGGGCGTACGACAAGCTGTAGCCCGCCAGTACGGCCACCCGCCCCGGGCCCAGCGGCACGTCCACCCAGCCTCCCTCGGCGCCGCTGCCCCGCTGCTGCACCTGCAGCCCCCGGACCTGGTTGCTGGCCACCAGCGTCAGCACGCCGCGGTCGTGGTGCGGGGCGAAGGCAAGCGAGTCGGCGGGCGCGTCGGGGCTGTACCGGTGCGCACGCAGGACGCTCGCGCTGGGCTGGCCCCGCGCCAGGCAGGCGTCCTCCAGCAGGCCCTCCAGTACGGCAGGGTGCAGGCCCAGGTCGGGACTGCGGCACATGCGGCGCAGGACGGTGCGCAGGATGGCCTCCAGCGGGATGATGGCCTGTGGTTCGAAGGACAAAGTTATTAGGAGGAAAAAACGGTGCAGGGCGGGCAAGACCGACGACGAATAGCTCGAGCACTGGACTGTGTCCTATGCCGCTATGTTGCTTCAGATCTGATCTGGTTAGAAACAGAGTGCTTCATTCGGCAGCTCCGGCGGCTGGAAACGGCATACCTTTTCAAACGCTTTCGTTCCTTGTACCGGTATGCCTTGGTTAGCATAGTAGAAAAGTGCATGGAGAGCACCTCTTTGCCAGCAAGCCGTGCATAGCCCTCGCCAGGGATGAAGCTACTGGCAGAAAGTTTGCTCGATTGGCTAGATCCAAAGAATTCGCCCGCGGACCGCAACACATGCTGTAGGCTTTTGGACTCATCTTCTGCGACTTCGACGACCACCAGACCCTGGTGTATCAGGGCCCTATATATACAGCTACAGTGTTCATGGTAAGCATTATTGTCGTCTGTGCTACTGAGCAGCGGTTGTCCTCCAGCCGTCTCGCATCCTTGGCGTAAGGCCACGACCGGAACAAGCATCTCCGGTTGCTGATGTCTACGCCTATTAACTGAAAGACGGTAAAGCAATCTGTTGTGCCCATCATCGTCCGCAAGGCTGTGATGGCCGTGCTGTGATTGTACGACGGCATGGCGCAGCAGAATATGCATCCCGGTAAATACCATACCTAGAATATGGACCACGCCTGACCGGGCGACTATTTATCGCAGGGGCTGCTGTCAAGGCCCGTGGTCAGGGCCGTGCTGAAATTAAACGGCAATAAGACTTAGCCAAATGTGCACCTAAGCAACTCGGTCAACCGCATTGATGGAAGGGCTGCACTGCGTGCACTCTGGAACCGTAAGCCCCAGTAACCCTTGGGCTCCTCTGTACAAGCGTTGCAAGGCAACAGCATGCGACCAGGCCCAGTGCTCCACCAAACGCACCGGTCGCCATAGCCCACCTCCTTAAACCTCGTGCACGCCTCCAGTCGCACTTAGCCGAAGCGAACATAACCAGATGACTCTCTCCAGAGCGGTTGGGCACCAAAGACCAAACCACCTCAGCACGGGATCCGCGCCTCCGTCAGCGCCTCGCCTCGGACCTCTTCTCCCCTGCCACAAGAAAGGGACATCACTAATTTCGCCTCACGGTTGCACAAGCCCAAAGCCATAGTCATATAGGACCTCGAGTGGAGGCAGCAACTGTACAGCAACTAGCTTTCCGGCCTCACACAAGAGGCCTTTCATGAAGACACCAATAAAGGAGGCGTCATGCACACATCCACTGTACAGCCAGAACGAAGTACTCGACTATGGCATCGGCGCCAGCCAAACGACCAAGCACTGGCACTGAATGCACCCCTCATGCACTACCGTGTTAACGACCTCGCGTTACACCCTGTGTCCGGCTTGCATGCAACTACAGACCAGTCCTCTATGATCCAACTTGGGTATGATAGCAAGATCACCCCTTGCGTTTACGGCGCGTCACAAAAATTTACATGAATAAACATTAAATAACAGCTAGCCATGCAGGGCCGTGTGCGAGCGTTTTCCTGTTTTCCTTGCAGGATGTAATAGCCCTCTCCGCACACGGTGTTGTGCGACGTCGGGCACCCTTGGTTCGTCCACCCAAGCACGGCCGCCATGTGGCCAACCTAAACCCAAAACAAATCTTCGGGGTGCCCAACAAACATGTCAGGGGTGCACTATGGTGCACACATGTCATAGCGCCTGGAGATACGTCTGTAGGCCAGGAGTTACCACATGCCTGCTGCACCGGTAGCAGCTGCTTACGTTGCTTGCACGGCGACAGAAGACACACCTGAAGTACGTTGTCCAAGCCCATGACCGCGGAGAAAGTCCTATCCAGGATACGTGCGGAAATCTGTGTGCCGACGTGACCTAAGCAGTAACCGCTTAGCGCTGCACTCTCCTAACGAGGAGGAGATTGCATTCCCATTGGACAAAGCGTCCAAAGCGACAGCGCCCACATACCGGTATGCTCTGACAGTAGAGCAGCCGAATCCCTCGCACCCAGGCTGCTCGGCATGGCTTGCAAACTAGTTGGCACGATTCCTGCAGCCTATCTCCGCAGCCGCACGCAAGATGCCTCAACGATATCGCCGTCTTGCAACCCCAGCACGGAGACCGTCTCAGAACCGCCTAACTGTGCGCCGTTCCAGACAAAGGCAAGATCAGCAACGTTTAGCTTTTTCTTTTGTGCGTAGGCGTCCATGATCCGTCCAAACCGTTGGTGGGGCTTCACCTCGAACCACGTCTTCTTGCCTCCGACGAGCCTAACGGCTATGTTCATAGCCTCTCCACCAGCCGCCTGGCATGGCTGCTGTGAAGAAAAGGCATTAGCGCATCCTGCATCCCCATCCAACGGCGGGGCCGGCTTGTTTCGGAGGGCTGGTGGGGCGCCGTCTGGCTCCGGCTCACACCTTCTGCGCTTGGCGGCGGACGCCGGCTCTGCCACCCCCTCCCCTGTCTGTGATGAGTCAGCCGGGGTATCAACGGCGGACGCGCATGCCTGGGGAGGCCTAGCGAAGCCAGCCACCCCAGCCGCAGAACCCCCTGGACCGGCGCCCACGCCTCCGACCTCGCCCGCGCCTCCCCCCACCCCCAGGTGCCTTCCGTTGACGGATCTGGGGTGCGTGTGCTCGAACAGCTCCATGAGCTCCGTGGCGTGCATCGCGCGAGGGCGGCGGCTGCCCTCCGGCGGCCTGCACGCCGCCTCCCGCAGAATGGCCTCCGGGTCCACCAGGGCGGAGGGCCGGCAGCACAGCTCGAACGTCACACTCACCCGCCCAGCCGCGTCTGAGCAGGGCAGCACGCGGTGCAGGACGGGCTGCAGCAGGCCGCCCAGGGCGTACGACAAGCTGTAGCCCGCCAGTACGGCCACCCGCCCCGGGCCCAGCGGCACGTCCACCCAGCCTCCCTCGGCGCCGCTGCCGCGCTGCTGCACCTGCAGCCCCCGGACCTGGTTGCTGGCCACCAGCGTCAGCACGCCGCGGTCGTGGTGCGGGGCGAAGGCAAGCGAGTCGGCGGGCGCGTCGGGGCTGTACCGGTGCGCACGCAGGACGCTAGCGCTGGGCTGGCCCCGCGCCAGGCAGGCGTCCTCCAGCAGGCCCTCCAGTACGGCAGGGTGCAGGCCCAGGTCGGGACTGCGGCACATGCGGCGCAGGACGGTGCGCAGGATGGCCTCCAGCGGGATGATGGCCTGTGGTTCGAAGGAAAGAGCTATTGGGAGGCGTCGATGCATGGCTGGCATGTCATAGGACGAATTCAGCTCAAAATCCTATATGGCGTCAGGTCTAAACGGCTGCCTAAGAAGCTAGTTGTCTGTTTGGAAATGCGCACCTGTGCAATTGCCGCCAGTCCTTGTTGGCCATGGTTAATGCCTAGGCGCACGGAGAGCACTTCCTGACCAGACAGCCGCGCGTAACCCTCTCCCGGGATGTAGCTACTGGCAGAGAGCTTGTTCGGTTGGCTGGAGTTAAAGAAATCAACCGCTGACCGCAACGCATACTGACAACTTTTGAACTCATCTTGTGTAACTTCAACGACCACCACTCCCTGGTTTACCAGGGCATCGCAGATAATATTACAGTGTTCACGGTAAGCATCTATGTCGTCTTTGCAATTTAACAGCATCTGCCCTTCAAATATCTCGCATCCTTGGCGTAATGCCACGACCGGAACGGACATCTCCAGTTGCTGGCCTCGGTGCCTACTTGCAAGTGAAGGACGGTAAAGCAAATGAAATGAAAATTGAAATTGAAATTCCCTTCGTTGATAGGCTGAGAATGCGAAAGTTACAAGGGGGACCGGAGTTCCTGAAAGCCTGAGAGCCGTACAAGAGACCCAATCGCTAGCGGTACACGCTAGGCAGCCGCAACAAAGCAACCTACCCCAGGGACATGCCTTGCAAAAAACAAGGAGCCATGCCAGACACAGAACCACCTGAAACCAAGCCCGCAAGGCCACAGCTCCACAAACACCAAGCCCACGAGGGGGAAACAGCACTCAGGCGAAGCCCGCGACAGAAGCAACAAATTATTGTACAGAGCAACTGCCAAGCTGCTGCGTTGTGTCACAGCAGTGCCCAACTGTCACCAAGTCTGTCGACAACGGCGTGAGCCGAAGGTAAGAGCACCCATAGGGGATGTCAATGGCAAAACAATCCAGGGTCAGGGGGAGGCCGGCGGGGACGCAGTATCAGGCGGGCCAACAAACCGTACACGGCCAGCCGCATTTGCAAGGAAAGGGTGAATAGGGGGAACACAGTCCCAGCCGCGGGGAGGCACACCTAAGACAGCAAAGGACTGGAGGCGGGACCAGAAATCAGCAACAACACGAGCACCCAGCACAACAAGGGACCGTCTGGGGAGGGGGGGTCCGGCCACTGTTGTCAGCATACAACCACCTACGGGCCTGTTCAAGAGCCGAAAGAGCGGCCAGCGCCACGACATCCCACACACAACCATGCACACCGTCTGGAGGTTGGACTAACCACAAATGTTGCCTAGTAAATGCACTATCGAGTGAGCCCACGGGTGCACCTAAGGCCTCGCCCAGGGCCTCACGAAGGGTACGGGCCACAAAGCACTCCCAAAACAAGTGTAACCGATCTTGTGCCACTCCAAAGGCGACCAGGGGTGCTCCACACGGGCAGGCCAATGAGTGCGAACGGCCCTGCGCAGCTGCCCGGGCGGCATGGCTGGCATGCAGAGGGAAGCCCGCGCAGCCATTGAGGGCGAGCCGCCACAGCGCCTCCTTGTGTTGGTTCTCCCAGCGCAGACGCCACAGCCGCGCCAAGGTAGATCGAAAACCAGCAAGGACGGCAGGGGGGGCGTCGGGGGACCCGCAGGCCTCCGCCACAAAGGTGGAATGCTTAGCATGGAGGTCGCAGTAGGCCGGGGCGAGCTGGAGGTGGGTGCCAAGGCGCACACTGAGGCGAAGCAGGGGGACGGCTGTCGGGAAGGTGGGCGTGGGGCGCCAGGCAAGCGCACGGGCAAGCACCCGCCAGGCCTCGTCGGCCGGCACGGCAGCCGAACCGGCAGCCGCAGCCGTCACCGCAGCAAGCACCCAGGGTTGCGGGACCTGAAGCAGAAGGATGTGGAGGCGCCGGAAGGCGTGCCAGCCCGACAACAGCCGGGGGGGAAACTCCAGACCAGCAGGGAGGGCCAACACTCCACGGAGGACCAGGCGGCGGAAGGCCCTAGTACATTGCCGCAGCAGACGGGGAGAAGGCTGGTCCGCGGGGTTGAGAGCCGCCGTACGGAAGCCGGGGAGGTCCCGAAGGGCAAGCCAGCTCCGAACAGCGACCCCGATGGAGGTGAAGCCGGGAAGGGCGGCAATGTCAGGGAAGGCGGTCTCCAGGCCGGCGCCGTCGGTGGTCAGGAGCGCTGGGTTGCCCCACAAGGGAGCAGAGGAGCACCAGGGACCAGCAAGGGCAGCCGGGTCAGGGATGTGGAGGGTGCCAAGGGGTGCGAGGGCACTGACCAAGGAGCACAGGGCGGGGCAGTCAGCCGGGATGGGGCGGCCCAGGACTGTCCGGCCGGCGTTGGGCATGAGGACGCAGAGGGGGTGGGCTGCGGGATGACATCGGCGTAGCAGAGACAGCGCCACCCGGACCCAGGGAGGAGTAACGGGCAGGAGGCCGCAGGCACCGCTCACAAAGCGCACCGCAGTGGCAGCCTGGCGGGCGCGGACGTGCTGCACCAGGGGGAGGAGCCCAAAGCCGCCAGCAGCAGGAGGCAGTGCAAGGCAGCCGTGGCCGACTCCGGTGAGGCGCTGATGGGGGGCAGTAGCATGCTGGGAAGGTGACAGACGGCGATCGACGACAGCACCAACTGTGCCCTGGAGGCGGGTCAGGGCGCGCTGCGTGGGGAGACCCTGAAACTCCAGGTGATACAAGGTCTTGCTCAGGGCGTAGCCAGAGGCCGCGAAGGCGCGCCCAAACGTGGAGAGAGGCAGGGCGACGACCTTGGCCAGCGCCGCAACCACCCCCTCGAAAGAGACAGGGGAGCGGTCCGCATTGTTGTGGAAGTGGATGCCCAAGGTCTTCGCCGACGCGACCACCCGCGGGATCGGGGCAGCGGGGCCATGGGGCCCAGGGGACAGGCCGGCGGGGGCGAGGAGGGGAGGAGGGGGAGGGCGCAAGAGTGCGGCAGCCACCGAGGCGGCAGCAGGGAGGGCGCCGAGGAGGAGGGAAGCGGCCAGGGAGGGGGGGGAGGCGCGGACAGCCGCGGCGAGCAGGGCGAGGGCGAGGGAGGGGTGGAGGGGGGGAGGAGGCGGGGGAGGAGGGGGCGGTGGAGGTGGAGGAGGAAGCGGAGGCGGGTGGGTACCAAGCAGCAAGAGCTCGGTCTTGTCCACATTGAGGCGCTGTCCAGAAGCGGCCCGAAAGACCTCCATGGCGGCGAGGAAGCGGGGAAGGTCGGCGAGGCTGGCCAGGAAGGGAGTACAGTCGTCGGCATACTGGGATGCGCGGACCTCGGGGCCGGGAGGTGCTGGCAGGCCGCTAGATGGGGTAGGGCCCGAGACCTGGAGGCCAATACCTTGCTGCGTAAGCCAGCAGAGCAGGGCCTGGCCCACGGCAAGGTAAAGGAGGGGAGCCAAAGGGCAGCCCTGGCGGACACCGGAGATGATGGGGACCCTGCCAGAGCAGTGGCCGTTGACAAGGGCAACCGCTGCAGTGTCGGTATGGAGGCGCTGCACCCACTGGAGGAAGCCCGGCCCGACACCGAGGGCCTCGAGGCAGGCGAAGAGGAAGTCCCTGTCAACTGTGTCGTAGGCCTTGTAGAAGTCCAGGAAGACAGCAACACCAGGGCGGCGCTCCGTGCGGAGGAGCTCGGGCAGAAGTTGGAGCAGAAGGATATTGTCTGCAATGCGTCGGGACTGCAGGAACGCCGTCTGGGAGGGGTCAATGACGTCCCCAAAGACCGGCAGGAGGCGCTTCGCCAGGACGCGGGCAAGGGTGCGGTAGTCGGTGTCAAGGAGGGTGATGGGACGGTAGTTAGCAGGCAGCGTGGGGTCGCCAGCCTTGAAGAGGGAGGAGATGACACCGTCCAGGAGGCCACGGGGAGTCGTGCCAGTGGTCCCGATTGCAGAGAAGACGCGGGCCAGGAGGGGCGCAAAGGTGCTGGAGAACTCCTTGTACAGCTCCACAGGCAGGCCATCGGCTCCCGGGGCACGGCCGGAGGGGGAGGAGGAGAGAGCCGTCAGGACTTCGGCAGTGCTGACCTCAGCCGAGCCGAGGGCAGCAACCGTCCCCTCAGGACAGCGACGACTGTGCGAGCGAAGGGCCGCCAGGATACGCTCGCGGGCGGCCAGAGTGGATGGGGAGGGGGCGGCGGGCGTGCAGATGTCCCGCCAGAAGGCAGCCATGACGCGGGGCATCTCCAGGGGGTCCGCTGTGGCAGCCCCGGTGGGGCCTTGCAGGGCGGGAATCGGCCGGCAGGCAGTGGGAGGGCGGAGGAGGGCGGATAGGCTGAGCCGCTGAGGGACGTGCTGTAATCGTACGGCGGCATGTCGCAGCAGGCTATGCAGTCAGCCAGTTCCTAGGCCCTTCCTTTCTTTGCGGCATGGCATGAAAGGCCCTTAGCGTCGTTCAGGCTGCCCTGTAATATCTTCATTCTCTATCATTCTCTCCTCTACCATACCCTCGCTCAACCATTTCTGGGGAAAGCCGGGGGTATGCCGATGGATGCGAGCAGCCCTGCCCACCCCAGTGCTTAAGGCCACACCACAGTCGAGATTTAACCGTATTGTAGGGCCGGGAAGGCCCAAGGGAGCCTTGTTGGTCTTGCTAGACAATTGCAGTGCCCCCAGGAATGTTCAAAGGTGTTAAACAGCAACCAAAGGCAGTGCGGAAACGCAACCACGCAACTGCCAGTGAACAAACCGCACTTTGGCGTCCCAGCAATACGCCGTATACACCTTTACTTGTCGAATTGTGATGCGCTGATGCCACACTTAGCCGTAGTACCAAAAAAGGTTCACGACAGACCCTCGGGTCGTCCAACGCACTCATTAGCCAGGTGCGTCCAAACACGCACTTTAACACCTGAAGTCCGTTAAACTGTCTTACATACCAACCTTGTCAAGCATATAGTTTGCCAAAGCCGGCGTGGCTGTTTACTCTGTCATTACCCGACTTTCCGAAACGTCCAACGGATCACCCCTGGCGTCATCGCTCGCTTTATTGGCGTTGCCGCAATCAGATCTTTCGCGTTTCACACGTTAACATTTTACTCTGTAACTAGAAGGCACTTACGAGTATGCAATGGCAGACGCTATAAACATCGACCAAGACAAGGTGAGGCCAGCACTTGCGCTGACGGAAGCTGACTGCTGGCAGTCTTCCGACAGCCGCTTTGAAGCTGCTAAGACGCTTTCAGCCTCAACTAGGCACACATAAGATGTTCATGAGTGTAGGCCTCCATCCTGCAGATTTATCGCGCTGCTTTGGGCCTCGCGCTTTTTCCTGAGCTTCCGAGCTTCCGCTTTCCAACTCCCGCATCCTTCTCTAGCGCATCAAGCCTCCACCCTGACCCTGAGCCCCAAGCCATCGTTCCGATCCTCACCTCCTCCTCCTCGCCGCCCGCACAGGTAGTCCTGCTGCCCGACAATGAGGTCCAGGAGGGTCTGGTGCTGGCTGGCAAGCTGCCCGCCGCGGCGCTTCACCACGACACCGCGCAGGCCGCCAGAGCGCAGGTAGAGCGGCTGGGGGACACCCGCCCGCACCCCGAGCAGCAGCAACAGGGGCAGCAGCAGCAGCAGTACCCCCGGCGATTCCCGCAGCCCGAGCACCCCTACCAGCAGCAGCTGGCGGCGCTTAAAGCGCAGCAGCAGGGGCAGGTGCAGCAGCACCGGCTGGCTCCGGCTGACAGCGCGCAGCAGCAGCAGCAGCAGCAGCCACCTGTGGGAGGCCCCAGGTAGCGGCGGTGCCGGCGGGCCGCGAGCGATGTGTGCATGGATGGGAGGAGTGGGGAAGGAGAGGGCAGGGTAGTGACGTGGGTGGGGCGTAGGGGCTGTGGCCGGCTGGGTCTGCGGGGGCACGATTGACAGGCGCTCTTATCCCGCTAAAGGTGGCAATACTAAGCCCAGCGCGCCAGCATAGCTACCCTAAACCTTCTCTTCTTTCCCTCAGCCCTGACGTGTTATCCCGCCTCTCCCACCCGCCCCCTCGTCCTGCGCCCCCGCCCGCAGTGCTGACGCGCCCCAACCCGCCCCCTCGGGTCCCGAACTGGAGCAGCCCCAGCCGCAGCCGCACCCCGCATCCCTGACCCAGCAGCCCAACCCCCAGCAGCCCCACCAGCAGCAGCCTCCCTCCGCACCCCAGCCGCCCCAGCAACCCCAGCACCCCCACCCCGATGCCGCCCACCCGCACCTGCCGCAGCTGGGATCCGCCGTGCAGCAAGTACGGCACACCGTCCGGGGTATCATGGAGCGCGTGGAGAAGGTAGGCGGGTGGGGGTGCAGTGGTGCTTGTCGGCACGGAGGGTCCTGCCCTGATTGCTGCGGCTGCACGCCCATGTGCCATGCGGGCCGCACCCGCTACACGGTACACAAGCCGCGTCGACCGCATGCCCGCACCTGCCAGCCACTCTTAACCTGAACCGCTGCCTCGTTCTCCCCCTTCCTGCCCCCCCCCCACACACAGGCCGTCGGAATCCTCCCCGCGGATTCTGCCAGCCACCCGCCCTCCTCCTCCACCTCCGTCCCCGCCCCCGCCGCCCCTCCGGACCCCCACACCGCCCTGCACGTGTCGCCTCCCGCCGTGCCGCTGCCCCCGCACGACCCCGCCGCAGCCGCACGAGAGCGGCAGCTGGCCCAGCAGCGCGCCGAGGCGGCGGAGGCCGAGTCGGCTGCCGTGCTGCTGCACGAGCTGCCCTCGCTGGAGTCCATCCGGGACAGTGCGCGGGGCTACGTGGACGCGCTGCGACACAGCATGAGGGAGCCGGATGAGGCGGCGGCGGAGCTGGCGGGTGAGGAGGGGGAGCGGGGAAGGGAGCAGGGGGTTTGCTGTTTAGGAATGGGTTAGAAGAGGTGAAATGTTGGTGCGGGAAGGTCTGTTCACTGGACTCCTAGCCTGCCGTACTCACGGGCGCCCTTCCCTTTGCCTCCCCCCTGCAGGTCGCATGATTGGCAAGGCCAGCTACGGCCACCCGCACCCGCACCACCCCCACCAGGGCGGCGGACCCGGCCTGCCGGGCAGCGGAGCCGCCAGCCCCCGCGGCGATAGCGGCGCCCCGAGCGGCCAGCAGCAGCAGCAGACCCGCCGCTTCTCCTGGGGCAGCGGCGGCGGCAGCGGCCACCCCAGCCCGGCGGGTTCGCCGTCGTACCGCGGCGGCGGCGGCGAGGGTGGCTTCCCGCTGCAGCAGCGGGCGCCCAGTCCGCCGTACAGCCTGCGACATGCGGTGATGCACACGCCTGAGGCGGCGGCGGAGCTGGCAGGTGGGGGGTGCGGGTTGCGGCGGCTGGTCGACGGGAGGCCAACTAAGGAGGGTCGTGAACGGGAGGGTCGGTGTTGCAAAGCTGTCGTAGGTTTACGTTCGGGTACGGTACCGGCAACTTCAGGTCGTGATGTCCAGATGTCGCTAACCCTTCATAATCCCAATGAAAACCGTTCGACTCGACGGCCTTTATGGTTCATAAGGCTGCGTTGTTGGCCCCCTCCTCCCAACCGCCCTCTTGTCAATTCCCGTGATCCTCTGCCGCTCCTCAGGTCGCATCATCGGTAAGGCCAACTACATGCACCCGCGCCCCCAGCCGCCCCCGCACCCCCAGCCCCCGCCTCAGCCTCCCAGCGGCCAGACGGCAAGCGGCAGCGGCGGCCCCCGGGGCCGGCTGTTTGGCGGCAAGTGGTGACGTGAGCGTGTCAGAAGCGGTTTTGGGGCGGTTGAGGAGTGTGGCGGGGGATGAAGGGGGATAGGCGAACATGAGGCGTGCTGCCTGCGGCTTGCGGGTCGGCGCCGCTTGTTTAGAGCCGCGAAAGCACCTTCTTTACATACATTGCATACAGCGACTGCCCACCGTCTCGCCTCATCCGGGTTCCGCAAAGCAAGCAGCCGTCGACAGCACAACATTCCCCCACATTGCATTGCTGTGTGGCTGGCATGCGGCTGCATGGATTACTGACTGATTACAAGGGTCTCCTGGACGCCTTCTCACGTTTGTAACACCTTTTTGTCCTCCTCCTCCTCCTCCCACCCGCCCCAGGTGGTCCCTCCCCTAAACCGCCGCACCCCGGCAGCTCCCCCGCCTCCGCCTCCGCCTCCGCTACCGCACCCCTGCCGCCGCCCCCACCGGCTGCTGCTGCTGCGGAGGAGGTGGACCCGCCCGGCATGCGCGCCGCCCACGATCCCCAGAGCGGCATGCCCCTGGCCGCACTGCCCAGCCTGGGAGGATTGCTGACGCGCAGCGCGAGCGGCGGCGGCCATCGGCAGCATGGGGAGCAGCATGAGAGGGAGCAGCGTGAGGGGGAGAAGGGACGGCAGGAGGGAGAGGCAGAGAAGGAAAAGGGCCGCGGCGACAGCGGCGGTGGGAAGGGAAAGGCGGGTGCTGCAGGCGATGATATGGACCTGAGCTTTGGATTCTAGGCTGAAGGTTACTTGCTTGTGTAAGGGAAAGTGGACTTGTGTACTTGGGATAGTTGTGGTGCCATGGAGGCGCCGTATGAAGGAGTGCTGATAGTTGAGGGGTGTCGGGTTTGCCTATCCGTGCCCTACTGGCAATGGAGAAGTGCCAACAGACCGGTTTCGACAGTTGAACGTTGCGTGCTGCTGCTCTAGCGACAGTTGTGGTGGTGGTGGTGGTTGATCGTTCGCTGCAATATGTTCCAAAGCCATGGCTGTTAGCTTTGAAGGTTAAGGGTCAGCACCTCAGCAGCCGAGTTGCCGCATGCAACGTCGCATGCGTCTTTACATGTTGAGCAGGGCTCCGCCGCATCGCAGCGGGTGTAATTACTATGTTGCAAGTTCCCGCAATAGCCCGAATCCAGTCGAGTCGAGTACCGGTATCAACAAACACAGCCATCCGTAGCCAAGAAATGCACCGTGAAGTACATGCAACCGTGCATTATAACCCATCTAGCAATCCCCAGCCCACCCGTATGTACCCGCCCGCTATGCCATAGTCCTCCTCCTGCGTTGGCTGGGGGCCGGTCATCACACACGTAGCTAGCACACACGCGCAGTCATGTACACGCGCAAACATAGAAGATCACCCATTCAACGTTCGGGGCGCCAGGCTATCGCATGTTCAGTGAAACTCTATCAGCAAGTCCCCGCTCTAGTATGCGGTACACTAGGAATGGAAAGGGAACGACGTCCCCCGTACCGTACATGAATGCCCAAACCCGACTTATGAAAGAGCGGCATCCGCAGTTATCAATATGCGGAGTACAGAGCCACCGCATCTCAACAAAACGCACACGCAGTACCGACGAAATGTACGGCAACACAGACAATATACGGCGACAACGGTCGCAAGACAGAGGTCACAGATGAACGGTCAGGAAACGCAGCCCGAATGCATTAGGCGGTACGGTAAAGCACTCTGCGGCGCATGTAGGATCCCAAACATTTGATGGGACGCCAATAATCACTACGGCTGTACGGATGGTACGAACGGTACGGCTGGTACAGCGGCCACAATGATGGCTCAGCGCAAACTTGACGCAGCCGGCTGGTAACACCACATCCTGTAACGTGTCCAACGAGTCCAGTGACCTCACATGGCGAAAGGACAAGGACTTGCGTCAACAGCAATGGATCGCGACACGCACGGTCTTATCTAGGGATGTTAGCCGTCAGGTAAGGTAGTTCCACCCACCTGCCGTACACACAGCCATATCGCGGCCAGTTGTTTCACAACACAGCCATTGCAGCATGGTGGGCACCCAGACTGCACCCCTACGCTGCCGGCACGCATGCGCACGGCCACTCACATACGCAGTTCAGCACACGCGCTGGTGACAAATCACAATAACAACCAACACGCTAAACGAAAGAAGCAAAGAAGGATGACTCACGCTTTCTGTTTGCTAAGCCTTCCCCTCATTCGTTGAAGCAACCGCTTCCACACCCTGCTCCCCATGATGAATTCCTTTTCCAACCAACCCGATTTACCACCCCGGCACATACATCGCCCTTTAACCCATGCTGCTCGCCTCAGGGGTTTGGCCAGGTCAGGGCTCAGGGACGCCGGACGCATGAGCTTTCACTCAGGCGGTGCGTGACACGCAGGAAACCCCTTTATCGTGCTGTGGCGATTCTTGATGCACTCCGCCGCACCACCACGCTATGTCCATCACCCGTCCAACCCCAGCAGCAATAAACACACGGTGCCGGCACCCTGCACAACAACGAGCTTATGGCCGCGTACGGCACCCTGTACGACGCCATCCTGCAAATTCATCTAGTACATCCAACTGCTGTGAAGGCTTACACGTCACCCTCACATGTCCTCACACGATGTGAGTCACATCCACTTCTATCCTCTTGCATGTTACGGCATCCACCACGCGCGTGTGTCCACGGGGCAGCACATGGACTTGCCGTCCGCGCTGCCCCCTGAGAAGGTGTACATGCAGCTGGGGCCCGCGCACAGCGCCTGCAGCGTGCCGCAGATGCCCCGCCGCAGCGCGAAACACAGCTGCGAGCTGGCGGCGGCGGAGGCGTCCAGGAAGAGCCGCAGCTTGGCCACCATGTACTGCTGGCCGTCGCGTTCGAAGGTGGTGTAGGCGGGGCTGGAGGCCTTGCCGTTGATGGTTCCGGAGTAAATGGCTTGCATGCAGGCGCCGTCTGGGTGAGGGAGGGGAGGGCGGGGTGGAGGGGGTGGGTGGTGGAGGGATGGGGAGGGGGTGGCGGAGGGAGGTAAAGGGGAGACAGTGTGGTGTAAAGAGGAAGGGAAATGAGGGCGCTTAGCATTGCACAACTCCCCATGCTTCTAGACGGAACCGTGTTCAGGAAGCAAACGCCACCCCACCCCACCCCAACCACGACCTCAACCAAGCTTATGCTGTTGCCCCACCGCTCTTACACCGCCCCTCCCCTCCCCTCCCCCACCCGCCCCCCCCCCGCTCGCTGGAGTGTCAACCTTTCATCAGCAACGCGGACCCGGTATCGGTAGGGAATACTAACCAACCCTTTGTCTTGTGGCACCCAGCCAACTCCTACCCCCATTGTTTTGCCCTAACTTGTGGTCTCCTATGGTTTGATATGGTCTTTGACCCCCCACTCACTTATGAGCAGCTCGATACGGTCCATCATCATGCTGCAGCACACCCCCGTGTCGCAGGCGAGGCTGGTGAAGTTGAAGCAGTAGGTGGTGTCGCCGCCCTCGTTCACGTGCGCAGCCACCAGGTTCAGCCAGTAGGGCTTGCCGGCCTTCTGGCGGCAGCCGTAGAAGGGGAAGGCGGAGCTCTGCTGGCCGCTAGAAGTGGGGCTGGCAGGGGGTGGGGAGGGAGGTGGCGGGGAGGGAGGCGGTGGGGAGGGAGGGGGGAGGGAGGGGGAGCCGGGAGGAGGAGGGCGGGGCTTGCGGGGTGACTTGGGAGAGAGGGGCGGGGAGGGAGCAGGCGGAGGAGGAGGGCGGGGCTTGCGGGGTGGCGGCGGAGGGGGGGATGAGAGGGATGGGGACGGTGGGGAGGGAGAGGGCGGTCGCGGCACGGGAGGGGGTGATGAGGTTGGGCGAGTGGGGGATGGGGGTGGCGGAAGTGGTGGCGGCGGCGGTGGTGGTGAAGGAGGGGACGGCGGTGGCGGTTGCGGCGGCGGAGGGGGCGGCGGTGGGGGAGAGGGTGGGGGAGGGGAGGGTGGGGGAGGGGAGGGAGGCGTTGGCGACGGTGGTGGGGGTGAGGGTGGTGGCGGCGACGGTGGTGGCGGTGAGGGAGGTGGCGGCGACGGTGGTGGCGGTGAGGGAGGTGGCGGCGACGGTGGTGGCGGTGAGGGAGGTGGCGGCGACGGTGGTGGCGGTGATGGAGGTGGCGGCGACGGTGGTGGCGGTGAGGGAGGTGGCGGCGACGGTGGTGGCGGCAAGGGAGGTGGTGGTGACGGCGGAGGCGGCGAGGGAGGTGGCGGCGACGGTGGTGGCGGTGAGGGAGGTGGCGGCGACGGTGGTGGCGGTGAGGGAGGTGGCGGCAAAGGTGGTGGCGGCAAGGGAGGTGGTGGTGACGGCGGAGGCGGTGAGGGAGGCAGCGGTGAAGGCGGGCGAGGTGAGGGAGGTGGAAGCCGCGGTGGTTGTAGCGGCGGCGGCGGCCGGGGTGAGGGTGAGGGTGGCGACGGAGGGGGTGGTGGCGACGGCGGTTTGGGCCGTGGTGGAGGGGATGGGGGTGGAGGCGGCGGTGAGGGGCGCGGCGGCGGCGGTGGTAGAGGCGGCGGTGGGGATGGCGGAGGAGGTGATGGTGGCAGTGGTGGGGAGGGTCGCGGAGGTGGCGGCGGTCGAGGAGGGGGCCGCCGCGGTGACGGCGGCGGCGGAAGTGGAGGCTTGGGCGATGGAGGAGGCGGAGATGGGGGCATCGGCGACGGAGGCGGCGGTGAGGGTGGTAGCGGCGGTGTGGGTGACGGAGGCGGCGGTGACGGAGGCCGCGGAGATGGGGGCATTGGCGAGGGAGGCGGTGGCGATGGTGGATGTGGAGGGCTTGGTGATGGTGGCGGCGAGGGTGGTGGCGGCGACGGTGGCAATGGCGATGGGGGCGGCAGTGACGGAGGGCGTGGAGACGGGGGCGGCGGTGACGGAGGCGGGGGTGACGGCGGCGGCGGTGAAGGAGGCCGGGGTGACGGCGGTGGCGGTGATGGGGGCGGAGGTGACGGCGGCGGCGGCAAGGGCGGCGACGGCGGCACCGGCGGTGGCGGCCGTGGCGGCGGTGATGGAGATTTTGGCCTCGGAGGCGACGGCGACGGCGGCGAAGGTGGCGGCAGTGAGGGCGGCTGTTTGGGAGGAGGTGACGGGGGCGGATGCGACAGGCGGGGCGAGGGGGGTGGCGGCCGCGGAGTCGGTGGGCGAGGTGACGGCGGCCGGGGAGGCGGCGGTAGCTGTGGCGGGCGTGGAGACGGCGGATGTGGGGGCCGTGGTGACGGAGGTGGCGGCAGCGGCGACGGCGGCCGGGGCGACGGCGGCCGTGGCGGTGGCGGTGATGGCCGTGGCGGAGGTGGGTGAGGAGTGGATGGCGGGGGTGGCGACGGCGACGGAGGAAGCAGTGGGGTTGGCGGCGGCGACAGCGGCAGGCACAGCAGCGACGGCCCCGCTGGAGGCACCTCCTCGCACACGTCCCTGCCGTACACATATGCCAGCGCTCGCCCGCACTCGCCCGCCGCCATTGCATCAGCCAGCGTCAGCGCTGTTTCCAGTACGACACCATCGCCGCCGTCGCCGCCAACGAACGCCTCCACCCTTTGCAGCACCTCGCTCACGCTGCGACACGCGCACGAGCTCACGTCTACTTCAGGCTGCCACACAGGCGGCCAGAAGGCAGCGAAGGAGGCGGTTGACAGGGGCAATGCGGCCGAATCCGTTCCAGACGGGCTGTTGGCTAACATCCATTCCGACAGCAACACGTTGAGCTTCAACGCTATGGCATCCGCTAGCCAAAGCCCAAAGTACTTGGCTTGGTCATCCGCGCTTGTAAGCACGCAGCGATGTTGTGTGTCCACCAGGGCGCCGAATCCCAGGACCACGTTAAGCGGCAGCTCAGGCGCCGGCAGCTGCGTTCCGCCGGCAGCCGCCGCTTCCGCCTGTAGCGTCACTGCGCTGCGGTTGAGCTGCATCTGCATGAAGCACTGCAGCGAGGGCAGGTCCAGGAACTCAAAGTGCGGACCCTCTGAGGCGCCGAAAATGAAGATCCCATCCGCGAAGTTGGCAAAGTGCTCCCAGTTCAGACCCAACGTCGCAGCCGCTGGGTCCAACAGGGTTGTATCCGCCCAGCTACTCGCGCCGTACACTTCAAAGGGGCACGGCTTACCGGGTGCCAAGCACTCAGCGGTGCAGGCCGGCGGGGCCGGTGGGAAGGGGCTAGGCGGGGCCGGCGAGGGGCTAGGCGGCGGTGGGGGAGGTACCGGCGGTGGTGGACGGGGACTGGGGGGCGGCGGAGGCTGCGACAGCGGCAGGCACAGCAGCGACGGCCCCGCTGGAGGCACCTCCTCGCACACGTCCCTGCCGTACACATATGCCAGCGCTCGCCCACACTCGCCCGCCGCCACCGCATCCGCCAGCGTCAGTAAGACACCTCCGTCGCCTCCACCGACGAACGCCTCCACCCTTTGCAGTACCTCGCTCACGCTGCGGCACGCGCATGAGCTCACATTCGCCTGCGGCGGCAGCACCGGCGGCCACACCGCAGCGAAGAACGCCTCCTGCAGCGGCATGGGTCCGCCCGCGGCTTCACTGGGTACCTGCCCCTCCGCCACCAGCGAAGCCAGCTTGGCGTTCAGCTTCAGCGCGAGCGCATCCGCCAGCCAGGGACCGTAGTACATCGCCTGGTCCTCCGCGCCGCCCAGCACGCAACGCATTGAGGTACTCAGTCTGGCTGAGAAACCCGCGACGGAGGTCAGAGGCAGGGCTGGGGCCGCGCTGGCGGCGTCGCTACCCGGTTGCTGTGAGGGCTGTAGCGTCACTGCGCTGCGGTTGAGCTGCATCTGCATGAAGCACTGCAGCGAGGGCAGGTCCAGGAACTCAAAGTGCGGACCGTCGGAGGTGCCGAATATGAGGATGCCGGCGCCGGCGCTGTCGGCTGAGTAGGCCGCGAAGAGGTCCCAGTAGGCTGCCAGCAGCACCGCAGCGGGGCTGTAGCCGTCGGTACGAGCCCAGCTGGCGGCGTCGTGCACCTGTGGGAGGCAGCAGGGGTTTCCTTGGGCGTTGTCGACACGCACAGCACTATCACGTAAACAGCTTCGGAGTCAGCTATCTTTCTAACTAAGCGTCCGTCATCTTCACACACCCAGCACGACGTTCGCCCACTAGCCCAGCACCCCTGAACCTCCCGAGAGGCTTGCCCCAACCCAGCACCCGCCAGTTCTTACCATGAAGGGGCAGGGGGAGCTCGGGGCGATGCAGGAGGAGGTGCAGGCGGGGGGCGCAGGCGGGAAGGGGCTGGGAGGCGAAGGCGGCTTGGGTGAAGGCGGCTTGGGTGAAGGCGGCTTGGGAGAAGGTGGTGGAGGGGGCTGAGGCGAGGGAGGCTTGGGCGAGGGCGGTTTGGGAGATGGTGGCTTCGGCGACGGGGGCATGGGCGGCGGTGGCTTACGTACAGGAGGCGATGGTGGTGCACGTGAAGGAGGCTTTCGGGAGGTTGGCTTGGGTGCGGGAGGAGTGGGCGAAGGCGGTATGGGCGAAGGTGGCTTGCGTGAGGGCGGTTTGGGTGAGGGTAGCATGGGCGATGGTGGGCTGGGTAAGGGCGGCTTGGGAGAGGGCGACGGTGGTTTGGGAGATGGCGGCCGCGGGCTGGGCGGTGTCGGGGAGGGAGGCAGAGGGCGAGGGGGTGATGGAGAGGGTGGAAGTGGGCTGGGCGGCTTAGGCGATGGCAGCTTAGGTGAAGGAGGGCCAGGCGATGGTGGTTTAGGAGACGGTGGCTCGGGAGACGGCGGTTCAGGTGACGGCGGCTCAGGCGACGGCGGTTCAGGCGACGGCGGTTCAGGCGACGGCGGCTCAGGCGACGGCGGTTCAGGCGACGGCGGCTCAGGCGACGGCGGTTCAGGCGAGGGGGGCTCTGGCGAAGGTGGTTGAGGTGAAGGGGGCTGGGGTGAACCCGGGAAGAGGGGCGCCAAAGGTGGCGGAGCTCCAGGGTAGGCAGGAGGGTCCATGGGCAGCGGGTAAGGCTCCAGAGGGGGTGGGTGCATCGGCGGAGCTAAGGGGCCTGAGAGTGGTGGGTAAGCTGGCGGCGTCTGAGGCTCCTCCTGCGGTGGCTGGTCGCTAGGGAGGGGATACGACGGCGGCCATTGGGGCGCCAGCGGTGGCTGGTCGCTAGGGAGGGGATACGACGGCGGCCATTGGGGCGCCAGCGGTGGCTGGTCGCTAGGAAGGGGATACGACGGCGGCCTCTGAGGCGCCAGTGGCGGCTGGTCGCTAGGAAGGGGATACGACGGCGGCCATTGGGGCGCCAGCGGTGGCTGGTCGCTAGGGAGGGGATACGACGGCGGCCATTGGGGCGCCAGTGGCGGTTGGTCGCTAGGGAGGGGATACGACGGCGGCGTCTGAGGCGCCAGTGGCGGCTGGTCGCTCGGTAGGGGATACGACGGCGGCCATTGGGGCGCCAGTGGCGGCTGGTCGCTAGGAAGGGGATACGACGGCGGCGTCTGAGGCGCCAGTGGCGGCTGGTCGCTCGGTAGGGGATACGACGGCGGCCATTGGGGCGCCAGCGGTGGCTGGTCGCTAGGAAGGGGATACGACGGCGGCCTCTGAGGCGCCAGTGGCTGCTGGTCGCTAGGAAGAGGATACGACGGCGGCGTCTGAGGCGCCAGTGGCGGCTGGTCGCTAGGAAGGGGATACGACGGCGGCGTCTGAGGCGCCAGCGGTGGCTGGTCGCTAGGAAGGGGATACGACGGCGGCGTCTGAGGCGCCAGTGGCGGCTGGTCGCTAGGAAGAGGATACGACGGCGGCGTCTGAGGCGCCAGTGGCGGCTGGTCGCTAGGAAGGGGATACGACGGCGGCGTCTGAGGCGCCAGCGGTGGCTGGACGCTAGGAAGGGGATACGATGGCGGCGTCTGAGGCGCCAGCGGTGGCTGGTCGCTAGGAAGGGGATACGACGGCGGCGTCTGAGGCGCCAGCGGTGGCTGGTCGCTAGGAAGAGGATACGACGGCGGCGTCTGAGGCGCCAGTGGCGGCTGGTCGCTAGGAAGAGGATACGACGGCGGCGTCTGAGGCGCCAGTGGCGGTTGGTCGCTAGGAAGAGGATACGACGGCGGCGTCTGAGGCGCCAGTGGCGGCTGGTCGCTAGGAAGGGGATACGACGGCGGCGTCTGAGGCGCCAGCGGTGGCTGGTCGCTGGGAAGGGGATACGACGGCGGCCATTGGGGCGCCAGTGGCGGTTGGTCGCTAGGAAGAGGATACGACGGCGGCATCTGAGGCGCCAGTGGCGGCTGGTCGCTAGGAAGGGGATACGACGGCGGCGTCTGAGGCGCCAGCGGTGGCTGGTCGCTGGGAAGGGGATACGACGGCGGCGTCTGAGGCGCCAGCGGTGGCTGGTCGCTAGGAAGGGGATACGACGGCGGCGTCTGAGGCGCCAGTGGCGGCTGGTCGCTAGGAAGGGGATACGACGGCGGCGTCTGAGGCGCCAGCGGTGGCTGGTCGCTGGGTAGGGGGTACAAGGGCGGCGTCTGGGGCTCCTCCTGGGGTGGCTGGTCGCTAGGAAGAGGGTAAGCCGGCGGCCACTGCGGCGCCAGGGGTGGGGAGTCAGGGTCTAAAGCGTACGCTTGTGGCGGCTCCGGCACTCCTGGTGACTGGTGGTGGATTGCAGGTGTGGAGGGAGGAGTCCCGGGCGCCTTGGGTGGCTGCATTGGGGGCAGGGGATAGGCCGGCGGGGGTGGAAGCGTGGGGTAGGCTGGAGCGGCATCCACATGCTGTGGTGGACGGCTTGGGATAAGTGGCAGTGGCTGGTACGCCGGCGGGTAGCCCACCTGGTTAAATGAAGGGAAGATGGGGAAGGCAGGCATGTCCTGGGGCTCTGCAGGCGGCTGTGGCGCTATGGGCCCCGAAGGGCCATCTGGGGAGGGGCTGGTGGCGGTGGAGGCAGCAGCCAGGGAGCGCCGGTGGCTGCAGAGGCGGGTTGCGAGGTAGTGGAAATTTTTGGCGGAACGTTAGAGCTGTGACGGGAACTGCTTTGTGTTCATGGTAGAATATTAAGTCAGGCGGATAAGAGCAGGATGTGGTGCCTACGTTCCAGGAGTGACGGCGAAAGAAGGGCAGCGGTGCGTACAGAAGCTGCGAGTCCTGACGCGGCGAAGCGGTGTATCTTAGCGTCGAAATAGCCCCTGGAGCCCCTACGCGCCCACGTTTTAAGGTCCAATCCAGTCTGTAACAGGCCTGGCAGCGCACGCAACGGACCTGTAATGGCGCCCGGCTCCAGCACTTCCTCTCGCCTCATCCGGCCGGCCTGCAGTTCAAACACGGCAAAAGCAATCGTTAGCCGTACCGGCGTGGAGGTTGGTCAAAGCCGTGTGGATAAACAGGCCCCGGGCATAACAGAGGCTTGTGAAAACAGCCGCAAAGCAAGCTGTGAACTACCCGGTAGCTCGCATGCGGCTAAGTTTGCATCGGCAGGTCGAACTGTTGCCCGGCGCCGTGCAAGGGTGCAGAACGCCACCTAAGCTTACCTTCTGCTAACAGTAGAGTGTACAAGATGGTAACTAGGGCTTGACGCCATCTGGTCCCAGGCCTATGCTTATTCGGCGGCATCCAGAGTGTAAACAAGCATAAGGTGATTTGTACCAACTGCAGGACTGTCTAACTGTCACGCTGTCGTGTGGGAGTAAGAAATGTCTAATGGTTTCCGGTCGCGGGGCGGCAACGACGACGCGACGGATGGGAAGTCGTCCTAATGGCCGCCCGGCAAAGCCAGCTACCAACAAATTCGGCGCTATATAAAGTTGCCTCTTGCTCTCCACCAAGATGACATGTTGTTTTCCTCCTGCCTGATTCTGAACACCTGTACCTTTAGCTCCCAACGCCGGTGAGGTACCTTAAGCACAAGAGTAAGTTATTTGCTAACACATTTTACTGCGTTCTACCTTTGGCTCTTTAACTCGGACAACATTTGGCATCTCATTGTGGCGGGCGTGGAGTACGGAATGGTGGACCACCCCTCTAGGGCAATGCCTGCGTGCGAATCCCGTTGGCTATCTTTGCCGCTAGTAAGACACCTACAAAGGCGTTCAATGCTTATAGTTAAATCCGCAACTTATGTTAGGGTAACGCCATGCATTTAATAACTGTCTATCCCGACACGATCAAAGTCAAAGACTGTGCACACTGAATGATACCATTTTATCATTAACTACTGAGTACATGCGCCGGGCGCTATGTCGACGCATAGGTTTCCTTAATTGAGCGAGGGCGGCTATCATGGCGTGGGCTACGCGCTGCTCGCGCGTACAACTTCCATATCGCCTGCTGATTAGCATTGTTGTGGTAACAGGTGAGCGTCGGGGTGTCTTGATGCATCGGCGATGAACCAACGACTCATGTTTCCGTTGGTTTATGGTGATATGCCTCCGTGGTCGTATGCAAAGGTTTACACGTCATTGCATTAACATTAAACATTTTCTTGTATCACCGACTTGGCGCAGTCTGCAATTTAGTGGGACTACCGGCGGATGCAGCGACGTAAGTCACAAACCGACGACGAAAAGCCCAAATAATGCATTTCCTTATTGAGCCTTACTGTCGCATCATGACTTACCGAAATCATACGGCCGGGCTTGCGTCGCTAATCATTGGTTTTCCTTGCCATCGATGCTGTGCACATTGCCAATGACCTAGCACCCGCAGACCGCGACATAATAATCACCCATTGAAGCTTGTGCTGACCACTCTCGCAGGTCGCCATCGGGGTCCTGTCCTGCAAGCTGCTCCGCGCCCACGGCTTGCCCGCTGCCGCTGTTCTCCGCTCAGCGCTGGTCGGAGATCTCTGGCTCCGCGCTTCTTAAGGCCGGCTGGTCCACCCTGACCAACGGCACAACCAACTTAGCGTTCGGCGTGCCCTCTGGTGGCGCCGCTGTGATCTTTGACGCACCGGACTCCGTCAGCTGCTTCCTAGCAAGACAGCTCAAAAGCAGCACTTCTGGGCAAAAGCTGACGTTGCCGCTAACAGGTTCAGTAGTTGTCTCGCTAGCAAGGAATGCGGATGGCAGCTGTCCGCTCACTGCGCCGTACTTTGGCACTGCTTCCTCGTGGGTTGCGGATGTCTTGGCGCTCAAGCTCAACGTCCTTTACAGCCGGCTGCTTTCTGTAGTGACAGGCGCGATTGCGGTTGGGGACGCAGTGTTTGCCACTTCATACGGCATTGACGTGTGCGCTTGCCGTACGGTCGAGCGTGTTGCGGACGAGGCGCAACTGTACATGGCGGGCCTTATGGAGGCTGACGGTGCGCCGCCGTATGATACTTGTGCATCCGATTTGGTGACTCAATACGGCAGTTCGTCGTGCAAAGTGCCAGATACTGTGAACTGGTTGTGTGTCGGAGAGTCAGCCAGTGCAGTTGTGGAGCCGCCACCGGCGTCGCCACAGGCATCATCCTTGCAACCACCGTCACCACCGCCACCTTCGCCATCGCCGTCACCTCCGCGACCGCCCCCGCAACTGCCGCCATCACCGTTACCTCCTTCACCACCGCCGCCGTCGCCACCACCATCTTCTCCACCACCGCCGTCGCCATCGCCGCCGTTGCCACCGCCGCCATCACCACCACCACGGTCGCCACCACCGCCGTCGCCACCTCCGCCGCCACCTCCGCCATCGCCACCTCCGCCGTCACCACCGCCGCCGTCGCCACCGCCGCCGTCGCCACCACCACCTTCTCCACCACCGCCGTCACCACAGCCGCCGTCGCCACTTCCGCCGTCGCCACTTCCGCCGTCGCCACCGCCGCCGTCACCACCGCCGCCGTCACCACCACCGCCATCGCCACCTCCGCCGTCGCCACCTCCGCCATCGCCACCTTCGCCATCGCCACCGCCGCCGTCGCCACCGCCGCCATCGCCACCGCCGCCGTCGCCACCTCCGCCATCGCCACCGCCGCCGTTACCACCGCCGCCATCGCCACCGCCGCCGTCACCACGGCCGCCGTCACCACCTCCGCCGTCGCCACGGCCGCCATCGCCACTGCCGCCGTCGCCATCTCCGCCGTCGCCACCCAGCCCACGTCCACCGCGTTCTCCATCGCCACCGCCTCCACCACCGTCGCCACTGCCGCCACCACCGCCATCGCCGCCATCACTGCCCCCACCATCTCCCCCGCCTCCCTCACAGCCTCCGCCGTCGCTGCCCCCACCTGCGACTCCATTGCCTCCAAGCCCCTCGCCACCGCGGCCCAGTCCACGTCCGCCGCGGCCCAGTCCACGTCCGCCGCGGCCCAGTCCACGTCCGCCGCGGCCACCGCCGCCAACGAAGCGGCCACCGCCACCTCGGCCGCCACCGCCGCGGCCGCCACCCCCGCCACCCCCCTCACCGTTGCCGCCGCCCACCTCGCCTCCACTACCGCCACCACCTTCGCCACTTAAGCCGCCTCGTAACCCACCCCCGCCTCGCCTGCCTTCTCCACCGCCGCCCTCACCGCCTCCCCCGTCACCCCCACCTCCGTCACCGCCACCTCCGTCGCCACCTCCCCCCTCACCACCACCTCCGTCACCGCCTCCTCCAGTCCCTCCGCCGCCCTCACCACCGCCACCTTCACCACCCCCACCTTCGCCCCCGCCTCCGTCACCCCCACCGCCGTCACCCCCACCGCCGTCACCCCCTCCCCCTTCACCTGAACCACCTTCTCCGCAGCCCCCGTCAACGCCACCACCGTCGCCGCCACCCCCGTCACCGCCGCCTCCATCACCGCGGCCGCTGTCTCCGCGGCCACCCTCACCGCGGCTCGTGTCACAGCCGCCTCCCTCCCCACGGCCACCTTCACTACCACCTCCCTCACCTCCTCCACCCTCCCCTCTGCCGCCGTCTCCATTGCCGCCTTCGCTACCACCTCCGTCACCTCCGCCACCTTCGCCCCCGCCTCCATCGCCTCCACCTCCGTCACCGCCGCCGCCGGGGCCGCCTCCTCCTTCACCGCCCCCACCTTCACCGCCCCCACCCTCGCCGCCGCCGCCAGCCCCTCCACCGCCTTCACCCCCTCCACCGCTCCCGCCCCCGCCCCCCTCTCCAACACCTCCACCCAAGCCACGGCCTCCGCCCAAGAAGCCGCCACCGCCACGCCCTAACCCCCCTTCACCCCTTCCCCCGTCACCACCACCACCATCACCACAACCACCACCACCACCACCACCGCCACCTTCCCCACCCTCCCCGCCTCCGCCTGATCCTCCCCCGCCGCCACCCTCACCACCACCTCCACCACCGCCCTCATCCCCACTATCCCCACTTCCGTCCCTTCTGCCGCCACCGCCGGCGCTTCCAGCCCCTGTAACACCTCCACCTCAGTCGCCGCCACCAAGCATGCCACCGCCGGTGCTCCCCGCCGAGCCAGACGCCTTACCCCCAACCGCGGAAGATTCATCACCACCACCATCATCACCACCGCCGCCCAGCCGCAGCCCCCCACCCAAGCAGAAACCGCCCCCACCCTCCAAGCGGCCACCCTCCCCTCGACCGCCTTCTCCATCCCCGCCAATCCAGCCTGCACGCAAGTCGCCTCCGCCCTCGCCTCCCCCGCCACCCTCACCACTGCCGCCAACCACTCCCCTGCCATCCACACCCTCACCCCCACCACCCCCACCACCCTCCTCCTCCAAGCCACCTACCCGCTCCAAGCCTCCGCCCAAGTCCCCTCCACCCTCACCCGCACCTCCCAACAGCCCGCCATCCTCTCCCCCCGCTACACCTGCTGCCACACCTCCTCCTCCGCCTCCCTCCGCCGTCCTAGCCGCCTTCCCCTTCGGCTCCTGCCTGTCCCGCGGGTCATCCGTGGGCAAGGCCTACCTGCTGTCGTACGCCAACCAGAGCCTCAACGCAGCGGACGGCAACCCCTCCTACTGCTTCAGCGTGCAGCTGCCGCAGTGCCGCCAGTCACAGTGCTGCGGCATACCCCTGGACTTCATCCAGTTCCTCATAGGTGGGTGGCTGGGTGGCTGGGTGGGCCGCATTCCGTGTAGCAGGGCGGGTAGGGGGACGCATGGGTGCGGGGGCGAGCAGGCAATCAGCACGCACCAGGTCACACAGGAAACAGCCCGTTGCCAACGGGCACGTTTAGAGCAAAGTCCCCATACGTACTCACACACCTGTGTGGTGACCACCATGGCCATCCGGCTTGAACAAGGCACACTTCCTTCCCTGCCCTCCCCCCGCAACCCTGCTGCCACCCTGCCCGACGCTGCCCCCCCCCCCTCGCAGCTGACGAGTGCTACGGGTCGGTGACCAATCTGCGAGTCAACGGTGCCGCCCGCAGCCCCAACTACCACGTGTACGACGTGCAGGGCGAAACCGCCACCGTATTCAAGATAACAAACATCAACTTGCCATACAGTCAAGCCCAGGTGCGGTGTATATGCAGCGGCTACAACCACGCACTGCTACCTATTCCCCAATGCAATATCTTGCCGGTTGAAACCCCTCCGCGGCGTATCCCTCTTCACAACATCACAAGCCACCGCAACCGTGTCAAACCAACTGCACCCTACTCACTGCCATGCCTCCCTCCCTCCCGCATCCGCTCATCCCCCCCTACACCCCTCAGGGCACAAGCTTCTGCTTCTCCCTGCGCGCCTCCGTGTGTCCTGATCTGGCCACACTGTGCCGGGGCCCCACGTGCGCTGTTTCGGTGGGCAATCTGCCGGGCAGCGGCAAGGCGGCCTGCTGCCCCGTGCAGTCCCTGCTGCTGCCTTCCGAGCGGAGATAGAAAGAGCTAGGGCTAGGTGCATAGGAAGCTGGAGTGCAGAGAGGCATCGTGCATGGTGCATGGCGGCGCAGCAACTGCTGCCCTCGCCCTCAGCCTTGGCATCAGGAGAGGCTGATGAGGGGTCGGTGATGGCGGCAGTAGTAGCAGCAGCAGCAGCAAAAGGAGGAATGCTTGGACTACTTGCTCGTTCCGAGGATATCTGATGCAGCCCAGATGGCTGCAGGGAGGCGTCATATGGAGGACTGACCGAGGTGGGAAGTAAGCAGCACCTCGATGATGAAAGGGGTGTGGCGCATGGGCTCGGAACCTAAGCTCCAGAAGCCGTGTACCAGAAGATGAAGACTGCATGCACGCCTCGTGGAGACTCGCTGGCCGGGGGGAATGAAGAAGAATTACCACGCTGTGAACGATACCGGTAGTCGTCGCGAGGGGCTTCTGCTCCTCAGCAGCAGGGGAACAGCGGAAGTCGCCCCGGGCAGTGTTGATGCCCGGCGGAGGCATGCTCTAAAGCAGCTAAATCGTCGGAGGCGGGAGGCAGCAGCCGGGGCAAAAGTGACTGAACCGGCAACAGCTCTGATCGGTGGCAAGCAGGCAGCTGCTGAGGCAGCGCGGGTGTGGCGGCGGATGGACCTCCGTCTTCACTGCAGGCTGCGCACAGTCTGGCCCCGTTGTCGCAGGGGCCTCCTGGCTGTATGTGACAATGTTGGTTCATGACATGAAGTTGGTCCTTTACTGGGGTGAATAGTGATTGATTCACCTAGCAACACTTTATTCATGCAGTTTGACGTCTTGTTGACTGATACCTTGTGTTAAGGCGCGCGTGTGATTGCGGGGCGTTGAGTCCAATATCCTTTCGTGAAGAGACAGGGATAGGAGGGCGGGAAAGGGGCGGCCGTAAGCGTCGGGAGCGGCGTTGGGAGCCTCTGCAGCAGCACCGAGCGGTGCTTGTCGCAACATACAAGGGCTGCGGTACGTGCAAGAGCTGTACGCAAGGGTCTTGTTGGAAGGATGCCGTGCTACCCTTTGCGTTTGTCTCTCTGGTTGTGATTACCATATTTGAGTCAAACAGACAGACTACCGTTGACGACGTCTGAGTAAGACGGATGACAGAAACAGCGTTACGGTTTTATTCTTGTTGGGTGGTGTACTGGTGTAAGACGTACGGTAGGACGCACATTGCACTGATGACCAAGCCTGACTAAGCCTGACTAAGCCTTCCTCCAGGTCGTACGGGGGGTCTGTACGGCACTGGGTTGACGTACCCCGCCGTCTTCATCCGTTGCGGGATTGTGTGGGACTGCGCAGAGATGAGTGAATCCTGTGATATCTCCTGGGGTGATTCCATGGATGGCGTTCCGCCATGAGTGGTTGGTCAGCACCTTGCTTGCTATGTACCGGTAGGCTCATAAGGACTGCAGAGGCCTGGATTTTGGGGCCCGTTGGGGGATTTGGCCCGCTTCCTCTACTTCGCCTAACTATGTCTCTCTCCCCGCTATTCTCATATGGGCTCGTTGATTGGCGGGTGGGTGTCTTGTCGTACATTCTTGCCCTAAGTAAAGCACCTTGCACTGCTGGGTCGCTGGTTACCCCGTGATTGATTCTTGCACAGTAGGAGGTGGCTCAGAGGTTGTGTTACATGACACCTGAAAGTACAGCACCGGATGGCAATGGAGGACTGGAATGACCTAGCAGTGACAATCTCGTAGGTGTTCAGGTGTAATTGATTGGATCAGCAGCGCAATCTCGGTGTTTACAGTCATTTATGTGAGGTGATAACCGCTATCTTGCCCATGTAGTCGCTGACAATGGAAACATACGTAGGTACATGGAGGTAGGTAGTCCTTGCCTAACGATGCCTACAACATAGATGCCGGCGGGGGATGCCGGCGTCTATGGCTTGCATGGATGTGTAGGCGCACAGGGCCCAGGAGCGGCCACAATTGCGTATAAAGAGTGGTGCGAGGCGGCCGCATGTGTGGGCTTCAGTCTGCAGTACGTACGGCATCACAGAGTACGACTGCAGTGTACATGGTTTTCATGAATGCATGTTAGGCCGAAGGGCATGCGGATACTGTACCGTGGGCAGAAGAACTGTTGTATGTGAGCAAAACCAGACCGCTAAGCAGCGGGCCTTGTCGCTAGTGTGCACTTCGTCCTATCTCTCTAATCATACCGGGCTCGCTGGCATCATCAAGGGCCTTACGAGTAGTGTTGATTGGGTGGCGGTTGTGGCAGGCGGAGATCAGATGCACTCCGTTGCATATGCATGTAACTATGCATCCGTACGTACACTGGCCGGCATTGGCACGGAGCGGGTTGTCCGGCGTCAACCTGTATTCATACGTTGCGTGCACGGACCCCTGCCATGCACGGCTATGACCACATGCTGAATGCACATTGGTGTACGGCGGCTAGCGAGGCGTAAAGTACCGGCGGCGTGTGACCGAACGAACCGCCTCACACTAGGCTGGGCACCATCCTGGCGTGCCTTGCAACGCCAATGCATGCAAACGTTGCGGACTCGGTTGTTGGCTGCTTAAGAGTTAACGAATATAGGACAGCCTTACACACGTTCCAGCAATAGCATTTCCTCCGATGGTGCAATGCAAACGTCTTGTCCGCTGGTACGTACTTAGGAAGGCTAAACACTTTTGGCGGGCAGTTCCCCTGCTCGAATGTGATGCATGCATGAGCTGTATGGCGTGCCTCGTCCTAGCAGCGCATCCGCCCGCACCCCGCCGCAGCCCTAGAACAACCGCAACTAACCGTGTCCGCAGCAACCCGGCTTGGCAACGCATCGAAACGCTGCTGTCGCCCATCCCCATGGGCCGCACCTCTGCAAACATACCTGTGCGCTTATGGCCCGGGGCATTAGGAGGCAGCCCTCGAGACGCCTGAAGCATGCAGGGACCCTACACAAGGGCCCATCCTCACAAACACCTCTCCCACGGCCCCCTGCACTCTGTAGTGGAATTACATTCCCGCTATTCTCTACCCTCACGCGCCCATTCATGCCAATCCTCGACTCTCCATCTTCTCCAGCCCCTTCACAGTCCGCTGGTGAAGTTGGAATTGTCATTCAGATCGGAGTTGCCGCGGATCCGGTCGTACTCCTGAATAAGGTCGCTGTCCGTCACTCCGCCCACGATGGGCCGCTTGGTCTCCTGGAGGGGAGTTGCAGGCGGACGCAGGAGGGTGAGCGGCGGCGGCAGCGGCAGCGGCACCGGCGGCACTTGCAGGGTTCGTGCACTCCGGTAACGGCAGACAACGAACATCTAGCAGCTTGTGTTGGTGCAAGTGGAGGGATTACCTATGGTATGGTCGTGAGTGACCCATGGGTCACATCGCGCGGTTGTGCCGCTTCCCACCTTTACGAAGATGGAGGGCTCCGGCGGAGGCACGACGTCCGGTCGGCCCACTCCCGGCTCGATGTTGGGCCAGGTGCCTGGTGCGGGTTGGGTGTGCGGTGAACGGCAGCAGCGACGGCAGCAGCAATGCGTGATTAAAGGACCTCGAAACGACAACGTTGCCTTAACGCATCTCAGCTATGATGATCAGGATCGCAGAAGCAGTATCGAATCGAACGGAGCAGGACGATCAGGTGTGCGCTGCTGTTATCACAGAATGCCCTTATCAGTGCAGTCGATCAAAGTAAAACTCCGGTGCCGTGTACATGTAAGAGACAGGGCTACGAGCCCCAAATGCCCAAGCTACTGCACCAGCGCATTCTGCTGGGCTGCCTAATAATCCTAATAATAATTCCACCATTATAATATAGCACATAACAACTCTTAAGCTGGGAGCCTACCTAGCTTGGGCTGGCCCACATTCCAGGCGGACGCGGTGCCGCCCTCCGAGTGCATCACCTCCGTCTGCCGCCCCGAACCACCTTCGCGCCCGCCCTCGCCCTCCTCAGCAGAGAGACGCGCAGACGAAGAAAGCGATGCTGCAGCAGCTGCTGCAATCAGCTGCGGTTGATGACTGAGAGCTAGGGTTCCGTAGATCTGGCGAAACTGGCTGCATCGACGAATTGCAAACATGGTGTTCCTTTGGAAGCTATTGCTTCTGGAAAGGCGAAGGTGCCAACGGCAGTATGAAGAGCGCAAAGGTAGAAATGTATGACGTGGGCAGTTTGAAAAGCCTAGTTCTTATAGCAAAGGAGCGAGGACAGCTGCTTTCTTTCGTTTCGACTGGTGCCGCCGCTTACGTCACCCGCCGTACTAGCGCGCTGCTGCTATTATCAACCACATGGTATGGGTGGGGCAAAGGCTTCCAAGTTTCATATGCAGCAAGTGACGGGTGACACGAGAATTGCAAACGACAGCGTAACCGTAATTCGGTGCTCACAAGGCGCACAAGGTCTTGTCACAGGCCGCCGAATCCACCGTTTCCACGGACCAAGGCCCTTTCACCGGCAACGCACGTCATACTCCAATCCTTTTTTATTACAGAACGATACCCAAGCAGTGTGCAGTGTGCCTGCTGCAATGCGTCCCTTCCTGACCCACGGTTCCTCCTAGCCGCTTTCCCCGTTCCCGAACCCTGCGCTCGACTGCTGCATATCTTGCTGCAGCTGCCCTGCCGCCTGCCCTTGTCCCAAACCCCCTTGCTGCCCCGCTGCCTGCCCCTGTCCTGCTGCTGCCTGTCCAGCTGCCGCCTGCACCGCTGTGGCGTTCGCAAGCGCCTGTTGCAGCTCGATCTCCCGAATGCGATTGTTGATGTACCGCTGACCGTAGCAGTTGACCGGCAGCCCGGAGGTGCGGTAGGTGTAGAGCTCGTAACATTCCTCCGAGGGCATGATGGCGTTGTAGTACATGAACTTGCCTGCCGTACAGGGAATGGCATTTACGAAGAGATGGGAGAAGGTACGGGTTCGATTAGCTGGTGTGCGACGACGGCATAAGCTTTATGAAGCCTTGTCTCACCCAAAGGCCACAACCATACCATAGAGCAGCTATTAAGTTTCCAAGCACTTTGCACCCTGGTCGCCTCGCGTCGCGCCTTCAGTTGGCATTGACCCCGGACCCCCAGCCCCCCCCCACCTGCTGCATTATCCTTTATTCTTTCCCCCACCTGCGCACGTCTTGAGGTCGCAGCGGGTGGCTGTGTCGTTGGCGCAGGGCGAGCGAGTGACGGCGGGATCGCAGCGGTCCACCGGGCAGGAGGCGACCTGCGAGCCGCTGCACTGCCCGTTGATCTGGGGGAAGGGAGGGGGGCGGACGGGGCGCATGTGGATACACGGGACAGGCGCCTGGTGCTATTGCACCATGTTGGCATACAGGGGAGCGGAACGAACAGCGCTGGACGGTGCATTTCTGGATCTGCCTCAAGAGTCAATGTATGAAGACAGGCTAGAAAACTAAGACCTGGGGAGGGTCCGCTGCAGTCGTCGCATGCCCCGCGCCCTCCCAGGGGGAGCTCCCCTCCTCAGCCCCCACCCGAGTGACCATGTCGTCAGCTGGCGGGAAGGCGGGGTAGAAGGTGCAGCCGGTGCCCCCCAGCGGCCGCCGGATGGAGTGGTAGGCGCGCTGGAACATGGCGTAGTAGTAGCCGTCGCAGGGGCCGGGCTGGGCCTGAGGGGCGGGGGGAAGAAGAAGAAGAGGTAGCTACTTGAGGTACCTTGCTGTAGGGTATGTGCGGTATGATGAAGGGGTGTCGGTGTGCCTCCATTAGTGACCCATGACTCCGTGTTCAGGTGCAGGTGTTGAACAGGGCCTGCATTCGTTTAACAGAGACACACAGGAATGCCCTCCCTCTCCATCTTCCGTCTCTCCAAGCCCCTCTACCTCCCGTTTACATATGGCATTTGGTTTCTCTCTGCCTCCTTTCCCGTTACTCCCCACAACGCCCCTCCCCGCTAGCACTCCTCCATCCGCCAACCGACCAACCAACCACCCTGCCTGCATGAAGAACATATAGCGCTGCCCGCCGGTGAGCGCGCATGGCACGCTGTCCGCCAGCACGGGCGCCTCCAGCAGCAGCAGGCAGTCGCCCGCGTCCTCGGTGTTGGTCCGGCAGCGCACCAGGCCGCGGTGCACGCACTGCAGCCCCACAAGCACGAAACTGGTGCCGCTGCTGGGGTTGGAGGGGGCGGGAGGGGTGAAGAGAGGGAGGCCAACCGCGTGAGGAGGCTGCGCAAGGGGAGGCGCAGGATGGACCGCAGCACAGGATAGGCGAGTGCTGATGCAGAGTGAGCACCTGGTGTAGCTGCACCCAGTAGGGGTACGGTCCCAACCGTAGGCGCCGGAAGTGCGATGAGTGGGATTATTTCATCCCCTCATACATCGAAGCCCTTGCTCACCTGGATTTAGTGGAGGGAGAGTCGGGGAGGGGCACCAGCGTGCCGTTGTCGTGGCAGAGGCCGCTACCAGCGCCGGCGGCCAGGACGACGCCTGTGGAGGGAGGTATACGTGGTGATGTACAAGGTGCGGGTGTTTGTGGGAGGAGGCGTGGGAGAGGTACCGGTACCGGCAGTTAGGCCGAAAGCCGATTCTGGGGCAAGATGCAGCTGTGCAATCGCCTCGCATGGATTCTGCGGCCCTAAATTTCCCATCGCAAGGACAGCGATACCTCCACCAGACTGTGTCTTAACGTGTACACGCACGCGCACGCTTCCCCTTTGGCTCCCCTGCCCCTTCCTCGAGCACCCCCCCAAGCAGGTACCTGTCACAATGATGTCAGCCCGCTTGGCTAGCTCGAGCTGGGAGGTACTGACGGGCACATCGCTGCACTCTTGCCGTACAGCAACACCTGCCGTGCCACCCGCGCTTTGCTGTTGCTGCTGTTGCTGTCCCCCGGAGGCATCAACGGAGGTAAGGGAGGGGTCCTGGGTTGTGGAGGCTTCAGCCGCCAGGGTAGCCCGAGGGGCCCAGCAGGCGGTCAGGAGCAGCAGCAGCAGCACTGGCAGCGGCAGCGTCAGGGAGGCGGGCGGAGAGCGCCTGGCGCGGCGCGAGCTGCGGTGGAGGCACTGCATGGGTGCTTGCACGGACAGGTGTGAGGGGGCCAGCAGGGCCGCAGCGGGTGCCGTTTCAAGCCGCACAGCTGAATGAATGACCATTACAACGGTTCCCTAAAAGGGAACACGGGTGATGAACCCAGCCCTACACTATTATCGCGGGTCACACCACTACTGTTGCTATGAGTGATGATGGTGGAGATATCGGATTCCGCGTAGTGCAAGGTAAAGGTATCCGGCTTGAGAGTGGGTTGCGTGAGTGGGAAGAGAGCTTGCACTGAACAGCGTTCTAGGCTGGGCTTTTAGCGTGCGTTGTTTGGCTATCCCGCGTGAGTCTGGCTTTCCTAATGCCCTGGTAAGGTACGTGGTGGAAGTGTTTATGTGGTATGAGTAACCAGGAAGCAAGCATGTCAAGCTGTCTGGGGAAAGGGCTTGTGCACTTGGGTGGGTACATGGCGTGCCTGTCCAAGAAACGTCCAAGCCTAGGTGGCACTTCACCGTGCCCTGGGTATCGTACACCCCCTTCCTAAACCCAGCAGCATTTCCGTTGTTCCTTGGCGATGAAGGTATGAGTGCGGTTTAACCTTACCGATGACGGTTAGCTTTGAGCGGCTGCACCAAGCTTTGCGAAAACCTTGGTAAATTTAGCCCTAGAAGGCATATCAAATTTAGAAACAAGCAATGTACGTGGTAATCACTGCGATGTCCCTATGCGGTGGGGCTCTTACTTATCCCGTACATATGCTTGCTAGCACAAGCAAGCGAGAAAATAGCAGCGACGGACCCCGAAAAGCAGAAATAAAGAATGCTCCAGGTACGGTCATACGACGATGTAGCAGATTTTCGTTGGCGTCGATATTCTAACTCGGCCGTCACGCGTCAGTTGGCATCTCGCTCCCGTCGGACGCGACCGACCATCAGCCTCATTGGCTCACGCGACCCCCACGATGATTTTTTTCTGGCAACACGTATTCTCACTGACTATCATAATGACCGTTATAATTGCATGAAGTCCCAGCCCGGGACATGCCACAGTAAACATGCCACGTGTGATTGCAGCCAGTAGCTAGAAACAAATTGCGGGACAACGTTGCCGATAAGCTGTAAAGAAACGGCTAACCTCTCGTTGCAGCAAGTGGTGGCGACGAGTGTGTCGCATAACGGTGTGAACATTATCTATGCACGAGCTGCAGTGAGTGGGCACTGTGTACGAAAGCGTTCTATGTATACTTCAGTTCCGGCACTGCTAAGCTGTTCGTATGCGCCAAAGAGCGCCGGTCCACGCGCGGTTTCGGGGCAAGGCGTGTGCCCCTCACGCGCTGCGAGAAGGGCCGACGCGTGTCCACGGCTGATACATAGTGAGATCGCCTGCTGTGCGGAGTCAAAATCAGCAACTCGACTGGTGTCATCAACGCATACAGCTTAGGTTCCCGGCCGAACAAGGCCGTTACAATTGTTTCATAGTATTTGCGATCCCGTCTTACTTGCCGCTGAGGTATCGGTATTTATAGCGTCATTATATCTCACGTGTCCAAGGAAAGCACCAAGGAACCGACGCTAACAAGTCGACGGCTTGCGTCGACGGTCGCCCTACCGGGCGACGTGGACCTTCCGCACCCCTTACCTGCGTACAGCTTACCGCTGCGTAGTCGGTTCTATTTGGTCGCGTTTTGGCGAGTGACAGCCGCTCGACATAATGGTGCCAGTCGACAAGTACTTTTCGGTGTTGGCTCTCTTCATTCTGTTTAGAGAGACCATCGAAGCATCCATCATCTGCGGTGTCCTGCTTCAGTTCCTCAACAGGGCAAAGCCGGGGCTAAAGCGTGCAGGTATGTTGTCTTGTTCATGGCATGCCACGCAACCTGCTTGCTTGCCGAAAGCACTTCTTTGGGCCCCTCAGTTGCGCACAATGCTCTCAGTAGTATGTAGTATACATACAAACACAGTCCTAAACGCCCGCAACCAACCCTCACACACCCTCTTTCGTTTCCGCCCATCATCGCTCCATCCCAACCTCAACAGTATGGTATGGCGTGGCCGCCGGTGTGGCAGTGAGCATCGTGTTTGGCATTATCTTTATCGCCGTCTACTACACCGCCAAGAATAACCTGTTCCAGGGCAAGAACCGGGACTGGTTCAAGGGAGTCATCTCATGGGTTGCAGCGCTGCTGATTACCATCCTGGGTTTCGCGATGCTGCGCTTCCTGGGTTGGGAGGAGAAGTGGAAGCGGCGGCTGACAGCGGCGGTGGCTAAGAAGGTGAGGTTGGGGTGGTGTGGGAAGGATGCGGAGTGGAGTGGGTTGACCGCTTGGGAGCACAGGGATAGGGCACGTGGGTTGCCGGCACCGGTAAACGGGAGGGGGGGTCATCTGCAGGCGCAAGCGGTTTGCTTATGGGCGGAGGTTGAAGGGCGAATGCAGAGTTGGGCGGGCATTTGCTAGCAGACGTGACGGGGTTGCGCTCGAGCTGTGTCGTTATCGTCTGCGCCATAAGCCCTTGGCGGCTTCACTCACAACGCCCGCCTACAATGCTACCCCAGAGGGTTCCTTCCAATTCATCCTGCCAGCCGTCATCCAGGTCCTCAGTTGCAGTCTGCTACATGCCGCACCAACACCACCCCTCCTCCTTCCTCTTTACCCCTCACCTCCTCCTCTCCGTCACCTCCCCCCCTGCCCCAGGTGCCGGATGTGGTCGCACCCGCCGCCGACACCACCCCCGCCAGCGACGACCCCTCCACCACCACCACCACCCTCGCCACCACCACCACCACCATCACCACCACAGCTGCAGTGGCTCCCAAGGACGCCGGCAGCTCCCCCGCACCCGCACCAGCCTCCACCTCCACCTTCGACTCGAACAATCCCCTCATCCCCGCCGCCACCACCCCCACCCCCACCACCCACAAACCCGCCCTCCCCGCCAGCAGCTCCTCCTGCTCCTCCTCCGCCACCTCCCTCGCCCAAGTCATCGCCAAGGACCCGGAAGCCGCGATTCCAGCCCCCACAACCGCCGCCGCCATCACCGCCCAACCCGACGACCCCACCTCCATGATCGTGGCCAACGCCGACGGCGAGCTCTGCGACCTCAGCCCGCCCACCCGGCGGGAGATGCTCAACATCTTCGTGCTGGTGTTCACCACCGTCCTGCGCGAGGGCATCGAGTCCGTGGTCTTCCTGGGCGGCCTTAGCAACGTCAAGGTGACTGCCATCCCGCTCCCCGCCTTCGTGGGCATCACCGCGGGATGCCTGGTGGGCATCTTCCTGTACTTCTCCGGCAAGCAGGTCAAACACATCAAGTGGCTCATCATCGGCATGGCAGTCGTGATCTTCTTTATCGCCGCGGGGCAGGTGAACATCGGAACCGACTCGCTCATGCGCGCGGGGCTGTTCGGCTACTGCTCGCCCTGGCTGGACGAGCGGCCCTGGTACATGGTGCCCATGTACGATTGGAGTGGCTGCTGCGCGGATACGGACCCCACCGGTACGGAACCCACCAATGTTCAGAACCGGAAACGGTTCTTTGCGTTGGCTAGGGCGATCTTCGGGTATCAGGATAAGGGCACGCCGGTGGAGGTGATGTCGTATGCGTGTTACTGGGGCCTGGTGTTTATCCTGGCGGGGTTGAAGGCGTGGCAAGGGACGTTGTTCGATGCGGATTTCAAGTATAAGCGGGAGCAGCGGAAGCTGGCGAAGGAGGCGAAGCGTCGCGAGGCGGAGGCGGCGGCAGCTGAGGCGGCGAAGGTGGAGGCGCTGGAGGCGGGAGAGGGCGGGATGAGGGAGGAGGAGGGGGCGGAGGGGATAGAGGCGGGGCAAGATGGGAACGGGAGAGGGGGGGTTGTGCAGATGGGCGATGTGCGGGTGTGCTTGCAGGGGAGGGCTGCAGAGGGGAGAGGGGAGGGGCGGTGATAGTTGTTAGGGGTCGGGTTAGGTGTAGGGTTATTGACCGAAAAGTTACCAGTTAGATGACGTTTAACAGCATAATTCATGCAGTTTGAACTTATGGAAGATCGTATGGCGCTGCAAATGGGTGGGTACGAGAGGGGGCTGAGAGGCTGCATACGAGAGGGGATGGGAAGTGGAGCGGCGGTGAGGGAGGCTGGAAGCGTGCTGGAGGCGGTTTGTAGATGATGACTAAAACGGGCTATGTTTATAGAGGTCATGTGGTCTTATGAGTTATCACAAAGTTGCTAGGGAATGCGCGTCTCGTGAGTTTACCGTAAGGGTCTGCTAAGCAATTGCCGGTATGACATACGGTATGTAGAGTGCATTGAACAAGGCATGGTGCATACTAGCGGCGTATGCTGCGTTTTTCGGCAGCAGCACTTGCTGCCGCTGCTGCTGCGGTATCTAAACACTGGCGGTTCGTTTCGCCTGCTGACTAAATGGTCATGCAAGCTACAGAACATGGCCTATTGCATTACTCCCGGTGATACATTGCCTCCATGAGATGTTTGCTGCCGCTTGCTGCATTGTGTGCAAAGCACCGCGAGACTCTTGGACAGGCGGAGTTGTGGACGGTGTTGGTACCTGTTGGCAATAATTTACAATTGAACACCTCGATGCTTTGAACTTAATCGCTGTGACGCTAAACGTTGAAGGAAGGCAGGCTCTGGGAAAGGGCTCTGGGTAGGAGCGTCTTTTCCGGAAAATTTCAGACGACGACTGATGTCGACGACAAAGGCTGTCATTGTAACAGTTAACATGCAACTGCCCCTAAGCTCACCATACTCAATGTTCGAGATACGTGGACTTAGTCATTCCGGTACCGCGTAGCCCTGCCGGACGAGCAAAGGGCATGTGCGCTTACATCAACATTGTCGTACTTCCATTCCGGCACTTTTGGAAAAGGTGATAGCTGCACTCATAGCACATTTTCATTATCTCTTCTGCTGCGACAATTATATGCAACACAGTAGACAGGCTAGGAAGGCAACTGAGCACATTTTTGCCCTACACCTGCTTACAGACGCGCAAGTGGCTCACGGTATCTAAAGTTCCCTTGCTCCCCCGACCGACGGCCCGACGACCAAATAAGGTTCGGGCCCAACACGAAATGTCAGAATACCGTTTCAGCGACACCACAGGCAGACGCAGTGGCACGCGCCTTCCGGGATCGGAAGAACCAATAGCGGCATCTCGCTCCAAAGCAGCCTCGGCCGCAGCGATGCCGCCCGATATCGATTCGGCTCCAGGTTAGCATTCCAGCAGGCGCAAGATCGCTCTTTTTCGCGACGGCCAATGTTATTGCCTGCCTGCGGGGCTCCCTGGCCTCGCTAACCTGGAAATATAAAAGTCAGAAGAGCACTACTCGCACTTACAACCATTACATTATTGTCCGTCTACTAACGAATCGCGCCGCGTTTTGCCCCGTCCAGGCGCCCGCTGGGAGCAAGGGCCTACTAGCGCGAAGCCTGACCCATGGGTCGCTGACGCGACTTCGGTAGTGCCGGCCTCCCTGAAGGCCCTAATCAGCAACTCAAAGGGAACCAAGGCAGGTGCTGAGGAGGAGGATTACCGCGACCTGGATTTCAGCTTGGAGGACGTGAGACCGCCGCGTGCAGAGCAAGGCGAAGACTCTATCGCGGCAGTGACAACGACGACGAAGCCAGCAGGACCGCGCGACTTCGCGCCTGCAGGTGAGCGGCTGAGCGGAAACGTTTGCGCAACAAAACGTGTGTTACAGCGATCCTGGAGCGAAGTAGAGTGTTAAGCTTACCCCGCGATGCGATATAATTGAAGCGGTTAATGGCTTGCAAAAAACCTGGTATATAGAAATAAGAGATGTAGTTGGGTCAATTAGTGATCGGCCTGTTGTCTTGTCCGGAATGCTTCATGGACATGCCGCTAACAAACCCCAGGAGGCCGCAATCCAGCCTTCCCCAAACGCACGCGGGGAGCCTTTAGGATTGTTGTCACCTCCGTCGCCGAATTGGGGCCTGCGTCCCATGGGTCAGCCAGCCATAACCTTGTAGATGTCCTTTCCGTCCGCACCCTGTATCCTTTTGTGCCAAAGCCAACAGCCAAAGCCTACTATTTTTCGCACCATCCCTCCTCTTTCCTCCCCTCCACTCCTCACCCGCCCCCTGCCCGGCAGGTCCCCACGAGACGCAGGGTGCGCCCGCCGCACCCGCTCCACAGCTCCCCGGACAGACGGCCGCCGCACCCGTAGGTACGACCGGAGGAGCCGCCCCCTCCTCCTCCGCCCCCTCCTCCTCCTCTCCGAGGCCATCACCTCCTCCGCCCTCATCGGCGGTACCTCAACCTCAACCCACGTCTGCCCCAACGCCACAATCCCGATCACCACCATCATCACCCCCAGCACCCCCAGCCGATGTCGTACCCGCTGTAACCCCCGTCGAGGCGGAGCTGGGTCCCGCGGGCGATGTGGGGCTGCTGTACGACATGTACGACACGGTGGCGCATGCGGCCGCCACCGCGGGGGCGCTGGTGCACGTGGGGGAGAGCATTGCGCGGGCGGCCAACATTGCGGAGGCGGCACTGGACCCGCCAGGTGGGGGGGTGGGGGGGTGGGGGGGCTGGGGTGCGGGGGTGGGGGGGACATGGGGGCTGGGTTGCAGTGGGGTTGCAAGGTTGCTGTCTGCCATTCATTCCTTTTTCCTCGCCCCAATGGAATCCCGCTTTGGACAACATGTACCTAGCGCTCCCCGCCTTTTCCTCCTGCTTGTATAAACCCCCTGCCCCCTGTTCCCCCCAGGCACGGTTGACTTCGACTCCGCCCGCCCCGAGGGCCCCCGCCACCACATACCCGCCGGCATGCACCTGCCGCCCCCCCACAACACCCCACCCCGACCCCACCCGCACCACGGGCACACCCAGCCGCCGGCGGACTTGGAGACGGCGGCGGCGGCCGCGGCGGCGGATGCCGTTGCAACCGCTGCCGCCACCGCAGCAGCCGCAAGCGGTGCGGGTGCGGGAGAGGTCGGCGGTGAGGCGGGCGGGGCATTGGCGCGGGATAGTGCTGGTGTAAGAGGAGGAGGAGCAGGAGGCGGCGGGTGGGGTCCCATCCTGGCTGATCTGCAGCGGCGGCGGTGCGGCCAGGTGGCAGGTGAGGGGCGGGTTGGGGGCGGGTTTTTAGGGTTGAGCAGGTCTCCCCGCAGTCCATCACGCTAACGTCCTCAACGTCCCCTACAAACCTGAGACCCACCTCCGTCCTACCTCCACCACAGCACCAACACTCGTTGTTTAACTCATTTAAAACTTCCTCCCTCTGCAGCCCCCTCCGAGTCCGCCGTCTCCCTGGCTCCCTCCTCTCTGGACGCTGACAGGGCCTCCGACTTCAGCGCCGTCACACCCCCGGGCAGCACCATCGGCACCGCTACCACCAACATGAACACCGCCGCCGCCGCCATGCAACAGCAGCTGCTGCAGGCACAGCGGCAGCAGCAGCAGCAGCAGCAGCAGCCGGCCGAAGAGCCTGCGGCTGCCGGCGCCGGTAGCGGCACTCCCGCCCCGGCCACGCCCGGCTCCCCCGCCTCCTCCACCTCCTCTCTGTCGCTGTCCGCCGCTCAGGCACCTCCTCCGCCGCCTCCGCTGTCGCTGCTGGGTTCGCTGCGGGAGGAGGAGGATCGGCAGGCGGGGGAGGGCGAGGGGGGTGGAGGTGGAGGCGGGGTGGAGGCGCTGGCTGCGGTGGCGGGTCATGTGGTGCCTCGGTCGCTGGTGGCGGCACAACACCAGGTGGGGGGTGTAGCAGCGGAATAGTGATCAAGGAATGCTTCCCTCCCTGCCCCTGCCTGCCTGCATTGTTACTGCTTACCTCCCCCTCCCTCCCTCCCACTCGGGACATGGGACTGTGCTCCACGTCTTCACGTGCTTCTCATTCATGTGTTTTCCCCCCCTCCCCCCTGCCTCTTCCCCCTCCCCCCCCCAGGCCCATGTGATGGCTGAGGCCGCTCGCGCCGCCGCGCTGGCTGGCGCGCTGGTGCACTGCGGGCAGGGGGTGGGGCGGGCGGCGGAGCTGGCGGGGGTGGCGATGCACCCGGGTAAGGCTGAAGGGGAAAGGGAGGGGGAGGGGTGATGGTGAAAGGGAGGGATGGGTGGTGACAACACCTGCTTGCTTCCCCCTTAACCTTACTACTGCGTTTCCAGTTCCCCCACCTGCATCCGCCTGCACCGCCGCCTCGCCACCAGCGGGTCAGATGCAAACAGTCTCTTAAGCCTCGTCATACAGTTTATCAATGTCCTTATTTTACGCCCTACAATTATACGCTAACCCGACCATCCAGCGTAATGCGGAATGTGTATTCCCTCCCCTCCCTCCCCTCCCTCAGACGCGGCGGTGGATCGCGATTCCGCGGTGCGGGTGCAGAGGGGCCCCGAGGGCGGCGCTGCTGCTGCAGGGGGGGCTGCAGGGGGGGCGGGTGCGGCTGCCGGCCGGGGCCCCTCCCTGGACCTGGGTGCGGTGGCAGCAGAGGAGGCGGAGGCGGCGAGGAGGGAGGAGAGGGAGAAGGAGTGGGAGAGGGGCTGGTGCAGGGAGAGGGGCTGGAGGGAGATGGGGGCGGTGGAGGAGGGGGTGGAGGAGGGTGAGGGTGAGAGTGAGGAGAAGGGGGGAGAGGAGGAGGAGGGAGTGTGGGAGGAGGCGGAGGTGGGGACGCGAGAGGAGGTGGAGAGGCAGGAGGCGGCAGCGAGGGAGGAGGGTGCCCTGACGCGAGGTGAGGGCAGGGGGTCGGGAGGAGTGGGGGTGTGGGGGTGAAATGGTGTTGGCGGGTATGTGGTCAAACCTTACACGCCTGCTTGCTTGCTGCCCTCTGTGTGCACCCCTGCCTGCTTGCTTGCTTGCCTCTGCCTTCGTGCCTTCCCAT